TAATATCTCTTAAAATTGAATATCAAAAAATTAATTATGATTAATATTTTGATTACTTGCATTTATTAACATTTTTATTAAATAATTTCGCGTGATATCATTAAATATTCTGGTTATTTGCAAACTACATTTTTTTTACTAATTGCTAGTATTCTGGATATTATATAAAATAACTCATTTAATTGCATATTATTGTTTTAAATTGTACTTCAATATCAAAGTTATAAATTACTATACATATATTTCAAATCTAAAACCAACATGAATATAATGTTCAGTCGTGGCTGGTATACAAAATAAATATACATCATTGTTTTTACTGTATTATACAATAAACAATAAAGCTTATTAATGTAGAAATTTTGATGTTAATCTCTCTTTTTAAATTACAGAAAAGTATGTGTTATAGACCATTTTTGGGTAATATTCTTAATACATTTTTATATCCTTATAAAGTAAATGTTAAATTATTTAATAATAATATCGTACTTTAATATATACGGTATCTACTGATAAAGCTTCATAAGAGTCATAATGCTTATCGGCAAAGGCTTTTTTAAAAAAAAATTAAAAAATAAAAATTCTTACAAAATTTTTCATGGAAAATACTTTTTTGATAAGAGAATTGACACTAATTTTTATTTTTATTTTAATAACTATTACATTCCTATATAGACTAAATCTAGGGATATTTATAAAAACCGTATTTTTTTGGCTATTTTAATATGATAATAATTATAATACCTAGTAAAAATAACCAATATAAATAATTAATTTAGTTTGATTATACATTCTAAAACAATAATATAATATATTATAAATAATAGTAGAAAGATGAATATAATTAGAAGTAATATAATTTATAATAATATACTGTATAATAATTAACTTATAAGGTAATTTAGACAACCACGTCTTAGAAGTCTTTGAGGTGGACGCATATGTATGCAAATTTAAGTGTAGTTAACCTGTTGATTTATGAAGTGAACTATTAAAATTTTCAGCAAGGACGCTTGGACGATTTTGAATTTTAATTATTTAGAGGTCTTTGTGCAGATTATCATTTTGTATGGACCATAGTGCATTCCTTATTATTCTTAATATTTATTTGAATTTTTTTTATGTATATAGCTATACAGGTACCCACCCCAGATAACTAGGGAGCGTTGTAATTGTTTGTACTTATATTAATATTGAATATTTTTTATGTACGACTGATTTTTTATTAGTATTCAAAAGAACAATGAAAAACGTTGGTATGCTTATTAAAGTTTTGAAGACATGTGTGACCAAAAGGTCAACCTTTTATCTTATGTAACACCGAAGTATTTGATGGACGGCTGCCAAGTTATACATTTTAGATGTAGTGGAGTGAAGTAGCGACGTATATTAAATATGACTACTATACTTTTTAAAGGGTTAATTTGAATTTTATAGCCTTTACATCATTCGTAAAGGCGTAAAATTTAACATTCGTATCATAAGTAAAATTAATAGATTTTGTAGGTTGTTAGTTATTACGACATTACAGGATTCACAATTAATTATTGTATCGTCTGCGAAAAGGACAATGTACATGGTGACAGTGGTATATCAGATATGAAGATATTGAATAAAATAGACCCTAGTTTAGAGCTTTGAGGCACACCAGCAGAGATAAAGTCAGTTCGCACTTATTAAAGTAGCCATGTCCGAGAATCATGAATTAGTGGCACGGATTCTACTTTGATAATATAAAACATACTCTACGTACGTGTTAGGAGCTCGTACAAGTCATGTTTTCCTATTCGTGCTAGCACGGCCATGTTTCAAGATTCTCTTAAATGACGAGAACATTTTTGTATTGACTTGTTATCGTCATTTATTTAGCAAGTTTTTTTATAATATGGTATTATATTTTTTATTTAATACAATAAATTATTAATAATTAATAAAATAATAAAAATTTAATTAAAAATTATTAAATGGTTAATAATCATAAATTGATAAATAAATTAATAAATAACTAAAAGCCTAGCCTGAAGTATTATTATATCTAGTATATACAATGTTAATAGAATTGCGATTGAATATGAAAAATAAAATCGCAACGGAGTATGAAAAAATAAAAGATGGAATACATTGAGAAAAATTAGTCGTTTTACAAAGAGATAATTTATTTTAATATGAGAGATTATTTAAAACGAGTTCTTATTAAACATAGATGTTAAAAAATACTCGTATAAATAATTTGGTTATTATTATTTAATATTATCTAAAATATCTTGATATAAGATATTATTTTTAAAACCGGTATGTTCATATAAAATATTATTGTATTATTGTAACTGTAAAATTTGAAATCAATTGCCAATTGATAAATTTTAATCTACATCCCCCGAATACTTGAAGTTTAGTAATTTAGTATATTTTTACGAAAATCTCTAAGCTTTGAGCTACAATTTTTTTTTTGACAATCAAAAAATATTAAACATAAAATATCGGGTAGCAAATTTTTTGGAGATTTAAAAAATATAACTTTTGACACTTACATAATTTATTATCAACATTTTTATGCAAAAAATAAATCAAAGCTCAAAAAATGTGGCAAAAAATATTTTTATTATTTTTTGTTTATACCAGTTGAATGATTCATAATAAAATAAAATTACATTTGTACAAAATTATTCAAAATTAAATTGTCTATTACAATGATTAAAAATAATTGCTTAGTTGAATAATTATCATTATTTTTTTTATATTTAATCTTTCAGTCATGAAATATTGTTCTGTAATCACTCAAAATTTGTATCACAAATTGTTTCTTTCCTCATTGGTAGTAAGTATTGAATTGTATTCTTCAATCAACTTTATTCCCCTCTCAATCGTATCATTGACAGTTTTCAGTTTAAAGACCTTTTGAAAGATAAGTTTTCACTCCAATGTGACGGGTCATTTAAAAGAATTTCTGTATCTAAATTAAATATTTAAAAAAAATCTAAAGTTCCACTTGAGACGATAAATTAAATTAAATTTATCACAAATTCTGGAATTTTTTGATTATTTTAGATTAAATCGTTTAATTTTTTAATTTCAATGTATTTCGTATATTTCATATTTCACCAATAAAAACTGTTATTAACTTAAGTAAATCTTTATAATCGTTTTGAGATTATGCAATATTCAAATATTCCTTTACAAACTCTCATACTCTTGCTATTTGTAAGTTAATAATTTCTTTAATTTCTTTGTTCAAAGTACATAAAGAAAAATTTTCCTTGTTTATTTATGCCAAGAGTGTTGAAATATTTTTAATTTCGTGTTGCTAACAATTCCAAATAAAATAGAAATTACTTTCAGTTTAACTTTTAATCATAAATATACTTTAAACTCTCCCTAGAAAAAAATCGCAGCTACGACACTGATTTAGATACATAATTAAGACGCGTTTTGTATATATTTATTTGAACAAATCAGTTTTACCATATGTTTTTTTATATTTAAAGCCATCAATACACAATATTATTACATTACCCTTGATCAATAAAACTTCGTTTTTTTTTGAGATGTTTATGAAAAAATGTTGCAAAGATGTATTTCATTTTCGGTACCTAGCTAACTTCTTATGACGTTGAAAAAAATAACCCTATACCTCAATATTTTTCATACTGGGGACATAAATACCCGTTAAATGCGAGATTCAAAAACAACAAAAGGGTTGGTGGCCTTGAAGTCGACACGCGCAACAACTCTTCCAAGACCGCCACCGAGTGTAATCACATTTTAAACGGACGACTGTACGTTATATAAGCATAAATATTAAACCGATTGTACACAATATCACGCGAGTTACGATTAGGTATACTATATTATATTTTAAGAAAAGGCATTCGCAGTTGACGAGCACAGATTAGGGTTGTTTATGTACTTGTACCATACAGGGTCCACGGGGGGTGAGGATGAGATAGGTCAAATTATTATAATACAGCGAAACGCTAATACATTGCCGCCGCCGCCAGGAGATTACGTCAAAATATGTTTTATTCAAAGACAGAACATAATACTAAACTCACCTGTGTGTGCGCGAGTGGGTAACGAAGACGGAGAGAATTCACTATCCGAGAGATAATGTCAAGTTTCGCATTCTAGAAAGCTCTTCGCCGTCATCACCGGACGGTTAAAATAATGCGGCACGTGAATGAGAAGAATCGCGAGTATGCTGCTGCTGTGACGGCGGTCAGCATGAGATCGAAAATTCAGATATCAATATATAATCATATTATAACAATCCAAATAGCAATAATATTATATTATTATATATCACAGAGCGCTGGGCATCGTTAAAGCACACTTTCACAATTAATCACGATTTTCTCGTATCTTTAATATTTCTAAACGTTTATTATTAAAAATTAAAACAGTACATTAAATAATTAATATTTTAATATTTCGTAAAAGAAATACCCCATCTAATTTTTTTTAACAAGTAGATATAAATATATTTAAAAAGCATCTTATATCCATGATGAAATATTGTACGGTAAATACACTAATGGAACGTGTTAATGAACCACTAAAAACAATTTTTTTTTAAAGGAAAGGGACTCAAATTTTTTTTTTAATTCAGGTTAAAAATGTACAAGTAAAATTTTAAATCTGGTGAATCTTTAATATTTGTGGTTTTTTTTTTTTTTTTTTTTTTTAATCTAATGCCAGATCCACTTGATTTTGTATAGTTTTTTTTTACACTTGTCTGTGATTTGAAAATGACACTTGTATTCTATTTATTTTGTCACTAAATATGGATCTGTCAAAAAGGCCCATTCAGTATTTACAGTCAAGCGTTATTTAATTTCGTTATAAAATGATCCACATTAAAAAAATTTGAAATGTGTATCTCACATAAAATAAATTCCTTAAATACGGATTCAGGGGCGACCATTTATAAGAATAACAATTACATAATCATAATAAAAAATATTATAAGAAATAAAACTTTTTGTATAGGATTGGTTATATATTACTTCATGTGTTAACAAAGTAAAACAATAAAAAAAAACTATAAAACAATGATATAATTAACATTTTCATATAAGTTAATTAAACAATAATAAATATGTATTTGATAAAAAGAAATAAAAATTGTTCTAGTTAAAATCATATAGTTTACAACTTGGGGTTATCAAATTACTACTTATTGTACAATTAACTAATCATAAAAAAATATTGTCCCAAGTTCCTGTGCACAAAGGTTCTGAATTTCCGCTGGAAATCAAACAATTAATATAATTTTTATTTTTTATTTTATATTTAATTTAATTGTGAATAGATTACCGGAAAATGTAATTCCACTGATACATAAAAAGTATTTTATACACCTATTTTTAAACAGTTCTATAAATTGTATACATTTCTAAATGCAATTAATTATTAAACGTATGAACTTAGTTTTCAATAAAGGATAAATGTAGAATAAATAGTAAGTATGAGTAGTAGCCCATGTAATAATCATAGAAAATCTAGATTTATATTATTATTATAAACTTGAGATTAACTTTATGATTAAGTATAAAGAATACTTAAGTAATATAAGTATACAAAAGAAACAGTAAAACAAGTATACTAAGCAAAATTATTTCTTGGAAAATAATTTTTCAAAACTGTAATACCATAATAATAAAAAAAATAATAATAAAGTCATTTTAGGAGCACATTGTTTTAATAAATACCAGTGTAAAACTAAACATACCATGTGAAATTCTTATAACATAGTGAATAAAATACATATCTTAGTATCAAAAGAAAAGAGCTTGAAATAATATAAATCATTAAATATTTAACTATAAAAATATAATTAAAAGGAATTAATAAGAAAAAATATTACTCTTGATAACAAAAACCAACAAAATTATCCGTTATTGTTAATTAAAATAGCTATTAAACATATTATTAGATTAGCCATTATTAAAATTCTCAGGTCATCATATTTTCCGGTACCATAATTCTATATATATTTATATATAGTTGAATACTTACTATCTACATCATTCAACTTGGTTAATTTTTGATTCAACACTATATAGATTTCTCGAGAATTACATAATCTACCAGCTACCCAATTATCATTAGATGTTTTTATCATAATAGAACAAGTTGGTTGAATACTGAAATACAATTCATGCTAAGAAATGAGTATATGTTTTATACTAAAAACATCATATACTCGTAGTTACATGTAATATAGAAAGATTATTTTGAAAGAAGTATTTAAAAATATTTTAAAAAAAGTATATATCAAAAAAATATGCATAGTAAAAATAATTATATAATATAAATAAATAGGTAAAAAAAATATCTGGCAAATACTAATAATATTGATTGCTTTACTAAAATAATCTTGTATGCACAAAGTTTAGATTAATCTTAAATTACCTAAACTGAACTCCTTAAAAACAGCACCACCAATTTCCTAAACTTTCATTTTTATATTAAGTTAGGATACCTTACCTATTTATTTATGAATCATAATGAATAAAATAAAAATATTTTAAATTAAATAATATATGTATCACATATTATACACCCATTTGATATATTTATCTATCATATGATCAATATAGCAAATTAACCATTTAATTGAAATGTATTGAATTTTTATTAAATATATAATTTGTGGATAAATTTAGCTGTATTAAAAAAAATTTTCTTTTAAAAATGCATTTACATTGATACTAATAATATAAATAATATTGCTTAATACTGACTTGTACAAATAATACTGATATAATGAAATACAAATATTTTGAATATGGTAAAAAAAAAAATCAAGATAATATCCTCATTAGACTAAATATTAAATTATATAAATTAGTTAAGATTCAGTGCAAGCCTATTTTTAAATCTCATTGTTATTTTAGTTTTAATTATATGCAGAAGCATATTAAAATTTTATAATTGTTTAATAAACCATAAATCTATTTAAGTCTTTAGTATTAGTTTTAATGGAAAGTTAGTATTGATATATTGCACATATGATATACTAAGGTAATGAGCCAATAAGATGAATAATTTTAATCAATAAAAGTATACGCACCAAGAATGTTGATAACTTATATCCACTAGAACTCTTAATGATTCAGGACTGATATTAAAATCAGAAGGTTTATTAGTTGTTGCTATTGTGTTTGAAGTCTTAATTGAGTTTTTAATAGCTAAATTCATAGAATTAAAGTATACAAATTTAGCAGGTCTTTCAGCATATAATTTAGAAGCTAAGGCTTTTTCAACCGTAATCTTCATCTTTTCTGATAGTAAATGTAATTTGGTTCCCAGAAACTGGTCTAAATTATTGTATAATTCTGCTGTCAGTGGATAATCCGCTAAAATTAATTAAAATGATTGAAAATCTATGTATAAAATTATAATACAATTAAATCAGAGATATTAAACTATTACTTACTCTCAATAAACATACATACAATTGATTTATGAGCTTTATATATGACTAGTCTATAGCTTTTAAATGTTTCATCATTTTCATCATTTAACAATATGACTGGAACTTTTCCTAGGTCACAACTCCAATCATCTGTTTTTACTGCCCATACATTTGATATAAATCTGTTAAAATAAATCTGATATAAAAATTTAACTAAAAAAAATGTTTTTATACCTTCCAACTAATTGATTTGGCAAACACTGTTGCAATGAATTTCCTTTGACTATATTTTCATCTCGTACCATTTCAGGTAAAACCCACATTAAAATATAGGAATATACAAGTTGAGTTTGACGTTTACTAAGACCACTCCTATAGATATCAAAGTATTTTAATGTTTGAAAATAATAGTACTAATTAAGATAAAATTGTATTATAATTCATGTACTATATAGTATTTAATATTGAAATCAATAATAAATTTAAAATAATTAATATTGAATAATAATTTAAAATTAAGAATGGCATAAATCCCATTTTTAATTGATTTAATTTAAGCATTTTAAACAGACCTCTATAATTTAAAGTATGAAAATTTTATAGTTACCAAACCAATGAATCATTATAGAGTAACATAGTAAAATTAACTTGTTGAAATGTATTTTCAATAGAATTTAAAAAACTCTGGGCATACAAATGAATAACATTGTCTAGAGGTAGAAAACTAATGCCTTGAAACATATCCATAAATGTATGACTCGATAAATCAACACTTAACAAATACTAAAAAATAAACAAAAAAATAAAACATAAAATTGAATTATTAATATAATTTTATTACAAATTTTGATTAAATTTACTGGAAAATTTATAAATATGCAGTACAAAATTATTTTCTTACCTTGTTATAAAATTTATTAAGCATAAGTCTAAGATAATCTGGATCATTATCATTCATTATTTTAGTCATATTACCCACAGTCATTTGAAATGTCTGATACCAATGTTTTAAGACAGCCAAATAAATTGGTTCTTGAAGATTATATGTACAATAAACCGGTTCATCGGGAGATTCTGGGGACTTTGATTTAGATTTACATGCTGCTGATACAGTCTACTAAGTGAAATGCAAAAATTATTAAGAAAATATTAAAAATTAAAATTATATCAATATGATATTACAATAACCATCCAAAAATCTGGCTCTGGATTGTATAACACTTGCAATGTTTTATCAGTGCGTAAAGATTCACATGATTCAGTGCTATTAAAATTCCTAAAATAATATAAAAAATTTTTTAACCATAATAGGTATATTATAATAATTATTTTAGGCATACCGTGTAAAACAAATTATAGCTTCAATGTGACCAATATTGAGTACTTTTTTATTTTCATCCTCATGTGGTGGATAATAAAATAATATTTTATTAGCTCCCTATAAAATACATTGAATATATTAAATATGTATCACATTTATTTTTAAAATACTTAATAGTATAATTATATAAATACATATTTACAAATATCAATAATTATAGAAATTTCTTGGAAAATTAAAAATAACTATACACTAATTACAATAAAATAGAAATCTATTAGTTGACTTTAATTTAATGAACTAGGATAACTATACAATTTTAAAAACAAAACTGTATTGAACTAACAAACTGAAAAATAAATATTTTTGTTTTATACTTAATTTAACAATCCATATAGAGCTAAATTATATAAAATGGGACTGTATGAATCAAATAAAATCATTTTAAAAATATTCTTACAAATTAAATCATAACAATAGATTAGTAAATTAATAAAACAAGTTAAAATTTAATGAACTAGACTATTTATAACGCAATACATTTTTATAAAGCCAATGTAAATGGTCCAATGAAGATGATTATTATTTGTTCAATGGCATTAAATATATCTTAAATTCAACACTATAAAATTTGGAATAGTTAATTGGTTTTAAACAACTTGATATTACATCTAACTAACCTAAAACACAACACTATAATATTGAAATTGTAATAAAAATAATAATAAAATTTACTAATTACGATTTGTAAATCACATAATTACTAAAAGCTATGCATTGTGGCAAGGGATTGTTATTGACACATGAATTATAACAGATTTAATACCTACACCGATGATAATATAAAATTATTCTATGTACGTTAATCATGTAAACTTACATCTTCTTCTGTTTTTGATAATCCTGAATTAAAAATATACAAATTCTGAACAGTGACTTCAGTTGGCATATTTTCTACAGCGTGGTCACTTGTTAAATTACATAATTGGAACTCAAAAAATTATGTTTTAATAAAAATTAAAGAATAAACTCAGTTTTATTAATTTCTATTCTAAAAATACTGGATAAATGTAAATTTGTAATAATTAACATCACTTATCAGTTATGAATACGATTATCATATTTTATCATCTTCGATTTTTCAGTTTCCTAATCAGTTACCTCATCTGTATACACCAAAACTTGGTAACCCTGCAGTCGTCAAAAATCTCTTATCATCTCTCGTGTTTAGATGTTTATTCTATTACTAAGAGTTTCTACTGTGTTGTAGTTATTCTCAATATAGTTACTACTATTTAATTGTGAGAATAACAAAGTAATTTGTTTTATTTTATTGTTATATGCTACAACTGCATTATTTAATGTCATACACCACATTCCCATAGGTGAACAAGTAAATACCATAAATATTTACAATAATACGTCAGTAAGTTAATATCGAAACTCTTGCACTAACAATTGTGTTAACCTTTGATTATTACTTTATAGATTATAAGCGTTATATTTTATATTCAGACATGAAAATCAAGTGTAACTTATAATACATTAATTAATAGTTCTGTAATAAATATTAATAAGTATCAATTTTGATTTGTTATGAATTTAATATTGTTTATATTTTAGGAATTGTATTTAGAAATATACAGTAGATTTTATTTGTTAATGTTTAGACCTGTTCCCTTTACCTATTTAATAGTTGCTGAAAATGAAAAGAACTAAAATGCTTCCATTTATTAAATTAACTATCAGTGACAATAAACTGGTAGTCTACAACCCCACTTTACTGTACTAACTCTTCTGCTAATTTATGTTCCATACAAATTTCAATCTAAAATAACATTTTTAAAGCCAATTCAAACATATAGAATACAAATTTGAGATTCTGCAATAAAATCCAAACTGAAAGTAATATAAATGACCCTAAATAAAATGATCTGCTAAAACAAAAACAGGACATTTTACTTAGGATTATTAGTTTTAGAAGATATTATATTAACAAGAATGTATTATTATTTAAAAATAACAATCAAATATAATTATTCTAACAGTTATATATTTACTGACATCAGGTGTTATGGCTGTAGTTATTGTATTATTTTAATTAAAATCCAATTTGAAATTGACCATACCAAATTGTCTCAAGAATCATAAAATAAAACAAATATAATTAATATTTATGCATAGGATTTTTATTCTAACAACATAATATTCTTAAAAAAAAAAAAATGTAATAATAACAACATTTTAAAGATGTTAATTATTAAATAATTTCAGATATGGATTCAATAAAATCAGCATTAGAAAATATTCAATCTGATAATGGCAAAATGTGTGGAAGTTTACATTATATACGTTCAAATATGATGAAAAACCATGCTATTAATGAACTTCGAGAACTTGGTGGTATCAAAATATTGATGAAGTGCTTAAAACAAGTTAACCCAAAAGTATTATCATTAACTTTAAGTATTCTTGCAAACTGTAGCATGAATGAAGCATGCCGTGACCAAGTAATTGTTACTGTGAAAACTATAATAACTTTCAGTAATTCATTATATTGTTAATTAAATTGTTATTTCTTACAGTTGATTGATTATGGCGTTGTTAAAGATCTTGTTTTTATAATGAAAAATATTAATGTTGAATCAATTGATAATCGCACTTGTCGAATGATTGCCAACCTTGCTATATCTGAAGCCAATATTCCAGTTATATTCAAACATAGTCTCCCTAGTTTAATTGTAAAAATATTATTGAATACTAAGTGTGATATTACAAGATATTCAGGAATTCGAGCTATTAGGTAAAGTTTCTAGTTGTCTGTATCATATGCTATTATTTATTCATATTAATTAATAATTACCAATATTGTATGTCTTTATTTTAGAAAAATGTGGGAAAATTCAACAAAATATGGTTCTGCAGAACTGTTGAAATGTGATGCTGTCCGAGTTATATGTTCACTCTTAACATCAAAAAATAAAAATATAGTCATTGCTGTTTTACGAGCCCATATTTCATTTTTAGTAAAACCTACTAATTTATCAAGTGCATTAACTGCTTATACCACTGTAAAACAGGTAAAAAAGAAAAACAATTTTAAAATATTAATATAATTTATAAAAAATATTTTTATTTTAGGTTTTAGGAAATGAACCTGAAACTACTTTAAATAATTTAATGGATTTATTACCAACACAACCTTTAGTTAAGAGAATTATATACCAGCTTTGTAAAATACAAAATAATAAACAACGATTACATTCATCCCGCCTTATTATGTGTATAACTGATGTTCTTAAAACTGAAGATAATCGCTGTAAGTATACTCTACACTTATTCAAATAATTGAGTTGCAATTAATATTTAATAAAATAATAAAAAATGTAATTAAAATTTAAAATTAATAGATGGTTGATACAAGTAAATTAATATATGAATAAATGAACAAATATTTTATATACAATTTCATTGACTGTTTATACCTGATGATGAATTTTTAATTTGAAACTAGTTATTCTTTATAAATGAAATAAAACTCCATACTAAGCATTTATTTATTTATATATTAACTAATATTGATTGATGTGTTATTATTAATTTTTTTTTTTCACTACACAATTACATTTATGTTTTATTTTTGTTAATTCAATATTAAAAACTTATACATTGAGTAAAATAAAATCTTCTTCTTCACCTTTTTCCTAACTGGGGTCCGTACCCTTGTCCTAAATCTTCACTTGTCTCGATTTTTCTACATCCCCTATGTATTCACCAACAGTCCTCATCATTAATTTTCATAACAACTCTTACTGCATTTGTTTTCTCTCATCTCATCAAATACCCAAACCATCTTAATTTATTTTCTCTCATCTTGCCCACGGTAGACGCTTCACCAAAACAACCTCTCACATATCCAGTCAAATAGACATCCGTTCCTTATTCTATTTTTTATTGTCATTCCACTCATTCATCTAAACATTCTTATTGATGTAACACTTATACTCTGTTCTATTCTCTTGTCAACCGCTCAACACTCGAAACCATATAGCATAGTTAATCTCACTACACTCCTGTAAAATTTACTTTTTAGCTTGATTAGAATTTGGTTATCGCATAAAACGGCCTACGCTCCTCTCCATTTCATCCAACCACACTTAATCCTATGTCTTATGTCCATACTTAAATGTCTGTCCTTTTGTATAAATTATCCTAAATATTTATAGTTACTGACTTCACCTATCACATTACCACTTATTGTCATTGATCTCCTCATACCTTCAATTTCTTGGTATCTTCCTCTGAAGTCATACTCTATATAGTCTGTTTTATTTCTACAAATAATCTCTTTCCTTCAATGGCTAACCTCCACTCATAAAACCTATTATTAACTACTTCCAAATTTTCACTTACTAAAACTATATCATTAGCAAACATCATACACCATAGTACCTCACTCTGTATGTCTTTCCTAACTTTATCTATTACCACAGAGAACAAATAAGAGCTTAGGGTAAATCTCCGATGCACACTCACTTCTACATTAAAATTTTCTGTTACTCCACACAAATTCTTTACACTAATTCTCAAACCTTCATACATATCCTGAATCAAATCTATATATATTTTTGGAACCCCTTTTCTTGTTAATGTCCCCTTTAAAACTTCTCTACTAGTTGTCTAACACAAAATTCATTGTCGATTTTACTGACATAAAACCAAACTTTTTTTCCGATATTGATGTCTCACCTCTTATTCTCTTCTTTATAATCTTTTCCCAAATCTTCATGCTTTCATTCATCAGCTTTATTCTTTTACAGTTCCCACATTCTTGTATGTCTCCTATGCCTTTAAATATTGGTATAACAAAAGTCTTTCTCCAATCTTCTGACATTTTTTTCTCTATTGACACTATTAATAAGATCTATCAATCATCCAATGCTTACATCTCTTAAAATTGTCCACACCTCTTCAGGCACTCCATTTGGTCCTACCACTTTTTTCTTCTTCATCACCTTCACCACAACTTTCACTTTCTTCCCACTAACTAAACCAATCAGTTTTTCATTCCATCCTTTAAATTTCTTTTGAATACTCTCTTGTTCTGTAATCTCTCAAAATATTCTTTTCATCTTTTTTTCACATCTCCATCATTTGTTTCTCTCTCTCTCTCTCTCTCTCTCTCTCTCTCTCTCTCTCTCTCACATTCAATATAATTAAATTTGTAGCATCTTTCATGTTTCTCTATCACTAGCCTTCCTCTTCAACTCTTGATATGAGTTACATATTTGATCTATTATCTGACTTATGTATTGCAATCTTGGTCTTCTTCTGTGATTTTTTCCATCAATTACTCCTTCTAAGATTAGTAATAGCAGCCCATTGTGTCTTAAAATATGACCTATTAATTAATTTTGTCTTTTCTTTATAACTCTTCCATATTGATTTCCTCTCACATACCCTTTTTAAAACTTCTTCATTAGTGATTCTGTCAGTCCAACTTATCTTTTCCATCCTCCTGTTGCACCACATTTTGAAAGCCTTTATTATATTAATTTTTTTTTTTGCAATAGTCTATATTTCGCATCCATATAATATTATGCTCCAGATGTACGTTTTTAGTAGATTCTTTCAGATATTTAGGTCAATGTTTTTTGAAATAAAAAGATTTCTTTTCTTATTAAATGCCACTTTAGCTTGGCATATTCTCTTTATAATTTCATTTTTGCATCTCCCATCTGAGCTTAAAGTGCTACCCAAATATATAAAGTCTTCTACTTGTTCTATAGTTTCACCAAACTTTAATTTTATTCTTGTTCTTATGTTGTTGTATCTACTATATACTTGTACTTTCGTTTTCTTTGTGTTAATTTTCATATAGTCTATTTCCATCTCTTGTTCCAATGTTTTTAAATTTTTTTTTAATCTTCTTTGTTCTCCGCTATTGTTGCATTATCGTCTGTGAATCTCAACATGTCTATTCTGTAACCATTTATCTTAATTCCTAGCTGTATTCTCTCTCTAATAGTATCTATAGCCTCTTGAATGTAGGCATTAAATATTAAGGGTGATAATGTACATCCCTGTCTAACACCTTTCTTTATTTTGGACTCTTTTTGAATGTCTCCCATTTTTATGATTGCTATTTCATTTTTATACAGTTGGTAGAGCAGTTTTTTATCTGTGGTTGCAACTCCTGCTCTTTTCATTATATTAAACATTATTTCCTAGTTGACATTGTCGAATGCTTTCTCAATATCATGATAATACCCTACATTTGTAGTTGTTTTTATCAAGGAAGAATATCTGGTGTCAATCTTCTTGTTCTTCTTTTAGTTTACTAGTTTGCCATCGATTGGTGTTTCCTCTTCTTTTAATTTTTATAAATTTGAGATTACATTTCATCATGACCAAATTGTAGTCACTGTCTATATCCGCACCAGGATAACTTTGACAATCTTTGACATGGTTTTAAAATCTATATTTTACCATGATGTAATCAATTTGGTACCTTCCCACATCTCCTGAAATTTTCCATGTGTAATACAAGGAGAAGATACACAATGTCTCCTTGGATAATGATAGAAGCATGTATTCTTTATTATCAGATCATGTTTTGCACAAATTTCCGCCAGTCTATCTCCGCGATCATTCCTTTTTCCCCGACCATAATTTCCTATAATGTTTCTTTCTCTTTTTCCTTCTCCTACTATTGCATTCCAGTCTCCCACGATGATCAGATTTTCTTCTCCTTTGATTGTTTCCATAGCTTTTTCCATTTGTTCTTCTATGTGGCTATTATTACTGTTGGAGGTTGGCATATAAAGTTGTACTATGATTGTGTCTTTTGGTTTGGTTTCTATTTTAACAAGAATAATCTTTTCCCTGTACTGCACGTAATTTTTCACTTTCTTTCCTATGTCTTTTCTAAGCACTATGCCTACTCCTTCCCTTCCTGGGGTTTCAGCAGATATTCCTGAGTATATAAATCTATAATCTTCACTCCATATATCTCCAGCTTCAGGCCATCTGACTGCCGAAATTCTCAGAATATCAATGTTCATACTCATCATTTGTTAATACTCTTATCCTCATTTTTTATTCACCAAACATTTTTGAAATTCCTGGATCGTGTTTCTTTAACCTTAGCCAGTATATAAATTTATTTTTCTCCTTCCTGTGTTCCTAATTTCTCGTATAACTCATCATACCTATTAAGCTTTACCTTGCTTACCACACTTTTCACTATTTTACATACATTTTTATACTCTATCCAATCTTCTATTTTCCTGCTTTTCTGCCATAACTTAAGTTGCTTTTTCTTACTTGCTACTACTCTTTGAATCTCTTCATCCCTCCCCGAAATTTACTTGTTTTCTGGCATATTGGTTTCATCAACAACCTCTTTTACTATATTCATAATACAACTTGTTTTTTTTTTCTAAACCTCATTTATATTTCCCTCAACATTCCATACAGTAGCTTTTTCTTTTACTTTCTTTATAAACTCCTTTTCTTTGTCTTCTATTAATTTGTACCACAAAATTCTCAATTTCTTTCTAGTATTCCTTTTTTTACTTACTATGTTTAGTTTTTTCCACTATACCATTACCTCCATTATCATCAACCTATGCTGTGTTATTACACTCTCTCCTTGAATTACTTTACAATCTTTTATTTTCTATATACTGTCTCTCTTCCACATAAAATAACCTATTTCTTCTACTCTTAAATATTATATAATGCTCTTCTCGTTTTCTATAATATGTGTTGATTATTGCAAGCATGATGTAAAATTCAAAACTTTTTCTCCAGCCTCTTTCCTCTCGCCAAAACCATACCCACCATACACTTTTTTATACTCTACTCTTTCATTACCTATATGCCCATTTTATTACCACCAATTACTGAATCTTAATTTCCTGGTTTTCCTTTTCTTCACATCCTACTTTTGGCGCATTCATACTTATTACGTTTATTACTTTTTCCTCAAGTACTAACGTTATCGTAATAATTCTATCACTTTTTCTTTCTACATCAACTACCACCTTATTTTTCAACTCCTCATCCAATATTACTTCAACCCCATTCCTACCTGAATATATTATTTTATAGCCCTCTCCTAAATCTTTTGCTTTCTCTCCTTTTCACTTAGTTTCCTGAACACAACAAATATTAAGTTTTCTCCTCTACAATACTTCCGCCAATTCTCTACGTCTGCCTGTTAACATTCCAATTACCTATTCTCACTTAATACCTATCTCTCATACCTAGACGCGAATTTAACCTGGAGCGCAATGCTAATGTTCCTGCACCGTTGACATAATCCATGTTGGGTAGACCTGAACACATAATTGGTGAACCAGCTACCACACCGGCTGTCCGACTAATATCACATACTTCATTATCTAGGCCTCTTCCACCTCTAACTTTGATACTTTCTCTTACTTGTCGTCCTCGCGCCCATCCGCGGTGGGACAAACTGCTTAAGTTTTGTATCAAACTCCTCATATTATTTGACGACATTTTTACACCAGCTGTCAACCTGATACAACCTCATTTAGTCTCTTCTTATGACCAACTGAGGAACTGTGGAAGTATTCTGAGTCCCTTCCATGGGGAATTTTATTACAATAATATCAAAAAAATTAATTAAATAATATTTTAATAGATCATAAAAATGTATTAACTTAAAATGTTAGTCATATTTCTTCCTTCCAATGATAAATACTCTAATAAAATAAAATTAAAGTTTTTTGGTAATGGTTAACTAAAAAAATATAATTTAATATATTTTATATTTTTGTCATTTAAAATATAGATTTAAGAATAGCACTGTGCCATTTACTAGAATGTCCAATGAATCGCGAATCATTTTCAAGAACAGAAAATGGAATAAGTGTTTTTATGGACTTAATGACTGGAACAGACTCATCTTTAACAGACTTAGCAATTTATACCTTAATACACTTTAAATATTGCAAAGATGCGTTAGAAGTATGTAAAATAATTTATTTGTATATTATATGAAATATTTTCTATATTTTGTTGATGATTTTTGATGATAGTATTTTTTCAGCTTGTACAACATTTTGTGATTGTGTTGAACTTTTTGATGACAATAATTTCTTAGTATCTTCACTATGTTGTGATTGTATTAATTTATTATTAATTGTATTACTATCAGAATTTTCATTACTTAGATTAGATACTGATTCCATTTTTTGTGTTATACTCAAAAATCTTAACGGCTGCCTATTTAAAATTTGTTGAGTATCTGACCTATTTGCTTCTATTTTTTGTAAATGTTTTGGATATATTATTTTCTTTTTTTTTATACCTTCCTGAAGTGCAAATGACTCTTGTTCATTCATTTTTATCAACTTTATATTCATTTTTATCCAATCACTCTCTAAAATGTTATTAAGTGTCCAACGTTTTCTAGGTTCTGGTTGTAATAAATTAGCAATACAGATTTTTACATTTTCACTTATCAGTTTTTCTACAGATGGTTGATAGCTCCAGTTTCTTTTAACCTTTAATGTTTGAAGTTTAAAAAAACAATTTATAAGTATAAAATGTATAAATTGATGTACTTGTTGTTTATGCATTGACTTAATATTTTTGTTGTTGAAAGGCATTTTTTTGTTGAGCATAACATATAACACTACTCCGAGTGACCATATATCTGATGATTTTCCATCATATGGATGTTTACTCAATACTTCTGGTGCTGCATAAGGCATTGAACAACAATATGTATTACAGTTTAATCTTTTAGATTTATTTATAAATTTTGAAAAACCAAAATCTGTTAATTTGACTGTGAAATGTTTAGTGATTACAATATTTTCACATTTTATATCTCTGTGTACAATATCTAATGTATGTAAATATTGGACTGCTAATGTCAACTGTCTGAACCATTTTCGAGCTTGATTTTCTTTTAATGGTCCTTTACTCATTATGTATTTCAAAAGTTCACCTTAAAAATATAATGTTTAGTGTTCATAATTTTAATCAAATTCAATAGTTGGTGCATTTAAAAATTGAAGTAACTGCCTGGTGGCATTAAGTAAACTGCTGAATGCATGTCCCTTAAGGATTCGCTTTCCATTCAATAGTGTACCATATAAACAGGGCCGTAACTGCCGCCCATGGCGCGCTTTGCGAATTTTATTTTGGCTCTTATTTTGTACAAAAAAAAAAACAATCTTTAATTTAACTCAAATGTGCACCCTTGCTAACCACCCATTTCGTCAACCTCTATTTACAGCATTGATTATAATTACTTTCAACTTAACTCAATACTTACTAAACTAAAATCTTATAACTAGGTCACCTGCAGGACCGTGTTAAGGTTGGGGAGGGGAGGGGAAGTAAAAGGGGGAAATTGTCCCCAAACGCCGTAGTTTTGTAAAAGTAAAGGGGCGCCTTTATCTTCACTTAATATGCCACCTGTGCCCAGTAGCCCTGAAGAAAAAATATTAACCCATGGTGCTGAAATGTTTGACACAGCTGTAGTCACCCTTGTTAATACTTAGGTTTTAGATTTGATTCTACTAGCAATATAAATATATTAATGACTTTTTGAAAAATGAGTAAAAGATGATTTTACCTTTTTCTGCATTTGCCATAAAAATATATAAAATAGCTTTTTTTTTTAAAATACTGTGTATTTGAACAATATATGGATGATTCGTTTTTTGCATAACATCTAGTTCACGAGGCAAAAATTTAGAAACATATTCTTTGCTTGTTTCATTTGTATCAATAATTTTCACTACTAAATTCAAATCATCTTCTTCTGATAAAAATTTAGCGTGTCGTACTTCACCAAAACTTCCTTGTGATATGTGGTCTAGTATAATATAGCCTTCAGGCTTTAAAGCATTTGTTTTTGATAATTTAGTCTTAGATTCATGAATTTTGTTATGAAATAAAAACATTTCCAATATTTTATAAGTATTAAATAGTATATTTATTTAAATGATTTAATTTTAATATTATGTCTCTCCATAGTAATATACAAATATACAATGTATTTTATTTCAGAAAATGGTAAAAAAAGGTTTAGTTTCAATATTAATCAAAAATTTATCTTTGTACATACAATCACATAAAGTATCTGCCTTGTGTCAGCCAGAAACAAATATTAAATCTAATGAAACCAAAGCATTAACTGTTGGAACTATTGGCTCAGATACACCCATACTGAAACAAACTCCGTTAAAAGAAAATTGGACTTCATCAAAAGAAGATGATATTACTATAGACTCACACTCTCCATATTATTCACCAGTGTGTGAGTCATATGAAAATGAGTCATTTAATGCTGATGAATCCAAATCTGATGTCAGTGACTTTGAATTGCAGGTTAAATAAAATACTCAATAATTACTTAAAATATATTCAGTATAAACAATTTGATGCAGATGATGCAGTTATATTTAAGCCATATTATCTTGATGGTTCTTCCATGATTTAGATATTGTTATTTTTTTCTTTTTTTGCCTTTAATAGTATTTACAATGGAACCACAACATTTAAATTTAAAAAATAATTCTAGAAATCAATGCTGCATTATATAGACTAACAGCAGTCGCCCAATTAAATGAATCATTAAAATTTGTTAAGTAAAAGTTAAGTGGTACAAATTCGAAAACTACTGTATTAATGTACAACATTAGTACAACTATATACTTAATGTTTTTAGAAAATCACATTTTGTGTACTTATTCCTCTCATATTATTTATTAAAAATTATTTTAGACAAGGCCCTCCCAGACAGTGACGTAGATAAGAGGGGTTTGGGTGTTTAAACCCACTATTTTAAAAATTCCAGCCAGTAAAATATATAAAATTAAAATAATTATTTGCTAAATATATCAATTCTCCCCCCCCCCCATAAATAATCTTAATCTACGCCCTTGATCCCAGTAATATATCCTGGGTTTTGCATACAGCCCTTTAATTACACGGAAAACTTAAACTGTATAAATATTAATCATTCAACATTTTTACAATTGTTTGCATACATTAATTAAAATGTTTTAGGGTGATGAAGCCTTAGATTATCAAACTTCAGGAAAATCAAATGATAAGTGTTATATCATAGAATTGTTAACAAATTTAGCATTCATAGAAAATATTGTAATAATGATGGCTTCTAAAGATGTGTGGGAATCAGTGTTAGATTATATTCAATTTATAAAATATAGCAACAATGTTAACGAAATAAAAATATTGGAGAAAATTTCTAAGTATGTTGTTTATTTTAGTAGGAAAAAATGTTTCATGTATATTTTATTATTTTATAGGGATGTGAGGAACTTCAAAATCATCCTTACTGATGGATTCATTATATCAACCCATCAAAGATTATGTAGACCAGTTCATGAACTTGAGAAGTGTGATAATTGTAAAAACCGAAACAAATTGGGTATACAGATAATCAAAAATGCTACTAGTTCTTTTGAATCATCATTTGCAGAAGATATAATGATCAATATAATGAATGATAATAGTACATTGGCTACAAATCAAAATCTTAAACTTTTAGTTACTGTAACTCTTCCCCATGTTATTCAAAGGTAAGTTGTATATAAAAATCTTGGGTTCAAAGATTGGTATTTTATAATATAGATATAACTAAAGACCGGATTTTGCATAAAATGCATGTTGCTATTTTCAACATTATATGCATGCAATCAATGAGTGTTCACAAATCTTGATTGATTAAATATCAAATATTTATACTACATATTTTAGCATATTCTAGCGTTAGTACATGTTATGAATATTTTTGCATATTTTAACAAAAAACCGTAAAAATATACACCTAACAATTCAAAAAAGTGTTGAGTAAAAAAAATAGATTATATGTAGATACGTTTAGGTTACTAAACTTCCATAGATTGGTTGTATGAGTTTACAGTGGAGACGTGACTTTACCTATTTTATCCAACCTTGTTGATAAAATACCCAAAACAACATAAATAGATAGATTATTACAACCACTACTATATACAATTGTTGGTAAGAATTACGTTGTAGCCAAGTTAACCCATCAGTGCTGAGCTTCCCCATATGGGTACACATGTATTGCTTTTTTTACATGTTTAGAGAAATATGTATTGATATTTTTCATGCATTATTTTTACCTATGTTTGTATGTTATCTCCACTTCATTTTGAAATAATATTTAGCAATTAATTCGTAAACAGTATCTATGACGATATATATTATATCAACCAACAATTTAAAATAAGCGATTTTTTTTGATTTTTTTCATGTTCGACTATAGTAAATATAAACTATTATTATTTATAAATGTGTGATCAAATATTTTCATCTTATATATTCTTATAAATATTTATTTGGATATTTTTTTCAATTTGTTATTTCTATAATTTCTATAATTTAACAAATTATATTTCCATATTGCGTATTTGCATCTTACTTTTTTTTTTTGAAAATTGTAATAAAATTTAAATTTTATTTTGCACGCTTTGCATTTTTTTCTTGCATATTTTATAATTTAATATAATATAATATTAAAATATATAAATCCGGTCTTTAGATATAACCGTTTTAAGAAATTTTAAAAAGAATTTAATATTGAATTTATTTATATCTAAACATTTATATTATGCTATTTTAAAAAGAAACCCCAATAACTATAATCCTTAACAATATTTATTATGATTATTGATATTTCCTGAAACTTTTTATTTAATATTCACCAAAAACAATGCATATTTCTACAAAAAGTTGTATTTCTTTACTCATTTTACTCATTTTTAATAGTTTGACAAAAAAAATACTTAAAATTACATTAAAATGATGTATCTATTATTTTAAAGTATCTAATATTTATTTATTTAATAAATAATAAAAAAAATGACTTTATAAATTTATTGATGTCAATATTTTATTTTTCAGCCAACCAAATAAATTGCTTGCATTTCTATCTCGTTATAAAATATTTGATAACTTGTGTAATATAATTAAAGATGGCCAAAATGAATTATTTGATGATGCTGTTGGAGCGTTGCTGGCTTTATTTACAACATTAAATATAACATATCCAAAACCAGTAAGCAAAGTTTGTAAATCCAAAAACTGTGGTAAAAATATTATAAAACATGAAACTACTGTAACATTAGTCTTGGATGATGATACTTTAATAAATACAAATAAATCGTTTTTGTCGTTGAAATCTCCAGTGTTTGAAGCTATGTTTCGAGATGGAGGTTTCAAAGAAGCATACGAAAGTACTGTACGTTTAAATGATGTAAGTTCTGAATGTTTTAATTCATTTCTGCTTCTACTTGAAGAATATTGTGATTGTCTTCTACCCAATAATATTACTGTGCTCTTAGAATTAATAATGATCACAGATAAATATATGTTATATGATTTGTCTAAAAAAATTAGCATGGTGATGATTAACAATTCCATTGCTATAAATAATTGTGACATAATTTATGAATGGTTAATAGAAACTGGTCATAAATTAAATTGTGTATCTAATGTTGGTTTGGATGTTGTCAAATGTTTATTTTCATCAAATTCAAGATTTCCTGAACGTGTAGAAGCTATTAAAAAAATTACTACAAGTTGTTATGGAGAGAATTTTATCAAAGATTTATCAACTATATTAAAAATTGGATTCAGTAGTATTTGTAATGATGATAAATTTACTAAATTTTATCTGAAAACATTTGATTGTAATGAAGATTGATGTAAAAGTATGACTAAATAGTAACAGGGTGCTCTATTCTATTTTAAAATTATGGTATACTAAAATTATACTGTTAAATGAGAAAATGCACAAATATTATGCTCATATATCCCACCAACAACTTTCTACTGCTGACAACCAACTAGAATTTGGATTATAATGTGTTTTCCATGCATTCCCTTTTTGAATAGAGTACAGTATGGTACTGTTTATCTAAAAAAAATGTAAGAACTCATGTAAATAATTATACATTATATTTCAGTAAATTTAGTAATTTATAATTTTTTTTTTTTTTTGTGTGTGTACTATAATAGTAAAGATAACTATTTATTTAGGTTATAGTTAGAACCTAATCAATATTGATTATTTATTGTTGATGTTCGTAATGAATACATTTTACTTAAACAACATCTATCCATATTATTAATATTTAATGCTAAAATATTATAACTCCCTTTGCTACAGCATAAACAAAGAGAAATTAAATTGTTACTGTCTTGTAAATATTCATTTGATAATATTTGATAATTATTAACATCCATATTAAAAATATGACTGTTACCTAAAATGAATTAAATACAAAATTAAAAATGTATATTATTGAATTCCATATTAAAAAAAGAAACTTGCAGTTTGATTGTATGTCCATAAAGCCTATGTTTAGAATATCATCTTTGTTTTTCGTTGACTCTTTGTACATTTTGATTGCTTCTTCGTAATTTGGAGGTGCCTCATAGTCTGGTGGTGATTCATATGCTGGTGGATTATCAATTAAATAATTGGCATTTACCCTTCCTGCTTCCGAAGTAGAACTATTATCTTCCACCTGAATACCTTCCACTTAAAAATACAAAAAGCGTTTAAAAAAGTATCATTGGTTGGTTATTTTATGTTATATTTTGATACTCACAAAGTAATTGACTTATTGATATGAGCCTATTTTGAAAATCAGTTTGAAAGTGGTAACACGTTGAAATTCTGTAGACTGCTAATAACACTATTATTAAAAATACTATAAAACCTGCAATGGTAATAACTTAATTTATTTTTATTCTATATAATAAGAAAATCATTGTATGTATGTTTTTTTACAAGAAAATAAAAATTTAACTTCAATTAGTTTATTTTTATTGTTTATTATAGTTTTCCATTTTAAGATAGTTAAAATATATGAACTGGTTAAGTGTAATTTATTTATTACTGAAATATTAATTATTGTACTATGATATTTTTGTTTATTACATCAAATATTAAAGTTGTAATTTTAATCATTAAATACTTTCATACTATAAAAAATAATAAGGTATGTACATTCGTCAATGTCTGTATACTGGAAATGAAAAAAAAAATGTGTAAGAACAAGAGGCTATTTTAAGAAAAGCACCAACTTAGTTTTTTGTAAAATAAATGATGTTACCCACCCTATACACTTTTAGGTATCCTAGAAAAAATATAAAATTGTATGTAATAACTTGTAAATGTAACATATGTTTATAAAAAAACAATATACTGAAACTTTATTAGTGTAAGCATTATATTATTTCTTTCAATCACCTACCTATAAAACACCCCAAAAGTATTTGATATTGTTTTGAATATAATGTGTTGTTTGGGAAATAATAGTTAGACTTGTATGCATACCAACTATTTTCCATGTATTCCGATTTGCCATCTATAAAACAAATAATTGCATAAAAATAATATTTTTACATAATATTTTACCGGAACGAAAAAAAGCATAGGTTTTGCCGAAATTTATAAAATGGAGGATTGACAATAAAAAAATTTTAAACAAATTGTTGTAGCGTATTTTTTTTTATTTTTTTAAAGCTTCTACAGACCATTAAGGCCCTTCGCTATTTAATTTTTTTATAATAAAATATTAACATGATCAATAGTCTTAAACTAACTTGGATAATTTTGTGACAGTAAAATATAAACGTTATTAACTATATTGAAAATATGAATAATATAAAATTTTAAAATCAATGTACTCGTAATTATTATTTTCTACATACTATGAATTGTTTTCAGTCATTGAAAATTAAACCAATTTTAAATATATTTAAAAGAAAATCGTCATTATACAACTTAACAAAGTAGCTATATTGAAATGTCGAAAAAAAATGTACAAAAATTAATAAATTGTTACTAAAATAATGTATTAATATTTTTTTTTGAATATTCCATCTTGAGCAGTGGTTATCAAACTGTGGTACGCGTACCACTAGTGGTACTCGAAAGACTACATGGTGTAACGCGTAAGGCCACATGGTAGCAGAACGGAAATTCAAAATTTGATATTTAATTCATTTATTAGTTTAAAAACACTAATAAATTTATATCAATAAATAAATAATAATTTTATTGTAGTATTTTACAGCCTTTTTATTTAAAATAAATATATTTAATTAGGTATGTAAAGTTTTTATGGTTCTATTTTTAATCATAAGTGATACGTGACCGATTGATGATATAATCAAGTGGTACGTGAAAAAAAAGTTTGAGAACCACTGATCTAGAGAATGAGTTATAAAGTGGCTGATTTCTAATTAATTATCATAATATGTATATAGTAGACACTAGAGCTCCCTATTTAATGTATATACTTTTTCTTTTGTTCACATGAAATTAAGGTTCAATTTATATTACCTGGTTATTTTATTTTACGTGTATTTACAATTTTATTCATGTGAATCCGTGAATTTATATATTCCCGTTCGTCACTATAGGTCCTTATATGTAGTGACTATATAAACTAGGCTTAACATTAAGTATAACTGTTTAGGTACTCTCATTAAATAATACTATTGATAAATGTTTTTTTATAATGACGTTAATAATTTAATATATATAGAACTACATGAAATAAATTTATCCAAATAAATAAAATAATGAACAAAAAATACATCATATTTATAATTTTTAATTATTTTTTTATAAATGGGCTTGCATTCATGTAATGCCTGTCTAAACTCAAAAATATATTTAGTGCAACAATTCTCGATTTTGGTATAAAAATAGCATGTTTACATTTTTAGTCAGTAAACATGTCCTTTTGAAGTACTCAACTATGTATCCAGCATTAGAAAAACATCTATAAATTATTAATTTTTATACAATCAAATTTTCTATTAATGCCTATTCACGTGATTATACTAGTCACGTATTCACGTGATCACGATGTACATGAATATGAATGACCCCTAGTAGAAACTAGTCCACTATCAAATATTTTGAATAGATTATATTAAAATAAAATATAGAATATATATGTAATAATATAATCATTGATTAATGTAGAAAATATTTTTTTATGTTTTAATTTTAATGACTATTTTAATATAAATATATATACAGTAAAACCTCATTAAGACGCTTTTGCTTAATACGACATTCCGCTTAATACGTGGATTTTTCCCGGTCCCAGGTACTTGTACACTTTTAACATTGAATAAAACCCGCTTAATAAGCCACCGCATAATACGCTTTAATTTCTGGCTTCTCAAACATTTTAAAATTGAAAAAAACCCGATTAATACATTCAGCGATAAGAATTTCATTAAAACGTTTATCTGTTATCAATAGAGAAATTGATATTTATTATTAAAATTAAAGTTTTAAAACAAAAATACCGTAAAAAATTAGTTCAACGGTATTTACGAGAAATGGAATCTATGACCGATGAAGAAATCCCCAAAATCAATGTTTTAGATGCTATCCAGAAGTAATTAAAAACTGTTTCAACAAAGCCTACTTTGGTAACGTCTCACAAGAAGATCCCCACATTTTGAACTCAGACGAATTTTGGGACTTTGAAGAAGCTTATCTAGGCTACACATCCATTGACGACCAATTGATAACGAACGAGGCCCTAGAACTCGAAGAAATTATCAATCAGGCTACAGTTAACGATGAACCAGATGAGCCTAATGAAGATGAGGAAGAATACTTTCCACCACTTCCGTCAATCGCTAGTACTGTACAATCAATATCTACATTGAGACAGGCACTTTCTGCAACTGATGGCTCTGAAAACATGCTTCTATATCTAGGTAGGATCGAAAATTTCTTATTGAATAATTATAGAAATAATGTACTAAAACAACCAACCATTACCACTTTTTTTGATCCAAAAAATAATAATTAAAAAATATGTTCCTAATAATAATTTTTTTGTATGTATATTTGATGTTTTTTTTTTATTAATTTTAAATGTGTACAACTTATGTTACTGTGTAATACATAACAAATCACATTATAAAAACTTTTCTTATTTATTTTATCTATTATTACTTTTAAAACGCTTTTAATAGGCGGGATAACGCTATCCCGCATAATGCGCGGTTTTACGATTTCCCCTTCGAGAGCGTCTTAACGAAGTTTTACTGTATATATGCCCCTCGAAGACAATATCTTAGTTACATAGTTACTTGGCCACTACAAATCTAAGCACAACAGAAAAGTACTTATAATTAGTATAATAATATTATATTATACTAAACTGACCGTGAGCTTCAAAGCAGTCTGCAGATTCATCACTGTTGTCACCACAGTGATCAAAACTATCGCATTTTAATCTGTTTGGTATACAGCGACCATTTTTGCAGAGGAATTCGTTTGTTATGCTACACGCTCCTTAACAGAAAATGTTTTATTAATCATTGCATTGTTGATCATAGTTAACAATGGATACGAATACATTCATAGGCATAGGTGTGTGCAGACTTTGTCTGCAGGGGGGCCCCTTAAAAAAAGTGAACCAAAGATTCTTGTACTAAAAACTACTAGTATAATTAAATATTTTAAATTTTATAATTTATTTATTTAATTCAATATGCAAATATAAAAATAAATATTATTTAAACTTACACCATTTATATCTAAGAAATCTTTATATTTACATATTATTATACTATTTACAACTCCATCCTTCTGTCCACGGGTGTAAAGTTTTTGAATGTATCAATTACATCTTCAATTTTTATATTTTATGCAAGTTCTGACTAGTCCGATTAATAACTAATAACTTTATTACATTTATTCACAGATATCAATTCTATACTATAAGATTAAAACTGGCTTTATTTTATTCATGTAAAATGTAAAAATGTTTGCTATCTTATATAGTATAGATATACTTTTATTGAAAAAAAATCGAGAGTCCGCAGGGGGGCTGCGGCCCACCCGGCCACCCCCGTGCGCACGCCTATGTTCATTGGCACAAATAGTAATTAAGATTAAAAACGGACTTGAGTCCCGAATATTTTCTTCAAAATCCTCATCAATTTTATCTAACATAATAGTATATAAAGGTCAACTTTAAGTACCTTTAAGTAATTTGTCCACTTAAAATTTATATAGGTAATATACCAATTTCTTTTTTCTTTTTTTTTTTTAATTATTTGCTATGAATATATTATAGGGACTAATAACGAATTTGAAGGGACTAATAACTAAGTGACTATAAGTGTCCAAAGCTCAACCATCTATTTATTTTAACCTATCTGTATATACTTATAATATTAAACATATTTAATTTTTATGCAAATATACTTAATTGGGAAAAAGCTGCGTAGGCGATTTCTAGCCGAGAACTGGAATTAAACGTTCCCGTCAATCTGACATAATAGCCAACATCTATGGGCACAACTAATTCTTTAAAATAAGATCCGTTTTTCCATGGCATTGTACGCCCGTTTGATGTGAGTCCTTCTTGAATATTCAGATTGCTTTCGACTACAAAATTAAATCACCAACAGTTATTTGAATTTAAAATGTAAATACTCGTAATAGCGTATTTTTGGTTGGAAAGCCATGAATTTCAAATCACTCCCCCCAATAAAGCTAAAAGTTTATAATTTTTCGAACATTCAACCAAATAGGTATATAATTATTATAATAAAATTGAATTTAAAAATAATACAACATTTATGAATTAATGAGAGGCTGTGCTGGATAAACAACGACTGACAGCCCGTAAGTCAGCGACTTACGTCAGCGACTATCCTCCCGACAGCGGGAGGATTTGCTTGCCATAGATCTATAACTGTCTATGCAGCGATTTGCATGTGCCCGGGCCAGTGGCATAGTGAAGTGAAATATTTTATCGGGCAATTTATTGTTTTGAATGACCTAGCACCCAGAGGCAATCCTTCCCACAATTTATAATTTGAAGCTAATGCTCCACAGAGCCGTTTGCTACCAGATATTTGATAGTTCTCCTCAATATTTTCCAGAATCTCCAACTATGCTACCACCCCTTAAGTCTTAAGGTCACGAGGAATTGGGAATTCACGTTGTACGATAACGATTTTATTTATTTATAAACTACTTCAGTAGTTCAATACAGAGTAGTAGCATAGATTAAATATACTTAATCTATGGTAGTAGGTACTAAAACTAAAATTATAATGCTAATCTACATATATTGCTATTTCATTATAACCATATTCAGTGTCAATGGCGTAGCCAGAAATCTCACAAGGGGGGGGGCTACCAAATGTAATATACTTATATGAATTGACAAATTTAAATTCGATTGTAAATCTTGGTAAATTAGTAAAAACAAAATTGCATATTTTAATTCATCACAGTATCACACAAAAAAAATAACAGATAACAACATTCTCATTTTTGTATATCGTGATATAAATTTTAAGCAGTTTTATCAGAAATCGTGATTACTGATTATACCACGATTTTACATAGTAATCACCAGGGTTGGGATTTTATAGCACTTAAAATTGCATAAATACGCGCTATAATATTACCTTAAAAATCGCTAAATAAGCTCTAAAAGTAGTGGTGTTTCGGCAAAAAAACTAGAGGGTATACGCGCGTTTAAGGATTTATGACAATGACTATTGTGTATTCATTAATATCAAGACTTATCAGATTTTATCACTCAAAAAGACGCTCCCGAATATTCAAGTCTTTTCTGGATCTCATGTTCACAAGTATAAACTTTAATATAAAAAAAATGTGTATTAATTTTACCCCATATTATTTCTTGATTTATCTAAGTATTTAAAGCTTCTATGGAAAATTCAATAATTGCTCGATTTTAAAGGCAAAAAATATAATAAAATATTATTATATTTATTTATTTTATTTATAATTATAGTAAAATAAAAGCATAATCATATAATAGTCAAATAGGTAACTACAAAACATATAAAATATATAAAATTAACTTTAACAGAACCTATACATAATAAAAAGGAATAAATGACAACGGTTAAAATTGATTATAGTTTATCAGTAATGGATCAACATTGATCACGGATAACAATAAATTGAAGCTTACAAATGTTTATATAGAACGCCAGCGCATTCAGCTATCAGGAATCCATTACTACTACAATTCTGGCTCCATTTGAGACATTTTAGGCGTTAAGTTGTTGAAAACCCGTGATAATATTATCATTAATTATTAAAAATAAATTTCTTTCATTATTATTAAAATAAATATATAATAATATAAATAATACATTTATTATATTTGGAAAGACAATGGGGGGATTTAAACACCCACACCCCGTCTACGCCACTGCCTTCTCGATGTCCGTTGAAATAAGACTCTGCGAGTCGGACTGTGACAAATGCTGTTCGTCATCCACGACGTCGTCAGTTTCTATTTTAATTGTTTTTTGTGTTAAGTTAAAAAAATTAGTTATCTTTGATGTTCTTTTATTTTGTTGCATATTTATAAATTCGGTTGTCAATTTATACAAATATTGATATATATACACAAGTAGATAATTAAGTTATAAATAATGCATTGACAAGTAAAAAAATGCGTAATTGACAACTACACAACTAGACTAGGATCACACTATGCGTTGAATCTCTTTTCGGCAATTAACTAATCAAACAGCAACTGAGCAACGTATGCGGTATTAACGTATTTTCCGAACGGTTCTAGAGAAACGGTCTAGTCCAGATATGATAATGCTTTATCGATTTTCCCTTTTGCTATTTATATTTTACTCGGTATTGCTAAACAATTTGTATTTACAATTTACTATTTTTATTTTGGTTTTCATATCAAATAATTATTTAATTATACATTATATAGTATAATACAAGTATTGAGTAATATGGTGTTTTATGATATGTACTACACGGACCAAGGGGGGAGCCCTATGCCCCCCCCCCAAATACGCCACTGTTCAGTGTTTGTATTTACAATATCGTGACACTCTATTGAGACGCGTACACACAAGCGCGCTGAACATGCAATGCAACGTTACACGTGCGGCACGGTGTAATTTTTAATTTACTACGAACACGTGCAGCGCCAACGATCAGTGGCGTATTTGAAGGGGTGCAATGGGGGCAATCGCCCCTTCCCCCGAGAATTTTTAGACCAAGACAATTTTTATATAAGTAATGGATATTTTATTAAGAAACAAAAAATATAATTTATTTTATAGTATTACTACGTTTGAAAACGTTTCAAATTTTACACTAATTTAAATAACGCAAAACACTAAATTTTTCATAACGTTTTAATTGTCAATAATGGTAAACGTAAAATTTTTTAAATGTTGAAATTTGTATAACATTTAAACTCTTAAATTGAATAACGTTTAAATTATTTATAGCGTTAAACACTCAAATACTTATAACGTTTATATGTCCCATAACGATAAATAATATATATTATTTTAATTGAAGACCCAGTCCATACTTAGTGCAAAATTAGATAAAACTCAAGCGAAACTATTAAAACACAGATAGGAGTTAAAAAAGAACTACACAAAAGATCATTCTAAGTGGATCCGGCTTAAGATTAAAAAAAAAAAAAAAACCACAAATATTAAGGATTCACCTGATATAAATATTACCAACAATTTTGCTTGTAAATTTTGAGCCTGAATTAAAGAAAAAATTTGAGTCGCCCACCCCTAGAAGTAAGTTTAAATACGCCCCTGCCAACGATCCACTTTCAATGCACGCAGTTTGCCGCGAAAATTTTCATGAATAGTTCAGATTCAAAGCAGCATGCGCGTTTCAACGATAATAAAAATACGTCCACACTGCGCCGCACATTCCTTTGTGTTCGTCAGAAAAACCGACAAAAACTGGTTCAATCCATGCCGTTGCAGTAACGGCGCGCGCGTGTTTCAAGTACCGTCTATATATACTAATCTATGGTCTACATGAAAGAGCGCGCCGTTCGTGCAATGTTGCATTGCATGTTCGGCGCGCTCATGTGTACGCGTCTTTGGATAACTTTTCTTAGTATACTTACTAGGAAGTTATTATTGAAGATATGATTCTTGTTAAATATCATAATTAGATGACAACAATTTCTCACTAAATTTAATACTCATCCACCCACCCCTACATACGATAAAATTATCGGGCGATTGCCCATCAAAATCACGGTCAACACACCACTGGCCCGGGCTCGAATGCTCGGTCCCATGAACATATAGTTGTCTTTGTTAAACAATTTCTTACTCGTTCTACAATTTATACATATGATATTATAAATTACATCTATTTATAACACTCACTTAAATCTTTTAATGTTATGACTTTCATGTACAAATATTGCGATTTAAAATTATAATATTTATGAGGTATTCGGAACAACCAAATACAGTCAAACAACATGTCAGGTTCAAACTCTTCGACCATGTGCATCATTGTAATAGCTCCACCTTTGTTTTCCACAAATCCTCCACAATCTGAATTGAAATAAAAACTAAATCTTTTTATTTTTAATTATAAAATATTACACATGTACAGAACTACAATAAAAAATAGATATATAAAGTAATTGCTTCGTTCAAAAATTCTATTAAATTATCTAATATAGATATTATTATTACAACCAGTGCAGAATTTAGGGGAGAGGCGAAGTGTACCCAGGGCCTTACCATACAAATTAGAGGCCCAAAGAAAATTTGTTTTCAGTTCCTACCTTTTTAACAATGTTAATGGTACACCACTGTTTTTTTTAAATAGTAATAGTGCATATACCTATACATTCGATTGTATCAAATTTACTATTCATTCGGCATTCAACAATCACCCAATACGATTTTTTTCAATTCAAGCCTTTTTTCGGGATCCGAGGCCCTTATGTTATTAAATCCAGCACTGAGTAAAACTTATTATCACTACTAAACGTTATGTATTTTATTATTTCCTTACTAGTATTTGGTTTTAAAACAAAACCTTTAGCAGTTCCTGAAACAAAGATAAATTCAAATTATTTCCAATACATTATTTACAAAATCTACGAAATTAGTACCTACCATACATTTTTTTTTTTGCTTATTGATTATTATTATTATTAATATTAGCTATATTTAATTTTAGGCAGTATAATAGTGTCCTGTGCTATCCGTTTAAAACTAGAGCCATCCTAAGTATTTCTAAGACCTGGGGTGAATTAATTCGGGGACCCCTCAATCATCATAATTTAATTAAGGACACAGCAACTAGCAAGTGCATTTGTGAAAATCCACATGAATTCATTTTATATAAGACTAGATAAGAACGCTCGCAAATAAGACCATTGCATTTGCAGTGGAAGTTTTCATGCAATTATATATTGTTTCATACAATCAGAAAAAATGTATTTCTTTGAGAAATAATATGATATATGTAGTGAGTGACTAGAGCAATTAGGCAATACGCCCAAGGAGTTATTTAATACTCGAACAAAAAAAATACTAAATAACTATGCAGTAAAATGTATAGGTAGGTATATGCCAAACTTAGCCTGTATTATTTATTAATTTATACTTAAAAATAAATTATGTTGATAAAAATGATGAAAGTACTAGCCTCTGACGTAAGAATATTGAGCTTTGTAGCCAACTGAAGATCCAGCGTTAGCAAAGAATTTAATATACAACACTGGTCCAGAAGATAAAATCACAGGTGGTCGAAATGTTATGCCTCCGGTTATTCCTAATCTTTTTCTATTCGAATCGTAAAACTGTAATATAATTTAAGCATACAATAAAAATCAAACAATTTAAAATAAACGTTGGAAATCAAGTAATTATAATAATCCGATGATTTAGCAACATAGGTATCAGGGGCGTATTTAAAGTTGGGCTGAGGGAGCTGTAACTTCTCCACCCCCAAAATTGCAGAACATTTTTTTTTAGTCTACTTATATCCAATCAGATGTAAATCGTAAACGATCAATATAATTGTATAAAGAATTATTCGTAACAAGTAAATGTACTGTGTCCAGCGATTTTGATCGTAACGATCAACATTGAAACGCAGGCGACGCAGCGTAGCGTAAGAAAAACTGCTTTGACTAGGTGAGCGCTTATTACAATGGAGTTATTAAGCAGATCCAGGGAAAGCATTGGGGGCAAGTGCTACGACTAATGAAAAAAAAAATATTAAAAATAAAATATATTTAGATGAACTAAATAATAGTTAATAAAAATAAATCTTGAGAGTTTTAGTACAATATTGGCACATTATTTTTCGGGGATCTAAGCCCCCTACCAAGACACTCCTACATGATATATATGCTATATATATATATATGATCAGCTATATTATATAATTTTTCCTATGAAGTATAATTCAACTGTATATAGATGCTGAATCCGTCCTTGTGCGCAGTTCTACATCACCGTCCATTCAGTCATAAACGATAATATGATAGCCGAAAATTTAAGTTCTGAATCAGTTTCCAATAATGAATTTGATGAACTTCTTTTTCTATTCTGTAATTTAATGTAAAAAACTGTAGAAAAGTAGTTTTATAAAAAAAAAAAAAAAAATCTTGATGAATTTAATTTATTATCATAATATTTTGACAGATAGAAAATGTCGAGTGTCAAATTAAACTTCGTAAAGTCGAACGGCTTTGATTGAAGCCTCTTCTTTCGTACATTTTTTAAAAAATCTTGATTTAATAAACAATATTTTAAAATTGTGTCTTCTTTTCCTTCGCCTTATTCCAAATTGTTTGGAGTCAACCACCCATGTTCTGAACCTCTACTCATAATCGAAATTTTTTACATCCCATACATACACACTAACGACTCTCATTTCATTTTCAACCGTATCCAACCATCTCTTTTTTTGGATTCCCTCTTTTCCCTTCAACGTTCATTTTCATAATTATTATCTGATTTTGTTTCCTCTTGCTTAATCATATGCTGAAATCATCTCAGTCTATTTTCTCTATTCCATATCAAGCAGCCATTTCATGTCTTCAAGATAAATCATTTTTTTTCCTACGTAGAATTTGTAAAAACCTCAGAAAATTATCAAGGGAGGGGGGTCACAAACTAACATAGGCATAGTACAGCTCTGTCCTGACTTGCCTCCCAATATGCGCTAATAAGTTCTAAAACAATACAGAAAACTGCTGCGATACCCTACACTGCAAAATGCAAAGCAAAGCAATGCAAAGCTCGTGCATTCAAACATATGTATTACAAAATGTTTTACTACGCTGCCCTGCCAAACCTAGACTACCCTACTAATGGCGGAGCCGAGGACGAGTCAGGAATTCACTTTGGAAAAAATACCAAGCTTTTCCAACAAAATATATTTAAATATGCCCCTGATAGGCTAATATAGGTAGGCACCTCAACAATGGATTCTTCGGCAATTTGAAAATCGACAAAAATTAAATGTATCAGGCACACTGGTATTTTACAACTTATCACTTGTTCAAATGTCAAGTCATCCGGATAAGAAATGGGGAAGAACGGAGTACTGATATATCCACCAAATGAAATATTTTCTGAATTAAATTCTGGTGTTGCTTCTGTCAATTGTGTATTTCCTGTTAAATCGAATATTGTTTATTATAGTACCACTCGTGCTAGGTAGTTAGACACTAACATAAAAATCATATTTTTATAAAAGTACAATAAAATAAACTTACTGGTAATCAAGTATTCTGCTATAAATGCACGGCTGCGTGGATGTCTAATGAGGACATTTATATTTACCTGGCTTGTAATCGATTTGTAATAAATCAAAGAATTTTTTACTGTGCCGTTGACACATTTTAAAGACCGTGTCGAAAAGGGTGGTTCAGTGATACATATGGAATTACAGATTATTTCTCTGCTGTTTATATTATTGGTGCATGGTAAATCAACATCTTTAAAACGTAAATTTATCATACATGACGAACATGAAAGAATGTGTAAAGAACATTGTTTGTAAAAACTTTCCTACAACGCAATGGAATTTATGAGAAAAAAATTAATTATTTCGAAAATATCATATAAACATAATAATATTATAGTTCTACACTTACATTAAATTTTGAGTAATTAAAAGTATCGGTTTTAGCAGAAATGATTCCTCGGGATCCGATTGTAGTATAAACTCGTTTTTGATTGAACGGTCTACAGATGTCGTACCGTTTGACACTCAAAGAACAATCGATGATTTGAAATATTATCGTCAATAAACAAACTGCAATTTATATTAAATGTATATCTAACAGATAATAAGTATAATTTATTAATAGCATGATTTAAGAAAAAATTTGTCTATATAAAAAAATATTTATGTATGGATGAAGACCAAAATGAATTTGGGGACCCTATAATTATAATTTCACTGAATCATGAAAAGCATATAACACGTATAAATAACACTAACGGTACGTCCTAAGTGAACGCGATTTTGCGAGTGCGCGAGCGTCCTGGTCGCGGGCGGACGATTTGTAGTTTTATCAATTAAAATACACAAATAACCGAATTGAAGTATTCGAAAATAGTACTAGTCGCCCGCGTCAGAAACAAAAATATAACCTAACCCCGCCCGCCCGCTTGTTTAACTTCTAGATAGGACATTCCATAAATTAAATCTATTTTGAATTTTATCGCGTCGCCCGCCCGCTCGGCCGCTCGCAAAATCGCGTTCACCTAGGACGCACCGTAATGTCGGGTTGCATAAACGATCAATAAAAACAGTTCGATAAGGTTTGTTATCGAGTCGATAAACTATTATATAAATATCTTTATCGGTTCCATAAAGTACAATGCTGTTGCATAAAATGTCACAGATATCTATCTATATTATACTAGATGACGAACTTCCGATATCACTTGAAGCACGCATTGATTTATGTTATCATTTGTCCGCCATGTTTTGGGTTGGCAAAATATTGTATCAACACTATTCCCCACACATCAATATTAATTATATACTATTTAGTAACTAATATTTATTAAATATGCCTGTTTCTTGTGTTGCTTACTGTTCAAATCGCTTTTACAAGTAATTCTTCAATTCACTTTTTTCGGTACGTATGAAGTATAGATAATATGATTTAAAACCACCTCAACATTTACATTTTTAATTGCAACGTATATTCTGTACATTCTCTGTATCTGTATATTCTCAATTAGCTGAAACATTCCAGCCTCATTCGTGCACCGATCCCGAAAACAACACAATTATTGAAATTCAACAATTTCTATCAGCTTCGCTACCTATGTCACTACCTGCAAAACCCATCTTTCCTGGTGAAATTCAGTATATAATTAAAAAATTACCTCCCGGCAAGGCACCTGGAAATGACCTCATTACAAACAAAATTCTGAAAAATCTGTCTCTCAAAACTTTATCATTGCTCACCCACATGTATAATTCTGTGCTAAGATTTTCCCACTTCACTAAAATCTGGAAATTTACAGTCATTATATTTGTATACAAACCAAATAAACCTAAACACTTATCTTCGTCATACTGTCCCATAAGTTTACTTCCAGTCCTTGGTAAACTTTTCGAAAAGGCTCAACTTATTATTAAGTTATTACTAAATTATTATTAAGACCCAAGACAGAAATTTTCAAGTACGCCAAGGTAATAAAAATTCTGATTCTTTTGATATACACGCAGGGGTTCCACAAGGTAGTGATTTATCTCCGGATTTATTCAATATATTCACTTCCGATATACCCACCGACCCAAATACGATACTAGCAACCCATGCCGATGACACTGCTATTCTGTCCATCAACAAAAATTCCATCACTGCTTCTGACAACTTTCAGAAACATACTTCTAAAATTGAAACTTGAAAATGAAAATTGAACTAAAAATGGAAAACAAAAATAAATGAAAATAAATCTGCCCATATTACATTTACCTTAAAAAAACATCACTACCCTTATATTACTGTCAACAATAAAGTCATACCATCATCTGATCAAATAAAATACTTAGGTTTAACATTAGATAAGCGCCTCACATGGGGACCCCATTTAAAATAAAAAAGACAAGCAGCAAACATACTAGCAAACATAGGCTTCACAAACTTCGTCCACTGCTAAAATCCAAAGTAAGCCTCAAAACAAAATTATTAATATTCAAAACAATAATAAGACCCATCCGGTCTTATGGAATCCAAATTTGGGGACCGGTTAAACCTTCCAACATTCGTCCAATACAAGCTCATCAGAACATCACTCTTCGACTAATCACAGGCGCAACAGTACATAAGTAATGTTTCGCTTTACAAAGACCTCAACATAACAACCATTAAAGAACTAGCTACCACTCACTACAAAAGATTCCATTCCAAACTCGACTCCCACAAAAATCCACTTATAAAAAATATGTCCTCTCACACCCTACCTGGAAATCCAAAACGACGTTTAAAAAGGAGCTAGTTTTGTGACCTATTATAATAAATTGTCAAATTACAAATTAAAACTATGAGGGTGTTGCCAATGGGCCTCTTCTTCAATCATGCTATTCATGTCATTGTTATTCATAATATTTATCATATTTATTTATTGTTTTTTTTTTTTTATGTATGATTGTAAATTTCTTTAAAAATAAAAAAAAAAAAAGAGAAAAAGATAGCTTCAATTATTTATGATTTGTACTATTGTAATCAATTGCAACTGTTACATTATCACATTAAGTTTTTGCACAATCATTTAGTTTTATGTTGCAAAAAATGCCTCGTTTAAAAATTTGGTAAGAGATGACAAATAACACTAGGTACATTTATTAAATCTGTGAGCGCCATTGATAATACATGTAAAATATACTACAATGGTCAATAAACTGCATATTTTTAAATATTTATTTCAAAATATGACTATTATTCAACTTGAACCCGCTATTGAAGTACTTATCATTAATCATTAAAATTAGTCATAATTACAAATTAACAATAATTTATTACATTAATTTATCTTATGTTTAATAATTACAAATTGTAATCGTAATTGTTAATAATTAATCAGATTACTATTTGTCCAACACTAAAGTCAACAAATCAAATAATTCGTTGATAACTAAGCGAACATGTATTAAGTTGCAAGTATTTAAATTCATAAATAACCACGCAATATTTTGGTAAATACATAATAATGATTATTCGGAGTGATGCTTGGAAAATAAAATTTTTTTTCAAAACTTATATTGATAATAATATCATAACTCATAAAACTGTAAGATAATGAATTTAAAATTAGGTATTGTTAGAACAATATGGTTTTTCTTGTACTTAGTATAGGCCATAATTACAATATTTAACAAGCAAATTTTGAATTTCAAAAAATTACATCAGAAAACATTTGTTGAAGTAAAGAGTACCAAATTCAGTAAAAAAAATTAGTTTTAATGAGGATTTCACTTTCACTGTTTTTTTCTAAAATTTCTAAAATAATTTAAAAAGTAAGTACCATAGAGATACGAATGATCAGTGCCGTCGCAAAATTTTGCAAGACCCTAGGCAAATGCAGTATAATTTCCTTACATCTTAATATATCTGACTATTCTAACTTAACAAATTGTAGGTCCCCAATTTATATATGCAGTGGCGCACACAGGATTTTTTTTTCGGTGAGGGGGGGTCAAGGTAATAATTTAACACATTTTACAATTAACAAAATTATGCAAATCCTTAATATATTTTGACTTAAATAATAGCATTGATAATAGAATAAACTATTCTATAATCAATGATACTAGGTTTTCAATTCTAGCTCTTCATATTTCAAATTTGTAAAATTTGTAAATTTTAATCTAAACATCGGAGAAAATTTCGGAGAGGGGTTACAACCCTTTACCCCCCCTACGTGCGCCACTGTATGTATGCCCTAGGCAATTGCCTAAGTTTCCTGCTCGCTAATGACAGCACTGCAAATTATGATTAATATATATGATTTTTAATCTATAGCATGAAACTATAAAACACAACATCAAAGAAAAATTTACCTACTTAGTTGTAATATTTGTTGATAAGTTAGAAAATGACTAAAATATAATGATGATAAAAATTATTTTTATAACTATAAAATAACAGCTACTCTAAATTACTTAAATTACCAAGAATACTAAAATTAACTATAAAAAAAACATATATACCTATTTTTATCAACTGATCCATTATTTAGTGAATTCGGGATTTCTATCATCTATTTAGCAATATAACTATACTGACTAAAATCATTCAACGTATATAACCTTAAAAAATAGTAAGGCTTCCACAAGGATATTATTATGATTATATATAAAAGGTTTCTAAGAAAAATGACCTTTAACAACCAGTTATTGATCCTTTTTTTTTTTTTTTTCTATTTAATGATGAGTAAATTTTAAACACTAATCAATACCCTATTCATAAAATTTACTTTAATTAGACAGATAAATAAAGTTGAATAAAACCATTCCTACTGTTAAGTAGATGCTAGGAAGATAATTTCTTATCGATAAGTGTAAAATAAAACAGATTGTCAATTTATCAAGTTAAAAACCCAATTTTTGATTTTTGATTTCAAAATGCTTCGTTTTTTTATGAACTAAATTTATTTAATAAAATATGTAAATTCATTTTTATATAAAAATAATATATATATATAATATATATTTAGGTATTTATGTGTATAATAGTCATATAATATTGACGACTATACAACTATATTCTAAGTGTTCTCAGTTCTTCTAAATTTAAAGCTTAAATAATTAGACATCATTTTACGACTGATATTATTTTTTATTCTTTGGATAATGATTCAATACTAATTGTTTAATTTAACTATATTAAACAATATGGTAATGTATGCCTAGACAAATCCCTACTAAGTTGTCAAATATTATTTATGCAATAAGTAATCTACTTAGTGGTGGCGTGAATAGCTATTTTATGAGGCTGCTGTCTCATACAAAACTGGGGGTGGGTATCTTAATGACTCCAGGACCTAGACGGCTAGCTTATAATTTATACTTATATAGTCATATACGACCTACATACCTAGGTAAATATTAGGCACCTACTCAAGGACGGCCTGGTCCACCGGGATACCGGGAGGTTCCCGGTGGCCTGATTTTTTGGGATTTGGGCCTATTAGTCGCATCACTTTTTTTTTGAATAATTATTTAGTTTATAAAAGCAGTTTTTATTTTTCAAAAGTTGTCTAAAACAGATAATAAAATTTCAAAGTAATACCCATAACCGCCAATAAAATAAAAATAGAATATAAGTTGAATAAACAAATAAATATAAAATTGTTGTATTATTTACAACGGTGCGTCTATTAGAAGGTAATATGGGTATTTTGGGATAGGTATAGAAAAGCATTTTTATTATTGTGTATGTTTCGTCGACACGAACGAGAGACGGGGGTGCTGAGAAATTAAGTCATGTATAATAGTTGTAGAAACTGTGTACTGTGTTGTTATAAGTTATTGATAAAATAAAATGTATATAGTTACACTTATCAAGTCTTAATAGTTGCTTATAATTATTTATTATGTCTTTTTGCCATATGTGACCAGGGTAATAAATTTTCCCAGCCTGAATTTTTCTCCCAGGCCGTCCCTACACTTACTTTACGTTACATTATAGAGAAATTCTTTAAATATAGAATGAATGGATTGTACTGTGTAAGGAGTAACATCAATTAGATTGTTATAATCAGTATTCACTAATATTGGATACAATTTTCATAATGGTACCTATGAACTTAAAAATACTTATAAATGTTATTAGTAAAAAATAACCAAGTACCTAATTATAATATATTTTCTGGTACCTGTCTGGAGATAAAAGGTGTAAAATGTTTCAGTTCGAGTGCATGGTCAAAATTAACAAAAAAAAAAAAAAAAATGAAAATGGTTACAATTATTATACAAAAAAATTATAAATTGTAAAACTAAAACTCGTTACTTAAAAGCTGAAGCGTTTTAAATTAGAATAATTTTTCTCCGAATTAATTTTCACCAAGCAAAGTACACAAAATTTCAGCATTAAATTAATTTATAATTAAATATACATTACAAAAAATGTAGGTACGTACTTTCATGAATTGGTTCAGAGGTTAGCCAAACATAAGGCAACTCAAGACACAATTTTTTTGCATATGGGATAAATTATTTTTTTACTATCTTAAGATTGCTGTAATTTACCGGACATTAATGCACATGCCGGAGGGTTGAACCTGCATTTAAAATGTGTGAAAAGTAAAGTGTAAAAAAATTGGTGGGTGGGTACTTATTTAAGGTAGTTGCATCATAGGAAAAAAAAGTTCACGCCACTACAGCGTTTACTATATAATCAATAATTTTTTTTATAGCTTGTATCGAAAAAATATTTATCTGACTATTATTTTTTTTTGTGAAAATACAATAACTAAAAATGATTTGTATTGCTAAACAATAGGTGTGATATTTAAATTATATAATCAATACATTATTACAATCATTTAAGAACCTATACCTGCGTTGAGGATGAAATATTCAATCATTTTTGAAAAATTGTAGGTAGGTACATAGATTTTTAATTTTTTAAGTCATGTCCATTTCACAATCATTTTGATTCTGAATGGAATGAAAGCTAGTTAGGTACACAATTATCATTTTATTCTTTTTCTGTGGATTTATCTGTAGAATATTTTTATATTGTTGTATAGTCATAGCATAGGCGTGCACAGACCAGTATGTCAAGAGGTGCCTATAAAGTCCCCCATACACGGTCAGTCTTGAATTACAATCAACGTGATTGACAGTCGAAACTAATCATTGACTGACGATTGATATCTTCCATACACAATCAATCAAGAATGACAATCGTTCAATTTTTTTGTCAGTTCAAAAGTGTACACTTTACGAATAAGTACTTATTCGTGCTGTTTTGTATTGTTTTGTGCTGTGTACATTTAATTAATTTTTTTATATACCTATATTTATTTATAGGTATTTTTATAAATATTTTTGAGTTTGTCAATTTATTAAAATGGATAAAGATGCACTTATTGGTATTGCCATTTATCTCGCGTGTGATGATGCAAAGAAACCCAAAAAGAGAAAGAAAAGATTCTGGGTTAAAGAATGGTTGACGAAAAAAAACTCATTCTCTGATCATAATTTACGACAAAAAAAGACAAAACAAGACTCGACTGCTCCACACAATTCGACTAGATCGACTGATAAATTATACATTCATAGACATACACGGTCAATCATGAATGTCAATCATCTTGACTGATGATAAAAATTCAAACATGTTTGAATTTCATCAGTCATAAAATTTGACTGTCAGTCATTATCAGTCATATACATATACGGTCAGTCATGAATGTCAATCACGTTGATTGTCATTCAAAACTGACCGTGTATGGGGGCCTTAATACTTATGGGCCCTATCTTAACAAAACGCGTCGATATATTTAATAAATCAAAATGTATAAATAATGAAATAAACATAACTTTAATTTTATATTGAATATTGTGGTATATTAGTCCCAACGAACATGTTTTCTCGAATAGCTTAATCTATTTATGATTTGTAATTTTACAGTCAATTTTAGCTGTTATATTATCATAAAAAATGTTTGCACGAAAATTTAGGACATTTTGTTTTATTGTTTCTATTGCGAAATATTGTTTACTCTTTACCAAATGATTTAGAATAAATTACATTTAATTTGAGCCAAATCAGTTAAAATACGGGCCCTTTATAGTTTAAGACTTAAATTATAGGGTCTCGTGTAGAACGTTTCGGAAGGTGCCCGGGAACAACCGGCATCCCCCGTGCGCACGCCTATAATTCATAGTAAATTGATATATAATTTTTCTTTTTAAGGCCTTTGAGATCATCTTGCCATAGAACAAATCCTTTCCCATTCTTCTCTATTCTCCACTACCTCCTTCCAGTCCATGTGATCATATTCCGCTCCACCAGTACTTAGGAAATCTTTTTTAATTCCATCTTCCCAGCGTAGCCTTGGTCTACCCAGTGGTCTTTTCCTCTTTGGTTTTTCTTGGAGTACCCTTTGAACCATTGAATCTTGCTTCCTAACTGCGTGTCCTGCTCATTCCAACTTACTCCGTTTGATCTCATTTATAATATTTGGTCTATTGAAAAGCTCCATCAGTTCTTGATTATGCCTTTTTCTTCATCCTTGAAGCACTTGATCATATATAGGTCCATATATTTTACGAAGTACCTTCCTCTCAAAAACTGCTAATCTTTTCTCCTCAGTCTTTCGTAACGTCCAACATTGTGAACCATACATGACTATTGGTCGTATGATTGTCAAATACAGCTGAGTTTTAACCTCTTTTGACAGGACTTTCGAGCTTAGTAGTTTGCCTAGTGCATAGAAGCATTTATTTCCCATTTTTATTCTTTGTTGAATTTCAATTTGACATTCATTTTTCTGTGTTACAATCGTGCCCAGGTATTTGAAATCTTCTACTTTTCTGAACTCGTACTGACCAACTGTTATGGTTTCGGTTTCCTGAAGGTTATCTAGTTCCCTACTAACTTTCATGTACTGCGTTTTCTCTATGTTAAGATGTAGCCCTACCTTCTTTGCCGATTCTATTAACCTGCCACTTTTTGTTCATCTTCTCCTAGCAAGACTATATTGTCTGCATAGGCGAGTAGACTAAAGCAAGTTCTATCCATTCTTACTCCTTCATCTCTTCCAATATTTATTTCTCGGATCACCTTCTCTAATACTAAATTAAAAAGTACTGGCGACAAGACATCCCCCTGTCTAAGTCCGGTTCTTAACTCCACCATCCTCGACGTCGCGTTTCCTACTTTGACTTTAGTTTGTATTATACTAGCTTCAACTAAATGTACTATTTTCCTTGGGAAATGGAAATGTTTCAAAATTTTTTGGTTATGCTAGTTCTATCTATACTGTCATACGCCTTTTGAAAATCAACGAAGATAACATGGAGTTCCTTATTATATTCCCAGCTTTTCTTGAATAACTGTCTGATTATAAATATCTGATCTGTCGTTGACTTATTTTGCCTGAATCCACATTGATAGTCCCCCACCACTTGTTCGGCCAGAGGTTTGATTCTATCCAGGATGCAATATGATAATACCTTATATGTTGTATCTATCTTAAATTGATATAATAGTGTTTTATAATTTTTATCAGACGATTTTAAAACGCATTATGATCTCTTTTAACTTGTAGCACAGAGCTATAGCCCTCCTCTTGACCCAATCCTGTTAATATAAACCAGAGAGAAATGGTAGATTCAGACCTGGTAAAGAATATACTAATTTTGACCACAATTGATAAATATATATAGATAAGCTGTAGTCAACAAAAACGGGTCTTAAATTCTTTATTACACATTTCTACACATTAACAAATACAAACTACAAATATTTATTACTTCATAAGAACATAAAAAAATATAATTTTAATATGTCCTAATTTGGTATTTTTAAAAACTGGTGACCGAAACAAAGATTAAATTATAAAATTAGTTTTTGCAGTCTAACTTGTATCCAATGCTAAGTTAAATAATGTCGTAAGAACAAAAGTAGTAAAATTGATTATAAAGTAAATAAATACTAATATTCTATAATAAATAACAGTACCAAATAGGGTTTTAAAAATATTTTAACTTTATACTAAAGAAGTTTAATCACTTGTTAGAATTATTTTGTTATTCCATACCACAAGATATTAGATTTGTCTGGGTACCAGGACACAATAATATTATTAGAAATGAAATAGTAGATGAAATGGCTAAAAAGGCAACCAAAGAACCTATTAAATTATGGAACCTAATAACTTTTCTTAACATAGAACTAATAAATATAAACCCAAGTCAAATATGTCAATAAGAATGGAGACTAGTAAAAAACAAATAACTTGAAGAAATTAAATCAACCACTCTTCCATGGTTACATGACGTATTACTCCCATGCCAACACTAAACCACAATCAACAGATTAAGGATTGGCCACACCCTATATACTCATGAACATCTAATAACCAAAGGAAAACAACAAAAATGCACCTCTTGCAATGCCACGGTATCAGTGGAACACCTATCTATCAACTGAATCCTTCCAGACAAAAGACTCCAGAAATAGACCGTTCCTATCCTACAATCTTTGCCAATAACTTACACCAAACCAAGAGATGAAATTAATTCTAATTTAATTTCTCAAGGACACAAATTTTTTTCAAGAAATATGACAAAAACACTAGATTATATCACACATATTTGATAAAAAAAAATTATAAGTTTTCATGTACTACATTTAAGTTATTTCTTAAAATTACATTTTAATCAAATATTTGAATAATCAAATTTTCAAATTAGGCTTAAACACTCAAATATATTTTTAATTATAGCTTCTTTTTGAATAATATTACATAAAATAAATATTTGACACATTTATACGTACAGTTTTAATAATAAATAATAAATGATAATACAATAATTATAGTGTTATATGAATGATTCCATAATTACACATTTTACTTAAAGGTGTCAATATTTTAAAATTCCATTTGTATATCTGAAAACAAATTATAGTCTATATTATAGAATTTTTGAAATACAAATATAAAATATACATAATATTTCCATTATAAAAAGTACTAATATTTATATCTAAATAATATTACATTAATTCACTTTTAACTTACCACTATTTTTAATTCTGTTTCCTTTCCAAGTATATTCTAAATTTCTTAAAAATTCTTCAAAAATATTTACACTTTTCAGTAATGAAGTTTTTTTATAATCTTTTAAGCGATTTGTATTCACATTTGCATCATTGATAATTTCTTTTTGTTTTTTCTCATATTCATTAACTTCATCTATTAAAACACTGTTAGAAAAATGTATTATTTACCCATCACATATTAACTAAAAATAAATAATTCAAAATAATTTACTTGATGGTAGGTACAGTGTTTGGATTAAATTTGTCAATAATTTTTGGATTGATTGGTACACAAACTTTTCCAGTTTTTGGGTGAACACAGAATGGAGATTTTAACAAGTGATTTAATCCTTTTGTTACATTTACATCTAACCTTGGATATGCTAAGTATAGCAATATATCTTCCAGACAATACTTAGTCTTAAAATTTAACAGCCCCTGTTATAATATTAATAGATACTCATTAAAATAAACATTTACAATTGATAGTTAAATAATTTTTACTCTTTTAAAATGATTATCAATAACTAATGTAAGTGCTTCCCAACGCTGAATGCTGCTTTGGTACTTAATAAATTGTAAATTAATTTGTTCCTTTAGTTTTTCATCAGCTATAAAAGATAAAACTTTATTACATCGTTCTGTTGTTCCCAAAAAATCTTGTTCTGAAATCAGTTGTTTGAACTCATCTTTTATGATAGAAATACTACGCCTGATAAAATAAGAATTATACAATGATATAATAATAAATTGAAATTATTATAAATTTAATTTATTGTAACTAACTTTAACAATGGATGGTTCACATTACATCTTTTTGAATCTCCAGCAGTTAATACAGCTAAATAATCAATAACTGTTCCACGTTCAGAAGGAGAAAGTTTTCTAGCAGATTCATCACATATCCAACAATGGATACCTCGACGACCAGAGAATACCCACAATAAATGTTGCCAACCAAAATCATCCCGAAGCGCTCGTTCCAAAATTTTTACAGCAATAACCATAAATCTACAACATATACAAAAAGTTTAATGATTCTCATAAGTATAAATTAAAAAGAATATCGTAACAACATTTTGTTATTATTATTGTTATTATGTATTTCACCTCCAACATTTTTGGCATACTTCAGCACCTGAACAACATGTACGGATTGAATCATAGTCAGTCATATCAATATCAATCACTAATTCTTTTTCCCTAGGATGAAACTGAGGATAATTTCGACAGATTTTAGGACTATAAAAAATAAAAATAATAAATTTTTTTATTAAAAACATAAAATACCTTTTGTAATTTAATAATAAAAATAAAATACAAACCTCATATTGAAAACAGCTCCAATATCTATTTTAAAAGGGCATCTAGTTTGAACTTCTTTTTCAAATTCTTGTAATGTATTAAAAGATTGATATCTTATATAAATATCTTCATGTAGAGTGAACGAAAATTCTCTATTTATAAAGTTTTCTGGTTTTACTGAAAAAAAAAATACATGCACATAACTATAAAAACATTGATTTAATAACAAAATTTGCCTCATCATTTATATTTATATGAATAAAACGTGATCAGTTTTGAAATTAAGTAAATTTATACGAAATGATTAGGTATAATTTAGTGTTTAATTTGTTGGGACCAACTTTCAGTGATGTATAAACATTCTCTCATTCAAACTCCCCTCAAAAACCAACAAAATAATAGATGACTCAACAAACATTTGAGTATACAATAAACATGGGTGGATTGGCCCCTCCGGAGATTTGAGTTCTCTTGATGAACTGCATTGTTCCGTAAACATGGTCATTAATAACAATCATGTACTGATCTGTTTACTATTTTCACATACTGAAATATTTTCCTAATCCACCCCTTATAATAAATATGATATTTAAACACTTTTGAAAGACTAAACATCCTACAGAAAAATTGAAAATACATTGGGCTTGTACTATAATTCACTTTAATTTAGAATATTAATGCAATAATAGGAACATATACATAAAAAAAAGTAGTTTGAGATGGGCAAGTCATATCAAAAGGTGATAAAAAGCTCCGATGTTTATAAAATTACATATTTTTTTTTCATCCAATTGAATGCAGGCCAGAATACAAGTTTCATTAATATTTTACTAAATCAATTACTACAATTTTTACTTAGCATATTTTTGTACAATTCAACACATTTTTAAAAATAATTTAAATTGACAGGTAAATAAATGATAAATTATCAATCCATATAATTGTACTTATCTTAATATATTTTTAAATTCAAGTTGGACCAAATGAAAAAAACCATTAAATCACAGAGTAACGCTCATAGTGTAAATAAAAATATAATATTAAAAAATAAAAAAAAAAACTAATAAAAATGAAATACTTAAAAATTATACAACATTTTTAATTTTTAATACTAAAGGTGAAACATATCTTATTCTGCACATTTTGACGTTTTTTTTTTAGCTATAATTTATATTGTTTTTTTTAGTGCATATTTTAAATGAATATTTGGTCATTTTATAGAGCATCATAATACATATTATATAACAATAATTTAAAGTGTATAAACATCCAAGCCCTAGTGATTTTAAGTTGCAATAAAAAATTTCAACTTTTCTACTACGTTTGTTACTGAATTTTCTGCATTAATTAAGAATATAAAAACTATGATTGTTGAGAAAAACTTGTAACTACATAGACTATAACCTAACCCAGTTCAACGCAGAAGTATATATAAGATTTCAAAAACAAATGCATCGTTACTCACTGTTGCCATAGGACAGCCATTTGTGAAATTGTGAGTACGGAAATAATTTTTTGTAGTAAACATTGAGATAGTCTGGAAACTGGTCATCAACCATTTTTACACAAATTTACAAAATACTTAAAATAGATAGTTCTATTTACGATGAGCAATAGTGTAAGCCTACAGGAATCGAAATAAATTAAAATATTCTTAGTAATGCATAAACTGAAATATGAAGTTTTTGTATATTTTTATCTACACGTTAATTTTATGATAATAAAAGGCGGGAAAACGATATTCGTGGTAAATAGAAGTTTTGTAAACTCTTTGTGTGGTCGGTTGACGATAGTTCCGTTCAAGGTCAGAATTGAATGACGTCATTAGATTTTTATTTACGTGTTTTTCTAGTATTTTCGTCACACAGCAACAGCCAATAATACTTGACAGTAATCTTGTATGCAGGGGAATTACATACTTTCAAGAATAACTACGATCAACATTATTTAATACGAATCCGCTGACAGAATACCTGTTTTTCAATTTAATTTACGTGAAAATAACTTTGACTTTGATTTTTAACCAGAGCCGATTGCGAGTTTGATCCCGGCAATAAATCGCAGACCCGAACAATGTCGACTGCAGGGATCCGATCGTTTGCCCGCTCGTTCGGGATGAAAATGTGAGTAATTACGTAGCACAAAATTTTTATTACTTATTACTATTGAGTTGTCTACCAATTTAGTGTTTTCGGTGATTGATATTCGGTTTTTTACTTGTCCATCGGATGTAACGGGTTCTCTAGTATCTAGTTGTCACCTCATCAGTGAGAATTTAATAGGGTTACTACTATTGTGATTCGATCTCAATCATTAACTTTTCTCGCTTTAGTATATTTGGTTCACATATGGGACAGTCACGCAACGGCGACAGCAAAATTGATCACACTTGTCCTGTTCGTTCATAGTTTAATAATTTCAATTGCATAAGTTTAATTGATTATAATTATATCCTTGAAAACTTTAAACAAAAAACAGCTACTCGTTTAATCCAATAAGACCTATTCTATAGCATACTAATTATTAATGCTAATTAAAAGCATTATGCATGTAATAAATTATTCAAAATATTTATTACTGATTCCAACAAATTAGATGACTATTAAAATCATGATTTAGTTATGTATTTTTATCAAATGGGATGTTTTTAAAATATCTTTAATTTAAATTACTCATAAAAAAAAGTAATTCACTATGTAATAGATTTTATTAATCATATTTTTATTATATAGGTATACTTTATTGTAAATTTCTACTTTTATTTGAACTAGTTTCTAATATTTTTAACCATATTATTTTTTTATTGATACAAGGTACAGTTATTCTTAATATTATTGAATTAGTCTCATAAATAAACTTAAATTTTAGACTTTTGTTTAATTTATGATTTTATAATTGTTTATTGTCAATTTGTTTAATATTGGGCAATCGAGATTTTTCAAGGGAAACATGTTTTTTCTGTTTTGAAAAGAATTATCTTTTATAAATTATTTACTAAAACTAGAAAAAATAAATTAAAGGTAAACATTGAAAGTTACAATAATTTTATAATTATTTAGCCTTAAATTTTTATTTGTAATTTTATTAAATTTATTTATTCTTTTTTCTTTTTTATCAATGAATTGAGCTTGATAAAATTAAAAAATGTTCATTTACTAGAAAATTTCATATTTTTAATATTTTCTTCCTATAATTCTTTTTTTTTATGATTTATTGTTTTGGGGTTTAATCGTCATGTTTATTACTTTTATGAATCAAATGTATTATGTATTGTACATTATCTATGTTAATTTGTATTTTTAATGAAGAAATATTGTTATATATATTACAATAATCTAGAAAAATTGGGGTTTTATGTGATGTTTCATATGTCATATGTTTATTTTATTATTTACATTTGGTTCTAAGACACACATTTAAAGTATGTACTTAATTTTCCTCTCCTATTAAATATGGTTATTATTATTTACTATATTTTTTATTTTTATGATCCAATAATGAAGAATTTCATAATATTAAATGTCCTAATAGTTTACTACAAGAATATGTGTCTAGTTGCATTTTCATATAATTGATAAGCCCACTTATTTTTTTTAAATAAGTAATATTTAAAAATATAGATTAATGTATTTTTATACAATCATAATTTTATCATCTAAAGTTATTAGTCATTACTATTTTATATAATTTTATTTTAACTTGATACTATTGTACAATTTTAGTGTAATAAATATTTAATAATGATTCAATTATGAATTAGGTATGAATTCAAAATATGTTGACTATTAGGATGTAAATATCAGAATTAACTATTATAACATGTGATATAAGTAATAATTACTGTGGCACTAAATTATTAAATCATATAATTTAATAATTTAACTAATATATTTGTATTTTACCCTTGATAAATTAATAATGTTGTAGTAATATATAATTAAGAGATTTATTATGAATTGTCATCACTGTTGGTGAAACGTAAGTATTTTATTGGTTTTTCAGCCATTATACAACAAGTTTCCTAGTCCTGTTGTTAGATAGTAATGATAAATGTAATATTACCCTGTGTATGTGAAAATGATCAGACTCACTTTTAACAGCTGTCACAAATAATGAATAAATTATGTAATAACTATGTAAAATGTAATTAAATTAAATTATTTATGAAAGATGTTTAAAATATTATTAAACTTTACAATTTACACAAACGCAAATAATAAAAAATTATAAGTCATACGTAGTAAGTATATAATAAAAGCTCTATTTGCAGTGCCACTGTTTAAACATCTACATTAGATAAAATTCAACTAAAGTGTAGCTAGTTTACTTATAACTGCAATAAAACAATTAAATTTTCAAAGCACCTTATTTACATTAATAAAAATATTGGCCATTAGTTTTACCTTTAGTAGATTTCCTCAAAAAAAAATTTACTAGATTTGCATCAAAAACTGCATTTACTGTTCAAAAAAATATTCCAGGTATCCAAGAAAAATTTGATATGACAAAATAATTGTTAACTATATAGTTGTAAGTAAGTCCACAATAGTTTTACAAAATATTAATTTTTATTCCATTTTTGGATCATTTTTTAGATACATTTAATAAAAGGTTTTTATCTCACCAGTGTGTTTAAAGTAATTTTCTTTATATTTTAGGCATTATAGCAATGTTCCAAGAAATTATTGATAATTGCCCTGATTTAAATATAAATAATTCTGTTTTAAATGGGGTATTAAACAGGTGGTGTACCATCACCTATGTAAATTGAAAAAACTAATGCTATTGATTTCTACTTCAATATAAACTCTGATGTTTTCCCAATAATACAGACTTGTTCAAATATTTATAACTAGGACTAGAAACTTTATACCCTTAAAAAACTTGAAATATGCATACATTAATACCCTGAAGAACCAATAAATATGCTATTAAAATATGCATTTAAAAAAGTTTTAATATAACTTATTATTATAATTATTACATAAATAAAAAAATTAAATTAATAAATAATAATATTTTTAGTTACGATATGATAGATATATCATATCTATGATGATCTGAGATAATTATTTTATTTTTTTCAGATTTGTTTTTATCTTATATTGAGTTTTTGTCTAAATTTAATAAATATATTTTTTCTATTTTAGTATAGTATTAATTATCTTGATCATTAGATTGGACTATAAGATTTGAATGACCTGTTATCAGCGAAAATATTTTTATAATTAGAAAAGAAACATTCCACTTATACAGAAATTATTAGTGTGAATTTAAAAAAATGGTAGGTCACTACTACTAATATCATTTTGTCCATTTAAAATGTTCAATATTTTTTGTAATTCATCACATCCAACATCTTTCTTCAAAACTTTTTTAATTTTGTCATCAATTTCTTTAGCTTATGCAAATCCTTCAATTTTTGCAGAATATACGTGTTCTTTTGTAGTTTAAATAATTTTATTGGATTCAGTTAGAAATAAATAAATAAATTTATTTTTTTTATAAAATTAAAAAACTTATTCTTTCATATAAATAATTATCAAATATGCACTTATAAATGAGAAATGGTCAAACATGCAAAATATGCAACTATAAATTTTAAATATAAACTTGTATTGCTATGAAACAAATTTCTATATTACTTAGCTATGTTTTTTATAATTATTTTAAACATATAAACCTGTATCAACTGCAAAGGAAGAATGGTCATTCTCCTTACTATATAATTTAAAAACATATTTAAAAAATTCAATGGGCCAAAATCATTCAAATGGTATTGCGTAATTAAACGTATGTTGGGATATGAATATGAAAACTAACAATGTCATCAATGTGCTAGAGAAAACATAGAATAGAAAAATTAAAATAGTTAATAAATTAGTTCTATATTTTTAAAATTACTATTTATTATATTACCTACAAACTACACTTTTTTACCCATCTCCCACCGTAAAAAAATAACTGGATATGTGATTGATTCAGAAATGTAAAAATATTAATTATTAATAAACTTGTTAAAGAATTACTTAATACAATTAATGTCTTGAACTACAATTTCTTAATAATCAAATAAAAACAAAAACGCTACTTTATAATTAATTAAGTATGTTTATTGTTAAATAATTTACAAACAATAAGAAAATAAGTACTTTATGTAACTCATAACATCAATTAAATTACATAAACTTACATTTATGTTATATTAATAAATAATATATAACATAAATATAATTATATATTTAATCAATGCTCATACCAATGGTTTTTTCTAATGTTTGTTTATTATGTCTAAAAGTAAATTGGCATATATTTTATAATAAGTATTTTTTTTATTATTTATATAGCTACTATTAATACTATGGTAGCCCAACAATTACAAAACTATATACACTTAAAGCATTATTCCTGGCTTTATTATTTTGTTTTATTGTATATGAACCAATAAATAAATATTATTTATAATGATATAATTTATTGAGAATGCTATATCATTTATTTTTTGTCCTTTTAATTATTATTATTATTTTTTAGTGAAAAACCAGTCCGTACACATTTAGTTAATGTTTATGCTTGCTTAACTCTATCCATGGTAGCAGCTGCAGTTGGAGCTTATATTCATGTATTCACTAACTTTCTAAGTGCCGGAATAATTACAGCTCTGGGTGCTACTGGATTACTACTGGCACTTATGTATACACAAGACAATGGAAAAAATCACACCCTTAGAATAAGTTATTTAGTTGGATTTGCTTTCTTTACAGGTTAGTTTCTAATTCTTTATTAATTTGATTATTAAGTATTTTTAATATTATTATATTTTAGGTCTCGGAATTGGTCCAATTTTAGAATATGTCATCCATGTAGATCCTAGTATCATACCAACAGCATTTTTGGCATCAACATTAGTATTCACATCATTCAGTCTTTCTGCCATATTTGCAAATCGTGGAAAATGGCTCTACCTAGGTGGTACTTTAATGTCATTACTATCTGTACTTATGGTAATGTCTCTGGCTAACTTGTTCCTTGGCTCAGATCTTATATTTAAAGTATGTGTGATCATTTTTATACTAAGCTAATTGTTATATATAATCTTTTGATTTTTTTTTTCAGAGCTATCTTTACCTTGGTCTTGCACTCATGAGTGGTTTTGTTTTGTATGACACACAATTAATTATGGAAAAAAGGAGAGCTGGAGACAAGGATTTTATTGCACATTCTGTTGATCTTTTTGTAGACTTTATTGGCATATTCAGAAGGCTGCTTATCATTTTGGCTCAAAAAGTATCTAAATAAAAATATAATGTAATTCAACTAAAGATCTGTAATTTATATTGTACTATTTTAGGAACAAGGATCAAAGAAGCGCAAAGACTGAATGGAAGTGCATCCTTTTATTTTTTAAAAATAAATAATATTACCAACTGAATATCATCTGTGTACCAAATATTTAAAATTATATTTAAGAAAAATTAATAGCGGGTTTTAAATTTTAGTTTGATATATTGATGCATATAAGTATTCTGTAAATTGTATAATATTTAAGATATTAATTAGTCTGTCTAAAGGTATCTAATGTCTAAATTGATCTGTTGGTTTGAGCATACAACATGTTTTATTTAGGTTTGATTTCATCAAATAGCATTATATATAATATTTTACATTGTAATAATGGTTTTTCTTATATTAAAAGGCTACATTTGTTACTTTAACCGTATATTTTTTTAATTTTTTTTTTTATGATATTTGGTGCATTCAGCAATCTTATAATTATCTCATTCTCAATAAACAGTTATTTTTAATATGTATAATCCAAGGTTAAATATATTATATTTTTTTAATATAAATTTTACCAAAAGCTTATTTTTTGTTATAAAATATATTAAGTATCAAGTTAAATTTTAATTTAAATATTAAAAGTAGATTTATCTTAACTATGAGGATTACTAATTATCTGACCATAATGACCTTACCTGATCTAATATAACCTTGTTATGTAGACTACTATCACAAGTAACTATTACTATCACAACTAATGTTTTCATTGCATACTTAAAACATTGTTAACCTATAGGTAGTGTATAGTTTATATTGTAGTAATATTGTACCACTATACATTATCATTTATCTAATTTTTTTCTAATAGGGCTTTCAATTACAAAATTTTATTACTAGAACTTGTTTAAAAAAAACAATTAGAAAATTTTTTTTGCTATCACTAGTGGCACATGAAAAACCTTTCTAATACTGACCATGAAGCTTATAGGATTACTAGTTATATCTGGTTATAGGTTAAGACTATTTTTACTGCTGGTATGTGATCATATAAGGAAGTAATAATGATAGCAGCAGAGCTCGAAATTGGTGGGATACGGTAGGATGGCATCCCTCTACTTGTTTTGTATAGAATAACGCATTCCTCCTGATACTTATATTTTTAAATGATATGCTTATCATTTATATACAAGACTTTTTTTCAGTGAAAATATTTGTTTTTAACATTCAGGCCCGGGCGCCCGGCTGATCATGTTTAGTATAAGCCGTTTTGTAACTCGTATTATACCCGTATTTAGAGCCACGGACTAAGATAATATACTTTATGTGAACTATAAAAAAAAAATATAAATAGGTACGCAAGGTCTGAAGGATATTATGATGATATCAGGAAATCTGAATTATAAGGCATCCCTCCACTTATCTTGAGCCATTTCGACCTCTGCTTAGCAGTATATGGTAAATACAGTGATGTACGGAAAATGAAATGGAATGCAACAGAAGAGATTTCTGAGTAAAATTGCTAAAAATATTCAAATAAAAATAAATACTTTAAAATGGGCATCATGTAATGAATGGATACATTTAGAATTTTTTGAAATGCAATCAACCCAAGCCGAAATCCTCGAAATTGGCCTGTGCATAACAGGTTGAATAACGTTGTCATAAGTATCTAGAAGAAACACACAAGATATTGTTATTGTATAATATCCTTTAATGTAGATATCAATAAATAATGAGATCAATTTTTACAACTTTTATAGGGTCATCTGAATCAGTATTCTGTTAACCAGAAACCCAAAAAATGGAGCTTGCTTTATTTTTTTAAAGTTTTCATTATACAATTATAAAACCAATAATTCGAATAGTACTAATAATTATTAGAAATTGTCAAATGTAAAATTCGAAACTGGAAAAATATTTAATTATAGATATAATTAAGTTTTTAAATTATTGAAACAAAGAGAATCACTTTTCTTCAAACTAGCAAACCAAGAATTGAAAAAGATTTAGTTAAAATTCTTTTTTGAAGAAACTTTCCAAGCACAGATTAAATTACAACAACCCTTAACTTTTTTATTTGGAGTTCATATTTCTTTACACAAGGATATGACTTCGGTTAGGTTGGGGGTGATATCAATAAAAACTTTAACATTGTTCTAGTAAATTAAGATCATAAGTTATTAGTTTCTTAAGCAAAATAATGTTCTCTTAAAAATAGGGATGGGTAGTTTATGAACTAGTAAACTCTTAAAAATTAATTGTAGGAGTTGAATCAGTGTTTCAGTAATCGGTGGCTCAGTTCAATCAACTTATCAAATTCAATTCACAAATCAGTAATCACAAAACTCACCAATTGCTGAACTGATGTACAACTATTATCAACTTCTTATCGGATTTCGAGGATTGTTGATAACCACAGATATATTAATATAATCGAGTTGATATCAGATTTAAAATCTAAACGTATATTTTATTATAGGTACTCGTGTGGTATAAAGTAATAAATCATATTGAATATTTCAAACAATTTCAGAGTAAAAATCCATGACAATGGATAATCATAAATAGTTTCATAACGAGATTGCAATAGACTAAAACAATAAAATTAGGACATGGATTTGCAAGTCAACCTAAGACTCTAAATTCCGAATACTGATACAGATTGATTCAAGTCATTAAACTGAGGAGAGTTGAAAGTTTTGATTTACAAAAAGAGTTAAAATTCTCATTTCTACAATTAATAAATACATGATATTCAAAATTGTTGGTTATTATTTTAAATTACAAAAAAAAATTTGCAAAAATAATTAAACTCAATACAATTTTATTAAGAAAAATTAAATTGAGGTCACACATGTTGCTCTAATGAAAAAAAAAATTACGATTTTCATTATATTTAGAATAGAAAACAAATACATGGTTACAGAAATCTTGTTCATCACATCATATGAGTACCTTATTATTTACAAAAAAGAAAAACTAATAATAATTGATGAACTCATGGACTTCTGAATTATTCTACTTAGTCTAGGTATCTAGCTACAAATACACAAGGCATATTTTGTCAATAAAAGAATGTATAAAAAAAATATTAGATAGCTAAAAATTTGAGTTTTTGTTTAATATGTATTAAAATTATATTAATAAGGACGGTTTCTGTCTCCTCTTCTATCACTAGAAAATAAATAGTAAATAAATTAGAATTTGCATTATTATGAAACTAAATGATAAATAAATAAAATGTATATTTACTCTCTCATTGGTCCACCACCACGTCCACCACCACCTCGGCCACCAGGTCCTCCTCTTCCGCCGCCAAAACCTCTTCCACCAGCACCTGGACCTCCACGACCACCACCCATACCAGGTCCTCCACGACCACCACCCATTCCACCACCACGTCCGCCACGCATTGGTGGGCCTCCACGTCCACCTCCCATACCTCCTCCACGTCTGCCACCACTATCACCAAATCCTTCTGGTCTTGGCTCATTGCATCTATTGCAGTTTTGACGCCAAGAGAAATTTGTGTTGGCACAAGTTGGATTAGAACATTTCCAATCACCATCGCGGCCACCTGAATCATTACCACCACCGCGGCCACCTCCTCTACCACCACCACCACCCATACGATCATCTCTTCTACGATCTGGGGGTGGTCCACGATCATCTCTACCACCACCACGACCTCTTCCACCACCTCTGCCACCTGAAAATTAAAATTTTATTTTTTAAAAATATTATAATTCTTTAAATAGTATAAATATAATTTATACCTCTAGGGCCACCATAGAACCCTCCATCTGATGGATCATCTGATACAGGATCATCCATTTGATATCCACCATATCCACCACGGCCTCTACCAGATCCTCCACGACCACCTCCGCCACCACTACCACCTCCACGTCCACCTTGCCAATTATCCCTCTTTGTAGCCAATTGAACACTTATTGTGGATCCATTAAATGATTTTCCTAAATTCAATTACACTCAATAAGATGTTTGATTTAGCAAAATATAACAATACTTAAAAATTATTAAATACAAACCATTAAACCATGAGATGGCACTATTAGCAGAATGAGCATCATCATATGTAACAGTTGCTTCTCCTTTTGGCCTTCCAGTTGATTTATCATTATACATCCAAATTTTAGGTTTTCCAGTTTTTTTATCCATCTAAATAAATAAATGTAATGTTAAAATATATTATTAATTTAATTAAGTTATTTAATAACCTTTATAATGCCAATTGAACCAAAATGTTGTTCAATATCAGCTTCAGAAGTATTAGTAGACATTCCCGAAACAAATATTGTGTCTTCTTGGATAATAAAATCACCACTACGATCATTGGGAGGTCCACTACCTAAACAAAAACAACAAATTATTTAAAATTATAAAATTTAATTTAATTTAATAGAAAAACCAAGACTATCAGATACTTCTGTAAACCATGAAAATATATCTTTATTTTATTTCAATTAAAATTTCAATATTAATAAAAGTTTGGTAACTATATCATTGTCTTCAAAAAGTATGGAACTTAAGTCATTTTCAAATATTGTTGAGTTGCAAATAAAATAATATTAAGCAAATATAACAACACTTTTGGGGAGGACTCAGGTAACGGAAAATACTTTATATACAAACTGAAATAAAACCATGGGCCACTCGCTCCATTATGTAAAATAAAATATTGTTTTTAACTACTAATCAACAAAAACTGCACCAGACAGTCAGTGGCGTGCATTTTTGAGGCGCAGTTAACACATTTAACCAATACACACTCTTTTATTAAAGATAAATTTTACTTAATATAAAATATACATTTTATTAATAACCTGTGAATAAAACCATTACTAGAGTATAATGAACCTTCCAACATTAACCCAATAATTGGTGTAAGAAAAAATGACATAATGATCATTATCTTACTTAATTATAAATATACATTGCAATAACTATAAGACCAAAAATAAAAAAAAAAAAAAAACCATTTGCCATCAATTTACTAGATGAACTAATTACAATAACCAATAACTACAAAAACTGACCACAATATGTAGTTATTTAATAAATCCTGTCTACCAATTTTCACTTTAATATTTTAAACCCAAGTATTTTACAAACTGGTAAACTATTTAATCCAAACTACGAATGGTAATTATGATTTTTTTTACAAGGTCCTAATTTTGTACATTTAAATTTTGAAATTTCATAAGATTATTAACCCTATAATTATAATAAAATATATTTAAAAAACGAATTATAGAACATATTTTATATCATAAAATTGTTTATTAGTAACTATTTATTAATTTAATTATACATTTACAAAATAGATTTTATTTAAATTAAAAGGTTTATGATAACCTAATAATTTATAATATTAATCAGTATAAATATTTAGTACTCCGGAAATAAAAGATGTTTATGAACCACATTAAAATAAAATCCATCTTTAATATACTTTATCTAGTAGGTAGTAGATAACTGAAGACTATATGTAATATAAAATCAATTTACAGTACACATACATTTTTAAACAAACCATTATTTAAACTTTTTAATTTATTCTAGATTATTTTTAGGTAAATAATGTGTTAATATATAAGACAACACATTGTAATATTAAAGTAAAATCATTCAACTAGAAGAAAATTTTAATTTGATAAAGGAACAATTTTAAGGATATATTGATTTATATAAATATTTATAAATATTTCACCACACTAAAGTATAACAGACTAGATCCCTATAATTCACAATATTTAAATTACATATTAAATAACTGTGAGAAACTGCTAACCACTTTGCACGCCACTTTTTTTTTTATTTAGAAAAATGGAATAAAATATCATAAATACCGTTCAATAGTATATAAATATGACGAAGAGTTGCTAAATACAGGTTAGAAATATTACCTTGACAAGATAACTAACTTATCTTGTATCAGCATTTGAGGATATATATACTTAAATAGTTAACAGACTTATTTGAGCGCCTATGAACCATTTACTTAAAATGTATATAAAGCACCACTTGAATACGGTGCTATTTACCTTTGTTAAAACCACCCCTGCCGCCAGAGCTAGAACAAAATAAATCGCATACACAATCAAACACGATTAAATTTATAAGTTGATAATTAAATAAATAATTTATTTATAGAAAAAAAAAAAAAAAAAATAATTAAAAAAAAATTACAGAGAATTATAATAATTTATATGAGCATATTAAATTAAATATTTATTATTTATGAAAATAGTTTAATAATTAACTAAATTTTAATTACCTTCTATTAAGAAATAATATTTAAACATAAATAACTTAAAATAACTAAGTTTATCCCCAAACACTAGTTTATAAACAGAAATAAAAAGTTGCACTATATTATTTTAAAATAAAAATAATTGTCAAAATATTATGAAAAAATTATTAATAAAATAAACCTTTACTTAAATACCTAACTAAATTTTGTAAACATATAAATGTATTAAATATAAGGTGACTCATATTCACAGAACAAGTACGAGAAAAAAAACCTACACAAATAACACAAGTGTTTAGCAAGATTTAAGTACATACACACTATGAACAATTTATAAGAGTAAATCTTTTTTTTTTTAAACATTAAATATACTAAATGCACTAATTATAGAAACATATACATGTTACATGGCATTAATCAAAATAAATATTTTGATTAACCAACACATACTCAATATTATAAACATTTTATTTTTAAATTTATATTTATATATTAAGCTTAAATCACTAATGCATTCTAAAACCCAATATATTGCACAACATAGTAATATTAGATATTTACTTTTACACCACAAGAAAGGTGAACGCAAATACCCTAAAAACATTAGTCATCAGTGTAATTCTTTATAATTGAAAACAATATTTTAAACTTTCAACCAAGTAGACTTAAAACAGATAATACTTTATTTTAGGTTAACATTGGATTATATTTTAATTTTCCCTACCATATTTTAAATTTAGTGTAAAAATATATTACACACAAGTACCTAGATATTTCACTCACAATAATAACATATACTAACATTTCTTAAAATAAATAATGTGATTACTACTCAAAATTGTCTTATTTATTCATATATGGTTTAATTATGGAACATAACATTTCAAACAAGAAAATTTTACAATATATGCAAATATCTATATTATTATATAAATAATAAAATAGAATTTTTATTTAAATGTTATACTATTAAGTTGAAATTTTCTTTTTAATGTATTTCACCTATATTGATATTTACACTTTTTATTTTATTTAAATAATACACCTATGTAGAATCATATTTAGAATTGGATGGGAAAATGTAATAAATAATGATGTGGAGGAGCTAGGAGCAACAGATTGGAAGATGCTAGCAACTGACCAGGATGGTCCTAGAGGGCCATAATACCAATATAAAAAAATCATGTATTTAGTGTAAAATGTATAAGAAAATCATTCTAATATTCAGTTCTCAATATTAAAGGGCCTCTCAACAGCTCATTTATGATTGAAAATAACAATATCTAAATTTAACCGTACTCCAAAATACATTAGTTTTGAAAACTGATTTAAATTTTTCAATACTTGGTTTATACATCAGTTGGAATATATTTTTAATTATTGTGGTCAATATAACTTTAAAAATGATAACAAATTTTTCAAGTAGAAATAATTAAACTATCTAAAATATTCATTGAATTGTATCACAAGAGATGGTACAATGATGGGCATCTGGCGACCCACATCCAACATAAATACTTTTATTTCTGTTCTATCCTATATTTTCAAATCACTTCATCACATTTTAGAGTTTATTAATATTTAATTTTATCACGTTGATCATATAATGTAGATATTATATTTTCTCTAGCATTGAACTCCAGCTAAATCATTAAATGACTAAGTGTGATATATATATATATATATATATTAATAATTAATATATATATATATATATATATATATATATATATTAATAATTATGACTAACATAGCTATAGGTTTTAGACACTTATTTTATTGTAATGGTTCATTCTTAAAATTAAATAGTTGAAAGTGAAAGCTAATGGTCAATTTCAATGAACTTTTTTCATTTTTTTTTATTATGGCTCGCTAGATTTTTAAGTTCTAAAAATTGGCTCTCTTATTACTTTGAGTTGCTCATATCCATATATATATATATATATATATATATATATATATATATCACTTAGAAAATTTTATTAAGAATTTATATATTATTTTAAAACTAAAATCTGGGTAATCTAGGTAATTAGAAATGTACTGTTAAAAGTAGAATTGTATCCTAAAGATGAAAATTTCACTTTTTATTTGTTACTAATAAGTTGATGAACTCAACCATATTGTCATCGTCACTCAACGCAGCACAAGCAAACAGTTTACAAAGATATTATTATAAGATATCTGATAATTTGTTTCAACTGTGGAGTGTGAGCTATGCCGAGATCACACTATAGAGAAGATTCTCTACACCGAGGCAAACTTACAATTCAATACATACAATTATCCTATAACCTTATTAGTTATTCTTATTATATAATCAATATTAGATTGTCAAAATACAATTGTGAACTGTAATGATCTGTTAATAATACATGTTTAAATACTAACTGTTCTACCATCTAATGAATTTTTTATAAATTATTAAATTGGGAACAACAATTTCTAAAATGAGAACAAGTATAAACTTAAGTATAGAAAGCTATTTTCCACAAAAGGAAAAATAAAGGTATTTACTTAAACTATGTAAGATTCACTGTGTTCATTGATTATTCACTATTCTAATAAATACGGGGTTATAGTAAATTATTTTTTAGCTACAAGACGTTTAAGTGGCTTCAGTAGCATATTTATAGGGGAATATGGAAGGTGAAACCACCTTGACCTCTTTTTGGGTTTATTTTACATTTCAAGAAAACGTATGTTCATAAATTAAAAATAAATATAATTAAATATGCATAATTATTTAGTGTCAGATGATATTATGATTATCAGACCACCAAAACAATAAGCAATTACATTATAATCAGTAACAAATTACATGTTAATCCTCACTTTTTTGTTTTAGTGGTCATAATGTCATGCAACATATGAAGACCATCTAAATTGACTTACTAACACTAATGTTAACTTACAAGATACAATAACTAACCACATAATATTTTAAGAAATTGCCTATATAATGTACTTTTTAAAAACTAGTGTTGAGGCCCCTCAAGTACTGGAACATAAGATTATACTACACCATATCATATTTTTCAATTTGTTTATAAATATCTATGTTACTACTATGAAGGTAATTTGAATAATAAAATAAAATCATATTGTTGCACATATGAATATAACCAACTTAATATCATATTTGACATTTATTGTTGATATCAATACTGTATGATAGTATATACATATATACATATATATATATATATTATAAATGTAACATTTACTCTAAAGATAACTTAATTTATATAATTAAAATACATTTGAATGACATTTATTAATCATTTTATATCAATATAAAATACCACCAATCAGGTTTTCACATTTTCTTAACTGAAATTTTTTCAACAAAAAAAAAAAAAAAAACAAATTAAATTTACCAAATATGTAAATAATGCATGTATCCATTTCAGAATAAATATTTTTAAGAACTATTTTATAGGTCATAAAAATATTTGCCAAAAAATAAAAATTATCAACAACAATTTACACTATAAATAAAATTACTTAAAAATAAACCTAAATATATCATCCACTATAAGTTTTTGTTTAATAAATGCTCAAATATAGTAAAAGGGCACCACAGATATTTTACCATAATTATTAAAGTTGTACAATATCAATTGAATCAATAAAATGCTGTATTATTTGTCAAATCCACGATGTTTTTTTTAATAATTATGAATACAGAAAATATACATAAACAAAGGTTTAATATTAAAGGTAGGAATTCACAAGTCCTTTATTAAAGCATTCAATACTTAAATATTATTTAATTTCAGAAGATAATATTAAATATATCTATGAAATTTTATATTTTATACTCTATAAATAAGACACCAAGCATATACATATATATAAATGTATGGTAAAATAACTGTAGTCATCTGAACAAAATATTAAACTAATTAAAGATTATTTTCGCTTAATTTAAAAATTAACACTTAAACATAAGAAAAACATATAAAATAATACTTACTCATATCCACCACCGCTACCACGATCTGGTCTACTACCTTAATAATAAAAAAAAAAGGAATAAAATTAGTATAAGAAAATATATAACTAATAATATTTGTTAAGCAGTAGTATGATTATATTTTTTTGAATACTGTACTCGTGAAAATACTTATAGCAGATAAATCATCGATTTGATACTTATGAAGTAACTCATTTTATATTGTTTAAGTATAAATTAATAAAATCTAATATGTTATAATATTTGATTGTAATCATAACAATAATACAATTTAATACTTCAGCAGAAATTTGAGTATTGGGTGAAAAAATATACTACTACCAAATCAACATTTTTAAATTACCTCCAAAGCTGCCAGGTCCACCATATCCACTTGAAGGAGGTCCACCATAACCATTACCTCCGCTTGAACCATTGAAAGATCCTTGTTGGCTTCCTTGCTGTCTAAAACTTGGTGGAGGTTGTTCATAAGCAGGATATCCACCACCTATTTTTGAACATTTAATATAACAAATTAGGGTAGTTATAAGATCTGAAATATTAACTCTTTAAAAATAAAATATGGATTTAAGATTTAAAATACCAATGAAATAAAAAGAGTCATAATATACACATCAATTAAATTAAATAACAAAAAAATGTCTATTGATTGTTATTTGATAGTCTTTCATCAATATTAAATTCAAAGTGAATACCTTGATTTGAAGCTGTAGGCGGTGGTGGTGGTTGGTTCCAGCCACCAGTTCCTGGGTAGCCTTGAGGTTGTTGAGTTTGTTGTGACTGCGGAGCACCAGCTTGTTGATAACCAGGGGGGCCTGGAGGAGGAACACCATATGCTGGATATCCACCATATCCACCAGCTACACCACCGCCACCACCATATTGACCAGTAGAATATTCTAATAACATAAATTAATAAGAATGAAATATCTTGTAACGGCTTGCCTTCAATTTAATAAAACTTTTGAATTACAATTTGTATTATCATCAAGTATCTTTCAAAAATAAACTAAATATGAAAAATTTAAAAATCTTTGATAGTTGTTATAATACATTACAGTAGGTTTTAAGAACATTTAAAAGCAATCCATGATATCAATGGGATACTTAATTAAATTACTCAGCTAACTAAATACATTAAATCATAGAATCAATGAAATTTACTAATAAACCGAACAAGAGTTATGGCGGTTGATTACAAAACGGGCCAAAGAATTTCAGTAAAGAACGATGACAAGGTAAAGGAAAATACTGTAGATTGCCCAAAAACTCCGTATTCAACTAAACGTAACGAATATCAAGATAACAGTACTTCAAAGATGTCAACACATAGACGGGGAGAACTATTCCATAGTCAATATTTGATCAGGGAAAGACACGATTTTAGTCGCAGGCGAAATTAATTTTTGATTCCATTAATAATCAATTTAAGGCACAGTGAACGATTTGTTCACCATTTAAAAAGAAGTTCAAAACGATCGAGAACAAAAAATAAAAACACTTATAGTGGATGGTAATACAACTAACCGGCCGGCCAGCCGGCCAGTGGGCAAACAAGCGGACGATCGCCTCTGTAGATGACGGTTGGCGCGTCAAACAACGTAAAAACGTGCGTGATGCGTATGATACCAAAAATAGTACTTACGTGGATTCGCCATAACGCGACGAAGATTTACAGAATTCGAAGAGCAAAACTAGGTAACAAGCGTTACTAACACACGAGTATGGATAACCAAATTCAATGGCGGCTGACAATCGTATTATGTTGGTTTGTCGAGAGCGTCCGTTGCACGGCTGTGTATGTTCGTCGTATACTTATATGTGTGTGTGTGTATAGTATTAGTATAATGTTTAGATGGCAATTGGTGGGTGGTGTCTACCAAGTACCTGGTCAGTAATCGTCTCAAAATGGCGTTTGTTTGCGGCGTGCCATCTCACGCCAAACAAGTGACGCCGACCGTGTTTGACCGAACCAACGGGAAATTTTGCGTTCAGTATACTGGCACCTTGACAATGAACGAGCTTTGTCGAACCACAGACAGATAGGGTACCAGATTTTATTTTTCAGAACCCGGGACTTTTTGAATGGATAAATATTAAACATATATAATATTATAAATATATATAATATATATATATATATATATCTCGCTATATAAAAAAAAATATATATATATATTTTTTTTAATGAATTATGTATAGAAATAATATAATAATAATAATAATCATAATAATTCATTTTCTAAGTCTTCGGATCTTTTGGGGTTCAAAATTTCTTCTGTTGATTATATTACATATTTGACTGATCCACAAACTTGTTTTAATAAAGACTCGTTTCCCAAACTTTGGTCGTAAAATTCTTCATAAGATGTATTATTGCATGTTATTATTTGAAGCTCGTTTTTATAATATACCGTTTTTACATCTATAGTTATTATCTTATATTAATCCATGTGCTGTTCATCAGTGCATTTGAACCCGACAAAACAAAAATAAATTTAACAACTTTTAACAGCTCAGAAAATGCATGATTGTTATCAGTAAATATTTTGAAAGTATATATCCAATTTTTTTCTATTTTTTGACAATATCACTCGTCATTTCGTGGATTAATTTTTTCAAATATTTTGAATTGTTCGAAAAACATTTATTCATCAAAATTAAGATTGTTTGACATTAGAGCTTTTATAAAGATTACTGATTTTTTAACATTTTCCCAATTTTCTATTATCTTTGGGGCTAATGTTATCGATAACATTGATTTTAAATGAGTTACATGTTGATTTGAATTGTTCCATTTTTTTAAATAGTTGTAAAAAAATACATCAAATTCATCAAATTGACTTACAAAATTAGTTTTATTGATAATTCCTCGTTCTCAAGTTTTGTTACGAGATTTTCAATTTCTACCGTGAAAAGCCGATCTTTTCTGTCGTTTTCAATTTTCTTGATATTTTATTGAGTAAAATTTTGAAACCGGGATAAATCGCTGTCCCGAAACACTTTCTCGGGACACCGGGACACTTGGTTAAAAACCGGTAGTGTCCCGGTAAAACCGGGACGTATGGCAACCCTAGCTATAGATAATATGGTTGCAAAACAATTATAAAAATGTTAAGCTCAAAAGGTATATTGGTTATCACTTCAGCATACAATGCTCTCTCTAATTGATATTAATTAGGTACATTGGATATCTACACATAGACCTTATACCATAGAAAATAAATAATAAAGTAAAGGTGGTCCCACACGATTCGCAGACTCGCTGAATAATCGTCAATCCTGATACTTTACGAGTCGTGTAGCAGGTGTTTAATCGTCAAGTAAAACGATTATTTTTACTCGCCTAGTCACTCGTGGTTTCTCATCGACTGTCGGTAAGCGCGTAACGAGTCAAAGAAATTAAAAATAATCGTGAGTAAATCGTGGAAGTTCCCCCACAACTCGTCATTGCTCGCCTCTTGCCAATACGCATTTTATTATTTTATATCCCGAGTTTATGCGTAGTGGCGTGTTAAAACAATAATAATATGATTTAAAAAATAAATTATTAAATAAACTATTTTACTAATTTAATAATACTATCCAGTATTACGTGTTTAATGATTTAGGAGTTTTCGAAAAAAGAAAAAATGAAGATTTACAAAGACTTTGTAATAAACCGAACATTTGTAAATTTCTTAATAGCAAAAGACTAGAATGGAAATGCAAATTATCATAATGTTAATAATTTATTTAAACAAATCTTATTATAATAATTTATGTACAGTAAAAATGTAATAGTGATTAATTATGAAGTAGGTGCTTAATTTACGTAACCAATTTCTCGATGTGTTCAACATAGGTTAGGTTCCGCAATCATATTATCTAATAGATAATATCAATAGCCGTGTGTCGAACCGATGCATGTCTGATATTTTATCTAGTGATGGGCATAATCAAATAATTATAGTAATCGTGACATTTTCTTAATCGAGTATTGATGCGAGTTTCAACTCAATTTAATGATTCAATTTAATTAACTCTTTGCGGCATGGTGGGACACGTTATGTCCCACCAAAAAAATAAGCATTTCTTCACGGTGGTACGAAAAATAACCCACCTTTTCTTTTATTTTTAATTTTTTCCCGATCAAATATTTCTTTCATTAATAACTTGACATTAATATTGTTGTACATTCTTAAGGCCTTGATATAAAAATAAACAGACTATGGGTAATTTGTGCGAGTTTATTATGAATTTCTTCTCTCCTTATTTTTGTCCACGTGATCAGTTTACTATAATTATTTCTATTTTGAATTACTCAGTATTTTGTCGACCGATTTGTTCATTTTTTTTTTCATTGGACGTAAATATTAGTGAACATTTTTATGATATCAAAATAAATCAATTCGTATTTCTGGGACCTGTGTAATATTGATAAATGTGACCGTCCAATAAATAACCCACCGTGCGGTACCGAGAACAGTCATTTCTTGTTAGTATAGTAGTTATAGTGAATATCATTCGTGTAGTACACTCGTGTCTTATATTTTTTCTTCGTTGTTTTTAATTATTTACTAACTTTTTAACTATATTACGTTATTTAATTATTAAGCAATCAACATGAATATAAACGACCGTGAAATATGTGATGTATTGTTTGAAAGTATACCTTCAGATGACGATAGCCTTACTTCAATTGACGATACAGATGAAGACGAAGACTATACTCCTAAAACTAAAAACGCAAATTTTATAGTTGAAGAATCAAGTGATTCGTCGAATTGTGAGGTAGGAAGTGATGTAGAAATTTTAAATTTAGATGATAATATTACGTACATAATGCCAAGTCCTATAAAACCGTCTTCAAGTATTCGGAAAATTCGAAACAAACCTCGTAGTCACCGAAATATTTTTCCAAATACTATTTCACATGATATAACGTCTAATCAAAAACACCTATTAGCCCAACCACTTTCCGAAGAACTTAATATTTCAGTCGAAAATGTAAATGTTTCTGAAAATAATACAGCGGTTGTTGATGAGTTTAATTTTGTTGAACCTGTTTGGTCTACATCGACAAATTTCACCTTGTCAACTCCTCCGTTTACTCACTTAGAAGGTCCTACTGATGAAACTGATATCATAATAGAGTGTACACCATTTTCCATTTTTAAATTACTGATTACAAATTAAGTTATTGAGCATATAACTTTTCATACTAACTTGTATAGTCAACAAATATATCAACAAAAGGGAATAATATATAAACCCACAACGTTTGATGAAATGAGTTTATTTATTGGTATAAACATCTTAATGGGAATTAAAAAACAATGTAGCTATCGTGACTATTGGTCATCTGCACCTGACTTGAACGATGCGTATATTAGCAGTCTAATGCCAGTCAATAGATTTAGTTGGTTATTATCTCATTTGCATGTCAATGACAATTCAGTCATGCCCAAAAAAGGTGATGAACATTATGACAAACTTTATAGAATAAGGCCATTTCTTGATTTTATTTTAAAAAATAGTCAACGTTTATACAATCCAAATAAAATAATTGCCATTGACGAATCATTGATTAAATTCAAAGGGCGGCATAGCGCAAAGCAATACTTACCAAAAAAACCTATTAAAAGGGGTTATAAAGTATGGGCCCTTGCCGATAAAAATGGTTACCTTTGGAACTTTGAGATTTATACTGGAAAATCTGGAGATCTAGCTGAGAAAAATTTAGGCGCTCGCGTTATTAAAAAATTATCCCAGCCCTCACAAAACAAAAATCATCATCTGTACTTTGACAATTATTTCACTAGCTATCCATTAATGACTTTTTTAAAATCAAAAAATATTCATGCTTGTGGAACTGTAAATATGACGAGGAAATATTTACCTACATTAAAATTAGACAAAGAATTAAAAACAGGAGAATATGATTGACGTATTGACCAGTACTCAACTTCCATTGTAAAATGGAAAGACAAAAGAACAGTAAGCTTACTTTCTAACTTTCATGACCCCAAAAATGAAGAAACAGTTCAGCGAAAAGCTAAAGATGGGACACTTTCATATGTTCCTTGCCCTAGTGTATTAAAAGATTACAATCAAAATATGAATTGTGTCGATAGGTTCGACCAAAATAAAAAAACTTGCCAAATCGATAGAAAAAGCAAGAAGTGGTGGCATCGTATTTTTTTTCATTTTATCGATGTCGCTATTGTAAACGCGCATGTGATATACACTCAAAAAACTGGAACTAAAATGAAAATGAAGGACTTTCGCAGAGAAATTTCATCAGAATTAGTGAGAAAAAAAATGTTAGAAAAACGTCGAAAGATGAATCAAACTTCAGAATCACCTCCAGTTCAACTCAAAAAAAATAAGCCGTTAGTTCCAAAAAATATTAGACTTGATCAATCTGCACACCAGCCAATAAGATCTAGTCGAAGAAGATGCGGAAATTGCAGTACTAAAGTAAAGGAAGTAAGAACTGAATGGATATGCTCAATGTGTAACATACCTTTGTGTTTAAATAAAAACAAAAACTGTTTTACTGATTACCATAATTAATTAGTGTAAGTTGTACAATTTTTTTTTTAATTTTCACAAAAGTAATTAATTTAATTTTTAATTGTTAGTAAGATTTTTTTTGTTGTACGAAATTAAAATTTGTTACTTTTTTATTTAATAATACTATTCTTAGTAATAACCCACATAACTTATATATGAAATAAAATGGTTTATTATGAAATTTATAACTTGCTGTAATTATAAATAAAAAAAAATTTGAAATTCTAAACTCGATACTATACATACTCATAAAATAACCTCTCAAAGTACACGGTGGGATACATGTGATCCCACCTATAGTTAACACATCATTCAATTCATATATATTTTTTTTTACTTTATAATAATTGTATGTAATGGATTAAAAAGAAATTACATTAAAAGCTATGACAGTTAAAGTAAAATTTAATAGGTTGTGCAACAACGGGGTAGAAAAATCTGAAAAACACGTGCCGCAAAGAGTTAACTCAGTTAATTTCAGTGATTTGATTTAATGAGTCAACTCCTAATTCAATAAGGTCTTAATAACTATATGTTTCATTTTAGTTAGCAATGAATTCACCAATTCAGTGAACTACATAGTTCAACTGACACAACTCACAAGCTGACAAGGGCGCCCATATGGGGGCAAGGGAGGGACATGTCCCCCCCTGGAAAATGTCAAAAATCTTGAAAAATTGTTAACTATGATCAGAATCTATTTATTTAAATATAATTTAAAAATTTAATTTAATATAGTATGAATGTTTGTAATCTGTTGATGAAAAATCGGTTTATTTAGTTTGGCAAATCAGGTTATCAGCTATAAATAACAACAGGCTTTTTCCTTTCTATTCTATGAATAGTTATCAATTCTTAAAATATTGTGTATTTCCAGAAATACGGTATGTATATGTGTGTGTACACAACCATAATATTTATATAATATTTGTAAATTAATATTTTAATAAATATAAGTAATGTTTTAAATGTCCAATTTATATTATTAATTAAATAAAAATTTCAATAAATTACTTTTATAGTAAATTGGTTAAATAATTATTATTATTTTATAGTCTTCCAGTTTGATATATATAATGTAAAATTGTAAACCTCTTCCTATATCGTAGGTTATTCCTATTTATGAATAAATTGATAAATTAAAATGTTGTCCCCCCCTTGAGAATTTTTCTATGGGCGCTCTTGCAAGCTGACAAAATAATAACATTAAACTTATAAAACTGATAAGAACTAGGAAGTAACACAAAGACTACTTAATAAGTGATGAGTAATAACTCTGTAAGGCCTCATATTATTTTATATATATATACTGAATGTTAAAAACAGATATATCAAACATCGAGTATTTGAATCATTGAATGGCACTTGTCCCCCCCACAATTACGCCACTGCACTGATTCAATTAATTTAGTTCACCGAAAAGAGTCGACTATTTAAAATCAACTCACTCGCAAACTACTCAACCCTATAATTAAGTAAATCTCTCGAAAAATTACTCGAAATTGAAATAATTTATTAATTTGATAAAAATAATTAACAATTTTTCCTAACCGAGATAAATATCCAAAGTCAAATAATTTTTGTATTAAAGGTATTATGTATATAATATATATTTATATATTTTTATAATTTATAATTATCATACATAAATATTCTTTTTATAAATATTATATATATATATATTCTTTTTATGTATTTTTATAACCTTTTTATATAGCAGTGGTCTCAAACTCAAATTACCAGCGGGCTATATATATTTACGTCAAAGGTTCATGGGTAAAACCCCTTTTTTATTTTTACTAATTTTTATATTAAATCAAAAACCAAGAAATTCAATGGATGGATGACCTCTTCACCCAAGTCCCCTGACCTGAAACGATGTAAATAATTGTGATTTAACTTGGCTGTTTGTTACATTATCCATTATTTTGTCTTTTCTGTATTAACTCCCTCTTTACTTGTGCTTATTGTAAACCTTACTTTATAGATTGTATAATTCTCTAGATTAAAAAAAAAAAAAAATGGAAAATAAACAAAATATATTCAGACAAAATGTATTTCTTTTATTGATTATAATTATGACAAAAATGGACATTGTACTGTATATTGTTTTTTTTTAAATAATAATAATTTTTTTTTTTCAAGCAGCACTTGATACTTGACAACTCTTATTTTCTACTAGACTGTCAAAATATAAAATATTTTATAAAACAAAAAAAATCAAAACTTTTGAAGAAATAATAAATAATCAAAGTTTTTAATAAATTTAAGTATTAACTTCGGAAGAATAAAATAAAATACACCATACTTATCCGTTTGATAAGGATAGAGGGTACCCAATTAAGTTGATTCCCCCTTTATTTTTTCATACTTCTAGAACAACACAACAAACAATAAGTCTTTTCTCCATAGTAATCATTAGGCGACTGCGCATACTATAATCCCGGATTCAGTCGTGAAATCAAACCTGATACGAAACCGAGTGCGTGTGAAAAATTTTCATTCGTTTCCGACGGCTACCGTAAACGAATTGAGTACTCGCCGAACCGTGTGAAACCGGCCTATCAGTGAGGTTAGTGATTACTGATTCGTGAATTGAATTTGATAAGTTGGTTGAACTGAGTCACTGAGTCGCCGATTCTTGAAACACAAATTCAACTCCTACAGTTCATTTTAATGATTCAATTCTTCAAGGTAACTTGCTCATTATCTACAAATTTCTTGTATTTTTAGTCATTGATCATTGTACTTAGTTCAAGATATTATAATTCAAAAATAATTTATGCATTATAATAGGTATTTTTTTTAAGATACGTCACTATATAATTACTCATTAAACTAATGAGTCCACCATTTGAATAAATAGTTTGGTATTTGGTAAACCTATTCCAACCAGGTTTTGAGCTTGTATCGCAAAATGAAACATAAAATTTGGTATGTGCATTTCTGAATCATATAATAATAGCTATTTTTTAATTTTGTTGTTACACATAATTTTTTACAAAACTTTAGTTACACCAAAATTTAATTATATTTCGAGATCAACTTTGTTCAAATGTAATACTTATCTGATCATCAGTCAATAATCTTATATAATGAAAAATATAATAGAGTATTAATATTCAAAAAAATATAACCAGCTTCTTCAATGCATTTTTAAAAGTAACAGAAATACTACAAATATCAAATTATAGTTTTTTACTAAAACTACATATTTTACTACCTACGAGTAGTTTGTATTTGAGACAAGACTGGCAATTAAAGTTTTAATAAATACATTTCTTAATTGCATTTTATTCTTTCTTCTATACCTAATTAATAATATGTACTAATTGGAAGCAGTATAGATTTACTTAAATGATCTTATAAGTTTAAAAATCTATCTAAAAATTTTAATAATTTTATATATAATACATTTAAAGAAATATTTAGTAACTTGATGTTTGAATAGTTTTTGTACTATACACATAATTAAACGTCAAATATAAGTATATGTATTTAAAATTTTGTTTTGTAATTTTTGAATACAAATTAATTTAGTATGGCATCTGATTTTTTCTATCCAAACATGGGTGGCGTGGAAGAGCATATATTCAATTTATCTCAATGTCTTTTAATGAAAGGATATAAAATAATTGTCTTAACTCATTCATATCAGGATAGAGTTGGAGTACGTTATATGACAAATGGATTAAAAGTAATTTATAATTTGTAATATACTTTGCTAATGATATGTACAAATAATAAAATATTAATTTCTCTAGGTATATTACTTGCCCATCAAACCATTTTATAACCAATGTGTTTTACCTTCAATGGTTTCTTCTTTACCATTGATAAGATATGTGTTAGTCAGAGAACAAATAACTATAATACATGGACATTCAGCATTTTCAACTTTAGCTCATGAAACAATGATGATTGGTCGTTTGCTAGGGATTCGAGTAATATTGATATAAACAATTCAGTAGCTTATTATATATTTATATATTATGTTCATATATTTATAAATACATAAATATTGTTTGTAGACTGTATTTACAGATCATTCTCTTTTTGGATTTGCTGATACATCAGCTATCATAACAAATAAGTTTTTGGAAATATCATTAGCTGATTGTAACCATTGTATCTGTGTATCACATATTGGGTAAATTATTATTTTATTGTTAGTTAATTTATAAAAATACAAAATACAATATAAAGTTATCTCTTTTAGGAAAGAAAATACTGTATTACGTGCACGTGTCAATCATCATAGAGTTTCAGTTATACCAAATGCTGTTGATACAACTGCATTTATTCCTAAATTAGAATTAAGAACTAAAAACAAAAGTAAAATACTCCCACATTCTGTTAAATGAAAAAAATTGAAATTTATTAATTTTAATTATAGTTACAATTGTGGTGGTTAGCCGTTTAGTTTATAGAAAAGGGGTAGATTTATTAGCTCAAATTATTGCTGATGTATGCTTAAAACATCCAAAGGTATAACGCACTTATAAAAATATTTTAATGCGTGTAAATAAGTTAACTTGACTAATTTATTTTAGGTACAATTTATTATTGGAGGGGATGGTCCAAAACGTGAACTACTAGAAGACATTCGTACTAATTTGAATATAGAAGAACAAGTTACTTTACTTGGTAGCTTAGAACATTCACAAGTATGTAATGTTCTTAATCGCGGACATATTTTTTTAAATACGTCCTTAACAGAAGCATATTGTATGGCTATTGTTGAAGCTGCTTCTTGTGGGTATGATTTTTCTATTTGTATAGAAATATTGAAATAATTAAAAATATCAATTCATAATTAATATCAAGATTGAAGATTGTAAGTACAAGAGTAGGTGGCATACCAGAAGTATTACCTCCAGAATTGATAGTTTTAACTGAACCCAATGTTCCATGTAAGATACATTTATTTATTTGTTATAAGAGTAGTTATGAAAATTTTAATATTTACTTTAGCTATTCTCCAAGGATTATATAAAGCTATTGATCAAGTTAATACTGATAATGGAGTACCTCCAATTGAATGCCATCAAAAAGTGCAATCCTTGTACAACTGGATGAATATTGCCAAAAGAACAGAGATTGTGTACAATATGGTTTCTTTAGAACCACCAAAAAGTTTAGGAAAACAATTACGAAGGTTAGATAATTAACAAATTAAATTAAAGTACTTTATTTTTATTTTAGCTATATTTAAATTTTAGTTACAAATCAACTGGAGTATATCCATTTTTATTGGTAGTATCATTTATGCACATACTACTACAAATTTTAGATTGGTGGATTCCTCGTTCAGTGAGTAAATAATTACTTAAGAACATGTTGACTGTCGTACAGCTGCCAACAGTTGTATTATTATTTATTATTATGACATAATCAGTTATAATGAGTGGGATTCCTGAAACGCTTTAGTTTAACATAATAATTGATAGTATAGGTAATTATTTCAGTAATAAAGACAACATTTTAATGTTGTAAAAAGGTAATTGTCAGTTCTATGCTATGGTACAGTTATATAAAACATAACTACAGCGCCAAAATATTTATACCAATTTAAAATAATACATGACATGCTGCAGCCTTACAGGAATAATAAGTTATGGCAGTCGGCATTCTAAAATTCATCATTCAAAACGATTAAATTATGGCCGCCAGCGGCTGTATGACAGTCAACATGTTTATATAGTTCTATAATAATATTGAATTTTATAAAAATAATATTTCTAGGAGATAGATCTGGCTAAAGATTACATAACTGAAAATAATCATCTTGATTCTATTCAATCGGTTACCAAAAATCAATAACACAACATTTGAAAATTTATTGTTATTTATTCAGTAAATGTTATTTTAAATATAGTTCTAATATAAGCTTTGTATGGACGGATGTAATTACATATAATATTTTAATAAATTTGGTAATATAATATAAAAATAAATTAGAGATCAAAAATTAAATACATTCAACAATTATTTTAATCACAATTGTGTCATTTTTAATATATCCATTTTGAAGGACTTCATCAACAGTAATAAATTCTGTATAGCCAAAAGCTCTTGGATTTATTGGAGGAACCTCAATACCATTATTTCCAAAAGAACATCTTCTGAAGGCTTCAGATTCAGGTGATGATTGCATTTTTAAACAAGTATTTTGTATTGGATTTGTAGGATGGATTAAAGATAATGTAATTTGACCAGAAAATGGCCAAATTAAAGTATCATCATAATCACCACGCATCATGTGAATAAATAAAGAAAGATTACGATTATCTGTTGAGATATTTATTCGACCACATACTCTAAAATTTAAATAACAAAAACACAATTTCAAATTAATAAATAAATATTTGATACATTTTTGGTATAAAAACTCTAATAATTACTTATATCCTGCTGAAGATGTATAGAATCCTGGAGTGTAATATCGAGTTTGTAATGGTTTTTCTTTCATTAGTTTTAATGACTCTGTAAAATTTTCAAATCTCCAGACATATACACCATTGCATGTAACTAATGATATTGCATTTTGAGTCTGTCCAAGTTCTATGATTAGATTATTAACTGTTTGACTAAGCTGTTCTATATCTTTATCCTTCATAGCATTGTTTTGATTTAAACGTTCTATATCTTTATCTTTTTCAATATTAATTTGTTCCAATACGACTATTCTTTCATATAAATTACTAATATGAAATATAAAAATGTTGTCATTAAGTTATGAACATTTGTAAAATATAGTAAATAGATGTGACACTCTTCTTGGAATAAGATAATTGTATTAATTTGTATGAAAAATCAAATGTTAAAAATTGATATGAAAACTAATTAGGTTTAGCAAAATTACATATTAAAATACTTTTATAATTTTTAATAACTACATTGACACAATATTATTTTTCATCAAAATGAGTAAAACATAATATTACTGAAAATATTTAGCTATTAGTTTTATTTATTAAATTTTACAAAGAAACTACAAAATTAATATTTGCATACCTCATTAATGCTTTTTCTGAATTAGGATCTTTGTTGGCATCCCACAATTGAGTAGCTTCTAAAGCTTTCGAATGAGCATTATCTTTATTTTGTATTTTGTTCATAAGATCAATATGAGACTTGGAGAGTAACTAAAGTATGAAAAACATTTAAAATTACTCGTGTAAAAAAAATTAAGTGTATTAACTTACGGTTACATGTCGATGCACACCCATAACAAGGTGGTTTAATAACTCATTTTTATTCTTTACAATATCTTTACATCCAATTAAATGAAACGGACAGATATTATCTGATATTCCATTAATCTATAGAATATAACAAAAATTTAACAGATTTGATAAGATTAAAGAAGTAAATATACTGTAATAATAAAATTTAAACAAATTATGCAACTACTTTTCATTAAATTGATCTTTAACATTATTGTACAATTAGTATATTAAATAAAATATATAATTTTAAAACTCTTGTGCAGGTATAGAAACAGGTTAATTTAACATCTTTGATAAAAAGTATTAAGTATCAAAAAAAAAAAAAAAACATACTTGAAGATTAAATATACATACTGGACTCATAAGACTTACAGGGTTTTTATTGAATTTACATGAGGTATAATGTTCATCAACTTCTAATAAAGGTACTACTGCATCACAGCCATTGTTTAAACAAGTAACTGTTTGCTCATAAATTTCACGTTTTGTATAGTTATCAGGAAATAAACCATCAATAGAAAGCGGTAAAGAATCAATTGGGCAACTTTGACTTTGACGTCTAAAATAATAATAATACATAAAATAGTTTTAAAATATAATTATTTCTCTAACTAATGCTTATGACAAAGGCAAAAAAAATAAAATATGATTAATGATTCTAATATAGGGTATTTTTTATTTTTAATTAAATAAAATAGTGATGTTAATTTAAAGAAAACTGAATGAAATCAATAATAAATTATTATTGTTTAAAAATAACTCAGAGATCAAGGTAATATGTCTAAAATAGTTTAATTTTGTTAAAAAGGATGTGATTCTATATTTATTTTAGTAATTTATCTCAGAACTTTTGAAAAATTTAAAACGGTCATATCTCTTAAAGATATTATTAGTACTTAAATTATAATCCATATTTAGAAGTACATCAAATTTTTTACTTTTCTTAAGTATTAGTAAAAAAGAAAACTACTCTTGAATAAAAAATAAATTAAAATAATAAAATCTTAAATTATATTTAGTGTTAAGGGTTAAATTTTACTAACTTAAGCCACTCGTGTATACATTCATAACAAAAACGATGTCCACATCGTGTTAGCATAGGATCTTTAAGACAATTAAGACATATAGAACATTCAAATCGAGGATTTATCACCGATAGCATTTTTTTAAACTGAAACAATAAAAATATTGAATTAATCACAACACATTAAAGAATAAAACAATATATAAAAAAATATTTCCAAACATTTTTTTAACTTAAAGTTAGTAAATCTAAAATAATAAAGTAATAATTAGAGGTAGAACTTAATATGTTCACTCAAAATTATGTTCGTGTTTCAATTTTTAACATAATTGGGGGAAATATTACCTCACAAAAGTTTAAAATACAATTTTTATTATTAATTTTTAAACACGTAATATTTATCAATAATTAATTCTAGTTGAATTTGTATATACAATTTGTAAATTGTTTCTATTACAAACTTAGAACTTGGTCCCATAAAATAGTACTAAGGACAGTACTATACAGACGGATACATGTTAGTAACATGATGTTACTATGAATTATTACAACAAAATTGTATCAAATACTAATCATTATTCATGAATAGAAAGTACACAACGTATACATACCAATTCCAATTGCAAGTATAAAACAAAACGAATAAGGCGTTGGATGACGGACTAGTGACGGTCTGAGCAACCGCAGTTTTTATCGGTTATATATATAATTATTATAATTAATATATCACAACAATAACTTATCTATTTTTAAATAGCCTAGAAGATAATATAACATTTTATCATTAAAATATTTATTATAGTTACGTTATCGGTGTATTACACGTGAAAATGAATGTATCAATTAAGATGATGGCCGATACGTTGTAATCACTATTTACCGCCACGAGTTAATAAACTTATAAAGTTAACAATGTGACAACCACTTGCAAACTAGCAAGGTGCATTACATCTATACATTTACAACGAACTTGGTGATAATAATAATAATAATAATAATAATAATATTGTTTATTATTTATTATGATGATTACGATTTGTTGACCTCTAGGAGTACCAACACAGTTCACCACGCTCTGCAACTGGCCCAGGAAAATCGATGTTACTTATCTCTTGTCTTTTCCCTATTCAGAAAAATCATAATATTAGCATCCGACTTACACTCCGAGTGCGAGGCATGTGTTTAATTGTTCGTAACGAAATCAAAATTTTTAGACCTAATATCTGGAAAAGATAAAATATCTCCTTGGTCGAGCCGAGAATTTAATATATCCTGTGGTCAAGCGACATCACGCGTGCTAAATGCAGACTATAAACATTTAAAGATATCTTAAATATTTATAAATATCTATCTTTATAAATCTATGATGCAGACATAAATCTGCACAGACCAAATAATCAAAATTATTATTCTACGGACGAAACATGATCGCGGCATTGTCGATGACGTGGGAGGGAGATGAGTGAAATACATTTTCAACGGTCCAACGCATTTTGAGAACCCATCGACGCTTCACACACACACATACACACACAAGAATATATGCGCGCGCACACGTACGCTATGGATTACACACATTATACGCACACACGTACACTGTATATGTATATGCATCCTTGTTGGGTCAGTTAATCGCCCCCACTTGTGTAGCGGTCTGGAATGTGAACCTGCATCCTGCCTAGCAGCGAGTACCAGGCTGCCACCGTCCACAAAGGATCCTTAGACCCTCGGAGTCTGCGAGTGATGTGAAAAAAAAAATTAAAAACGTCTCGAGCGCCATTTTGTATAAATAAGTGCGTGTTGCGATTTTTTTTCTCTTCTTTCGGGCAAAAATCCGCTTACACCGAGTCCTCGTGTTGTGAAGTGCCACTATTGATACCCGTTAACGAATTGTCTGTACAACCGATCGACGTCATTTATTTTTGTTTCGTTCGGCCGTTGTTCCGTTCTTGTCAACAGCTTACTGACAGTCGTCAGCCTCGACTTCGCGTGCCCAGGTAAGTGTAATGGTCAAGAACACATCATTGTCCAATATTTTAAACTTTTTATATCGCAGTCTATTTTAACTGTGCTTATGATTGTATTAATTTCAGATTAAACAATGAGCTATCAATCTCGAGGAAGTAAGATTTTTTTTTTTTTGTTCGTGTTTTTTAAACGGGTTATATTAATTTATTTCATAATTACCGTTTTTTTAGTGCCCAGTAACATGGTGAACCCGATCAACGAGACAATGGATATCAAAGATCCGTCTCTGGTATGGCAACAAAGTGGCCAGTATTTACCAGATTCCGGTATACAGTCTGGAGGAAGCACCCAGACTCATTCTATAACTACCAAGGAAGATGACATGGAAAGAGACAGACTTTTGTTTGATCTTGACCAAGGGTTTCCACAATCTTTTCCTCAGGAACAAGTTGATGGTATTTTATATATTATACACAATTAAACGCTTAACTTTAACACTAATAATATTCCAGGTATGAATCAACATTTAGGCCAGACGTGTGGTGAAAATTTAGATGATGAAGTTGAAATGCCTGCTCAATTTAATGTAAACAGTGCGGCAAATGTACAAAATATGACTGGACCAAGCCAAATGTTAAAATATGCTGTTGTCAATTTGATCAATTATCAAGATAACGCTGAACTTGCAACCTGGGCTATTCCAGAGTTAATTAAATTATTGAATGATGAGGATCAAGTTGTTGTATCACAAGCTGCTGTTATGGTTTATCAGCTTTCTAACAGAGAAGCTGCCTTGCATGCAATTATAAATAGCCCACAAGTAATAATATATTATTATATTTTATTAATTATAAAATAATTTTATTTACTATATTATTGTTATTATAGATGATTGCTACCTTAGTGAAATCCATATCTAATAGCAATGATTTAGAAACCACTATTGGTGCTGTTGGAACATTACGTAACTTGTCTAATCACCGGCATGGTCTATTAGCAATTTTCAAGAGTGGAGGAATACCAGCTTTAGTTAAATTAATGAGGTGAATTAACTAATTTTTAACTGCCTAATAATTATTGTTCGGTATTAAATATATAGGTTTTTTTTTATTACAATTAATTTATAATTAATTTTGAATTTTGAATTGTTATAGTTCTCCAGTTGTATCTATTTTACGAGATGCTGTGATTACTATTCATAATTTACTTTTGCATCAAGACGGTTCGAAAATGGCTGTTCGTGTTGCGGGTGGTTTGCAAAAGATGATATCTTTATTAACATTCAAGTCAAATAGTCATTCTATTACTGTAAAGTTTTTAACAATTATAACTGACTGTCTACATATATTAGCTTGTGGTAATCAAGAAAGTAAATTAATAATATTGGCTGCACAAGGACATGTTGAGCTTGTGCGTATTATGCGTTCATTTAATTATGAAAAATTACTGTGGCTTACTTGTCGAGTTCTTAAAGGTATAAGATATCAACTTATTTTTATTTATTTTAAGTATTAAATCATTTTAAAGATTAGTCTAATATTTATATTATGTGTTATATATTTATAGTCCTATCAGTATGCTCACGTAACAAACCAGCTATTGTAGAAGCAGGTGGAATGCAAGCTTTAGCAATGCATCTTCAACATGATAGTCAGCAATTAGTGTACAATGTATTGTGGACTTTGAGAAACTTGTCAGATGCTGGAACAAAGGTAAAAGTTTTTAGTGATTCATGAGTTTGCTATACATACATAATACAGTACATATGAAGGCTCAACTTCATTATTCACAACTGACATGCTTACTGGTTTAAAAAAACTGCTAATCTTTGGTTGTCTTCCTTTCATAGTGATTTTTTTAATGATTAACTCGCAAAGATGCCTTAGATCAGGGGTTTCCAACCTTTTTATCATCGAGTACCATCAAGACACTTATAATCAATACCTCCTTAATTCTAAGACTTAATTAAGAGTCACCATTTATTTAACATTTATTTTTATTATTTATTGATGTATTAACATTGTCTATTATTTGAAATTTATGAAAGTAAAAAAATCTTAATTTTTTAATTTAATATATTTGTTGTTATTTATTTTATACATAAACATCGATATCAGACTGAATAAATAATAATAAAAATAAATTGCTACAATTATAAACCCAATTTCATCAATATTTATAAAATTAGATTATATCAAATAAACTAAAATAAATAATATTGAATACAAATAGTATTAAAAATAATTATACCAAAACATTTCTTCTGTATACCATTGGTTGGGAACCCTTGTCTTAGATGTTCATGATATGCAGATATGTTTTCATTGTTGTTATCTTCTACGTATTTAAGCATAATTTTTAGATAGTTTAGATAAACTAGCGTAATTTACATATTATAAACGGCTGTCCAGATTAAGCGAAGTCCAGATTAATGAGGTTCTACTGTAGATTTAACTATGTTCATGTGGTAATTAAATACTTCAAATGTATTTTTTTTCAATATAAAACGTGTTATTTGAATGTAAGATGTTTTGATTTTGTTTATTCTACTAGTAGATTTATAATTATATTTATTTACAATTTACAATTTTTAGTCAAATTGTCCTCTCTTATATTAATGGGATAAAATTGAATCCCACTTGTGTTGTTATTAAGGCATATAATTAGATTCATTTTTAATCCTAAGTATTTTATTAAATCTGATAAATTGAAATTATTTTAACTTATTAAATATTCCCAGTTTGTGTAAAAGTGCAATTAATACTAAGTACAAATATATTATCTAATGAAGTATAGATGATAATAAAAATTTAAAAATTTTAGGTTGATGGATTAGAACAACTTCTGCAATCTTTAGTAGCAGCATTAGGCCATTCAAATATTAATATTGTAACATGTGCTGCTGGTATATTATCAAATTTAACATGTAATAATCAAAGAAATAAATTGACTGTGTATCAATTTGGAGGTGTTGAAGCTCTTGTTCGTGCAATTATGAATGCTGAAGATAACGAAGAGATTACTAAACCTGCTGTAAATTTGAAATCATTAATAATTTATTTCCATCAATATAATAATGAACATTATTTTTATTTCAGGTTTGTGCTCTGAGACATATAACATCAGGGCATGCTGAGGTTGAAAACTCTCAGAATTCATTTTGTCGAACAGGTGGTATTCAAGTCATAGCCAAGCTTTTGCAACCATCTTCACATTGGCCTCTTATTAAAGCTGTAATTGGTTTAATAAAAAATATAGCTCAATGTAAAGCAACACACGGACTTCTTCGTGAACACAATGCCATACATAATTTAGCTGGACTTTTAATGCGTGCTTTCCAAGATCTTCAAAATGTAATAATTCAGTTAAATCTATTAAATTAATACATATATATATATATATATATATATATACTAATGGTGTAATTAATTTTTACAGCATTCAAATACTAGTGTGAAACCTGAAGAAGTCAGAATGGAAGAAGTTATTGAATGTGTTACAGGAACTTTACATATATTAGCTAAAGAATCACAAAGTCGATCAATAATGCGTTCTCAACAAGGATTTATGTCTGTATTAATACAGTTATTATTTAATAACTTTGAAAATATACGACGTTTGGCAGCCGATACATTAAATGAATTAGCTGCGGATAAAGAAGGTGCTGATATGATAGAAGCTGAAGGTGGAACCGCTTCTCTTAATGAATTATTACATTGTGGAAATGAAGCTCTTGGTTAGTGTTTTATTTTTCATTCATGATAATATTTAAATAGTTGTATAATATTTTATTAATTTGTATAGCTACATGTGCAGCTGCTATACTATCCAGGGTTTCTGAACATAAATTACAAAAATGTCTTTCCATGGAACTTACTAGCTCATTGTTTAGTGAAGATCAAAATTTATGGCCATCTGGTGACCTTGGTATAGCACCAGATTTGCAGGTACAAATTTAATTACATTTTTTATTAGATTAGTATTTGATAATATATTAGATCCAGATAAACATCTCATAATTTTATCTATGGACATTCTTTTTTGGTAAGTTAATTCAGTTAGATTCGTAGTGCAAATTTATTCATTTTCAAATTGTATTATATTGTAATATATCCTGCACATTTATTAATTCAAATGTCATTTTATGTACATCCTTATTATAGTTCTGCTTGATACAATGTTTTGTATTATTATTTATTAGTAAATACTAAATAATTAAAGTATAAAGTAGTGTTTATATTTTTAGTTAGATATGATGTTAGAAATATGCACAGTATGTATTGTTTGAGCTTAGTGTGTTTTTTCCACCAACAGGACATGATAGGTGTGAACGAGTATGATATATATGGTCAAGGATTGAGCACTGTCTACAGTGGTGTAGGGTCACCCAAACACAGTGCTTCAGGTACACTTTTAAATATAAAAACAATTGCATGAAAGTACTTTTTTTAGTTAGATTGTATATTGCTTTAGCTCGCTAACTTTTAATTTGGTCGCAATGCTTGGGATTTGGTAAGTTATAGTACCACAAAATAATAACACTAATATATTTTAAGTTGTTTTAATTACTAACATGTTATAATTGGTATGATAAATTACTTATTACTATTTTGATAAATGTTTATGTACATCTAAATAGTATATACTTTATATAAATTCATTACTTTAGTCATTATAAATAAAGTAGACCTGAGTAAATTAGTTATATTAAGAGCTTGTTCTATTTTATAATTGTAAAAAAACAAATATTTTGAATTTTCCACAAGTCAATAAAATATTTCTTTAGAATATTTAATTAATTTAAATGAAAGGGCTATAATTTATATATATATATATATATATTGCTTTATGTTAGAAATTACTTTCAATTTGTATTGGTACTGCATTATATTCTATGAGTCGGTGGCATAGGTCAGGTATTTCATAATTGAAATGCTTCTATATTTTTGACGTTAACAATAATAATCAATCAATATATTTTGTTATAATTTAATATTATTAATATAATTTAATTATTAAATACAATTAAATATTACTAAAATACTAAATATTAACCTTATTATTATGTTTACTAACTATCAAAAAGTTAATAGTAGGAACCATAAGACTTTAAGTACATTATTTGATTTATTTTTCAGGGTATGACACGCTACCCTTAGATTCAATGGAAGGATTAGAAATTTGTCCTCCACAAGATTCCAGTTATGGTTCTACAGTTCATTTATTTGAATGAAACAAAAATGTATTTGTATGAATAATGTAATAATAAAAATAATCTAAAATTTTGTTTGAAATTCTGACACATCAAGTTATTTTAAAAATTTGAAGTAGGTAAGGAAAAATTAGATAGTTAAAATATTTAATTTTTTTTATTTCTTTTTAGTCAGATTTTAAATAGGTGCAGTAATACTCAGACTGAGGTTTATATATAAAACTTGAACAATGATTGAACAAAAAATAAAAAAATAAAAATTACTGTGAAATGTAAATTTTTGTAACAACTATTTTATAATATTTTAGATAATATATTAAAAGTAATGTCCTTATGTTTTTATGTATTGTAAATGTATGGACTGTATAATTAAAGCTTCTAAAACTTGAGTTTGAATCATTTCGTCCATAAACTGTAATTATGTTTCTGTATGCATCTATCATTTTTGTTTGGGAAGCAGGTACGTAGTCAAGGGGTGGGTCCATGGGGTCTGGACCCCCCTCCCCCCAAAATTTTTTAATTTTAGCACAAAAATTAGATGGTACCTTGATTTTGTACCAATTACGTTTTGAAAGTGGCGATAAAAAATCAATGGTTCCATTGATATCTCAAGAATTTATGGAATATTATATTACATATAGTTCGTTATCGGCGCTTGTCCCGTTGTTTGTCTGACGGCATCACAGTTATGTATAATTAGATTATAATATTATTGCTGTAATGTAAACTAAGGCAAAATAAATTAAAAAAAAAAGTAGATCATAATATTTATATATATATATATCTGTGGGAGGCAGGGCCTATTTTTGTGTGTAATACGAAATCATACACTGTGTATGGTGTTTATGCCTTTACGGCTAATAAATTTCATTTTTGTATTTATTATAATTTGTTATTTTACTTTTCTGTAAATAACCCTCGTGTGTAATAATAGCTATAATGATAATAACATTTAACAAGCACGATTATAGATAACACGATCTTTACCAAACGGAGTTCCATATTCTACATTGTTTGGCTAAATCCGCATTTATTTTGTGGTAAATGTATTTTTTCACTGGAATCAATTGTAAAATGATATGTTGTAATTACGGAAAATCTATGACTGCGATTGAGCATGAATCATGATAACAATATTATTATTATTTTTAAATTAATTATGTAGTTACTACTAATTAACTATTATATACCTATTTGTTCAGACGACATTGAGTTTCATTATATTTTATTGTAATATTTATGTTATAATATAGTTAGTGTTTTAATTATTAGGTAAGTTTTGATTTTTATATATTGTCGTTATGGATAAGTGGCTAACACGTTCATCAAACATTAACCGTATGTATTATTATGTCTAGAATTTTTATACATAATTTAAAACTAGATTCCAAAATTTTATGAATCGTACAGTTTTTGAATTTCTTAAAATATTGTAGATAGGTTTACCAATTGTAAATTGTTTTCTAATGAACGGTATTGAGTTTATGACTTACGTATAGTTTTATATTATTATATTTTAAGTGCAGTAGCACACATCATATAGACACTATTCATAAACCATATTAACATAATCTATTTTAATTATATTACATTTATTATAAAATAATAATTTATAAATTGAAATGTTAACATAAAATTTATTCCATTAATATATGAAAATAAAAAAACAATAAGTTATTGCAATATTAATATTATATTATAAAGCTGTGTATAGGTATAATACATTTAATTGAGGTGATGTATTTAAAATAAATAAAAACTAAATTTATTTTTGAAATATTTATTTAAAATTTTACTATTTATATATAATATTATACCTTTTACTTTTCCGCCATCATATATTTAATAAAACTATAACACCTACCTATCTCATTGGTTGTTTTATTTCGATAGATTTTTTGAATTATAATAAAGTGTTATGCTTAATGTTCTGAGATATTAAAATTAAATTATCTATTTAAATATTACTTAAATTTGTTTTCTAAATTTAGGTTGTAGTAATGTTATAATTAAAAATGAAGAAAGTATTGAAAACAATTCTGAACAAGTAATTAATTTTGATCTAACTCAACTGGAATGTAGTAAAAATATTTATTCATATAATAATGAGGTAGAAGAATTTGGAGATGTTAATGATAAAAAATGGGTAAGATTAAACATAGATAAATGTTTTGAAAAAATAATACCATTAAAAAGAAAAGTAGACAATTTCTAAGGTGTAATATATGCTTCAGAAACCCTAAAATTGTAATGATGCATTTGATACAAAAGAATCATTTACCCGCCATTTGTTCTGAAGGAGGAACATTACCAAGAGCTACTATTCTTAAAAATTATTTGAACTCCAGAGTGCATATTGATAGTTGTAAAGTTGATAAGCTTAAAAAATTTTCTGATTCCAAATTAGTTCATAATGCTCCATTAAATAAAATTATTTCTTCACAAAATCAAAAATTATCACAAAAAATTGGAGGGATTATGTGTACAATATATAACGATGCAAAACGAGGTATCTTAAGTGCATGGTCTTGGCCTTCTCGTGAAATTACATTGATGAAATTGAAAAATCTGAACATTAATAATTTACCTTGCCCTTTTGAACCGAACGATGGAGATTTATAATATATTACACCAATTAATCATAAGGATTTTTTGAGATGTATATTTAAGTTTGATTTAAAAAGATTAAGAGAATTATTTGATAATTGTCTGGCGTTGTCATTAAAAGTGGATGGATCAGTAGATAGGATGCAAATTAATAACATTCATTTACTATCAAAAGTAGTTTTAAGTGATGGTGACGTAAGATCATGTTTTATTGGTTTTGAAGAACCGGAAGAGAGCACTTGGATACTATAAAGCTATTAAGGCAGTTGATTCAATTCTTACATGGTCAAATTTTTCATCAAAGATGTCTTCAGTTGTTACTGTTGGTGCAGCTATAAACACTGGTCACAAAGGTGGATTATGGGGTATGATAGAAAGTGAACAGCAAACAAATTCATGTGACAATAATATGCCACTATTTAAAAAAATGGTGAGCTGTATACAGAATTGCTTTAGTTTAGGAAAATTTAACTTCCAATGTTATTGAATTAAAAAATTAATTGAAATTTGTTCTTCTATTTCAACATATTTTCATAAATCAGGTTTACGAACAAATGAATTAAATAAAATAGCAAAAAATAATAATTTGAATATTGTTCATTTACCAAAATATTTTGAAATCAGATGACAGAGTTTACATATGATTTGCTATAAATTGGTATGGTTTGGTATTATATTTTACTCAAGAAAAAAATGATCGTACATGTGCTGGATTTTTAAAATTATTGACTGTATTGAGTGTACTATTAATACATAAGATTCATTGTGAACATTTACGGGTAAAGGAATAATTGTATACAATATAAAATCGTAATTAATAACTAATGGAATCTCCATGATAAAAATAAGAACTTTTTCAACAAAAATTACGTTAGTAGTGATAAGTCGGAATAGTTCCGACAAGCTAGAGTTTTCTATATCAATGGGTATGCTTTCCCATACGGGTAGTTGTGTTTTAATATCATTAATTTGTTTTTTTTAAAGTCTTTATATCAAGTATACTAGAATGAACTAGTGCCTGAAGTGCCATGTTTATGATGTTTACTAAATTTTCCATTTCGAAAGCATACTGTGTAAGAATTATGTTTAGTAACGACACTCGCTCTTCTTGTGCTGTATTGAATTCTAATATACCTATTTGTATCTTTTCTACTTGTATTTCTTTGAGTAAATAGTTGTATTTATCGGATAGTTTTGTTTGACTTTCCCCTATTTCCAATAGTAAGGAATTCACATTAGAAATAGTGGATTGCATAATTTGTGTCTGCTTATCAGTTAATTGGGCTATTCGGGATTTAGAAAATTCCTGTTCCCGCATTTTATTATAGAAATATTCAGCGTCGGTACTGTCACAAGCACCATATGAAACGTTAGCTATTTTGCCTACTATATTTATTAAACCCCTTTTGGCGCGATAACTACTCTTGGGTGTTTCTATCATTTTCATTACATGTTCCCTATTACATAGCATCTAGTCTTCCACGGTACTTAGACTTCATTGATGCTAAGACAGAAAATTATGTTTCATACAAATACGTAGTTGCAAATGGGATTAGTATTCTCATGACTTTTTTCAAATAATATCGGGCACTCTTTTTTTACACTTATGTAATTCGCCATAGGTACGTGAAAAATAGAAAGTAAGATTTTATGTAAAATAAATGATGTTACCCACCCTATACACTTTTAGGTATCCTAGAAAAAATATAAAATTGTATGTAATAACTTGTAAATGTAACATATGATTATAAAAACAATATACTGAAACTTAATTAGTATAAGCATTATATTATTTCTTTCAATCACCTACCTATAAAACACCCCAAAAGTATTTGATATTGTTTTGAATATAATGTGTTGTTTGGGAAATAATAGTTAGACTTGTATGCATGCCAACTATTATCCATGTATTCCGATTCGCCATCTATAAAACAAATAATTGCATAAAAATAATATTCTTAAAGTGCGTCCAGACCGAGCAGTTTTTGCCGCACGGCATGTGTGAATACATGAATACATTTTCCGCGGCTTTTTTAATGCCGCGCGGCATAATTTCCGATCAGCCTAGTGAGCGGTCTACATAAAAAAAAAAGCCGCGCGGAGTGTGTCGCTCGCCTATGCCGTGTGTGTGTGAACGTATTTTCGGCAAAGCCGCGCGGCATCAGAACTTATTTTTTAGTAGGTATTTAAATTATTTTTTAAGTAATTAGTAACAGAACAAACTTTTTTCACTGAGGTAAAACTAATTTTTGTAATAATCTCCAGAATACACAATTTAAACAAAATATAGATTACTTACTGATCTCGTGCATTTCGTTGCCCATTAAAAATGACACAACTCTATAGTATTTATGAATAATATATTATTATTATAGTTTTAAAACAAATCGGGAAATAAATGCCGCACCATGTGGACGCGTATTTGACGCGCGGCAAAAGCTGCTCCGTCTGGATGCGCCTTTAGAGTAACATTCATTGTTATTTTCACTGTAATTTTTTTTTATCACAGTAGCAATATCACAGTGTGATAAATATTTCTCACAGTTTAACATCACTATAGTAGTGTTTTTTAGTTTATTTATTTATTTTTTTTTTTATTTAAAATATAATTACAATCTATACAACAATTTAGTACAATAAGTAATTTAGATATAGTATTTACATATCGAGAATAACAGATGAGAGAGGGCACTCAGTAGTGTCACCCGACAGATTAAATTAGAAGGTCTCTAGGCCAGGAGCGTTTTAAACGTCTCTGGGGGTTATCAGGGATTATTAGAGAAGATATGCGTTTTATTAATGGATTGTAGTGTTGGATTAACTTGGAATGAAAGGAGACGTAGTGATACTTTGTTAATTGAGTGAGCGATGAAATATTTAGATCTTTGTGGAGATTATTATTTGTGATAAACCATGGAGCAGAAACAATTTGCCTCAGACAGATAGACTGGAATGCCTGGATTGTTCTCGTGTTGGAGGGTTTGGCAGAGCCCCAAATCTGGATGCCATAAGACCAAACAGGTCTGATGATGGTTTTGTATATTAATAGTTTATTTTTTAATGATGTCTTGGATCTAAGAAGTGGGCGGAATAAATTGAGTCTGGAGTTGATTGTTTTTCTTTTTATTTTAAGGTGTTGGGCCAATGTGAGGCGCCTGTCAAAGATCAAACCTAGGTATCTTATTGTCGGGGTGATTGGGATTTGGTTATTATTAAACGATACAGAGGGGCAGTCGCCTGGTCTAATAGAGAAAGTGATAAAGGATGATTTAGCTTCATTAATTTTGATCTTTCAGCGGTTTGACCATAGTTGAATCGAGTTGAGATGATTTTGTAGCCGGAGAGATACTACCTGGGGGTCATGGTTTGAAGCCAGGATTATCGTGTCGTCAGCATATGTACCCAGTGATGTATGAGGAGAGGTCGGAGTGTCGTGGGCGAATATAGAGTATAAAAAGGGAGCTATGTCGCATCCTTGGGGGACTTCAGCTAGTATTTGGAAGTTTGACGATAGCTGTTGTTAACGCGAACACAGAAGGTGCGATTTTCGAGGTATGATTTTAGGAGAAGGTAGTAGGGGGCAGGAAGGAATTTTTTGAGTTTGAAGAGAAGTCCTTCATGCCACACCTTGTCAAAGGCCTGAGCCACGTCAAGGAGTACAGCCGCACTGTAAAGTTTTGATTCCATGCTGGTAGAGATTAAGTCGACAGTGCGGTGGATTTGGTGGATGGTGGAGTGCTTGGACCTGAATCCAAATTGGTGGTTTAGGATGATGTTGAATTTGTCCGATAGTGGAAGTTGCCTTTTGAGGAGTATTTTTTCAAAAATTGCGAATGTGGGAAGGAGAGAGATTGGTCTATAGGAAGACGGGATATCAGGAGGTTTGTCCGGTTTTAGAATTAGGATTATGTTTGAATGTTTCCAGGCTGTAGGAAAGTAGGATAAACGAAACATAAAGTTGAAAATTAGTGCTAAAAGAACGATAGATTTTTCAGGGAGGTGTTTGACAACTAAGTTGCTTATTAGGTCGTGCCCAGGGGCTTTTTTGGTTGGGAGTTTTCGGATGATGTATTGAATTTCACCCGGGCTAGCATTTTTAGCGGGGAGGGCCATGGTGAGAGGGGATTCAAGAAATCTAGTAATATTTAGAGTATTTTATTTGGGATGATGTTATGTGGTTTGAAAACGTTAGCTAAGTGTTCGGCGAAAATGCTGACTTTATCGGAGTCAGAGGAAGCCCACGAATTTTATCGGTTTTTTCGAAGTTTATCGGCGAGTTAGAGCATGATATGGACAGGAATATTAGTATTATTCCAGGGTGGAGGATGGTTACTCGAGGCAGCGGAGGCAGAATTTTGAATAGTGGAAGTTAAGGAAAGGATAGCGCTGTCGATTTCAGAGGTAGTTTTTAGGGAGAGTTTAAGGTTTATGTTGATGGTTACTAATTTTTTGAATTTAGGCCAGTTTACTCTGCCAGAAGTAAGGGAAGGTATAATTTGTTTAGTAGCCCAGGCACCCACCTCAAGATAAATTGGGGTGTGGTCAGAGGAGAGATCGTTTAAGTTTGATATGGTTGAGTGAATGTGGTTTGGAATTTTGGAAACGAATATATCAAGGATATCAAGAAGTCTGTTACAGTGAGAAGGCCAGTAAGTAGGAGAAGGGGGAGATTACTGAGTAGTTCATAGTGTCTAAGACAGATTTAAGTGCACGGCCTCTGGTATTAGCGGAGCGATTTCCTCAGTAGGGGTGTTTTGAATTGAAATCACCTCCAACTATGAATTTTTGACCTAAGGTAGAAAAAAAGGTTTGAAATTCGACAGACGAAATTTTGGGTCCAGGGGGACAGTAGATTGCAGAAACGGCAATGGGGGTAGAGTTGTTAAAGTTGACTTGGATTGTAGTGGCTTGTACGTAGGGTTCAGAGTGTGGGGCTAATTAATGATGGGATAAATTGTTTTTAATGTAGATAGCGGTACTAGCGCTTAGTTTATTTAAAACCATTTTTTCATAAAATTTTGTTGAATCCATGAAATATGCATATAAATGTTCTTAAATCCAAAATATTGGAATTGGTACAAAAAGTAACAAAATATGCAAAATTATGCAACAAAAATTTTTAAATCTGAAACACATACTATGAATCGAATTTATATCGAATCAGAATTTCAACATGTACTTTCTAGACAAATATGCAAATGCTTAAAGTTCCGAGCCTTGCTAATCACGTATCTCGATTATTAATATTTCGAGACATCTCTCGATTATATAAATGTCTCGAATACTAATAATTCGATTATGCCCATCATTAGTTATAACTCTATGGTATGCTATACGTTGTACATTGTGAATAGGTGTTCAATAATATCGCTATAATGGTCACACTGGCTAACTGATGAAGGCAGGGCAGGGCACACAATAGTGAATAGCTACGCGGAAAAATATATATCGACCGTAGCCCATGAGTAACACTTCCGTCCATTCGTCCCCACTACTCGAGCATTCCAATCATAAGTTGACTCATTGTTTTTATTATTTTGATTAAAAGCATTTGCCATTTTTATATTCGTTTCTGCGGTTTAGGTATCTTGGTGTTAAGTGAACCAGTTTTAAAATTGATAGCACAACTTTTCCGTTTGAACTGCTCTGTATGTGATTTTTTTTTATCGTCTTTATTATCTTCGGATTATTGTGGCGCCGAGTATTTGATTACCGTTCAGAAGCTGTAAGTCTTTTATTCGTTTTGATATTCAGTATTGATGACTAGCCACGATTATGAAATAATTGTTTTACTGTAAACTGGATTACAAGTAGATGACAGTTGGGTTTTTTGAATTTTATCTTATACCTCTCTTATTTTCTTAGATGGGTGCAAAATGGAATAGGTAGTTTTCTTTTTTTCTTGTACACAATCAGTAAGAATGTATTATCTAAGAATTCATTTGAGAAAGAATGACTAAACGTATTATGAGTCATAGTCTTAATAACTTTCCTTAATAGAAATAATAATTTATTGTTACAGACCATGTACTTATGATTAATTTTTAAATTTGGTTGTTTTATTTCTTTTTTGTGCAGTTTCAACAGAATGTATCAATCAAGTAGAGTATGTAAGTAGAACCTTCTGTCCAGCTATTTAACAAAAAGTTATATTATTTATTATTATTATATTATTTAATATGTATTAAATTTCAGTACCAAGTAATACAGGTTATTCTAAAGATACAGCTATGATGTGGCAACAAGGACAATATTTGCCAGAATCCGGTATCCATTCGGGTGGAACTACTCAAGCTCATTCTATTACTGATAAAGAAGATGATTTAGAACGTGATCAATTGATCTATGAACTTAATCAAGGATTTTCACATGGGTTTACTCAAGATCAAGTTGATGGTAAATATTTGATTTATAAAAAAGCGTAAAATTTAGGTATTCATAAACTACACTCCTTTTTAAGAAATGAATCAGCAGTTGAGTCAATCGCGTACTCAAAGAGTACGAGCAGCAATGTTTCCTGAAACGCTCGAGGAAGGTATTGAAATCCCTTCTACACAATTTAATCAAGGGCAGTTGACAGCTGTTCAACGATTAGCTGAGCCAAGTCAAATGTTAAAACATGCTGTCGTTAACTTAATTAATTATCAGGTAAATTTAATAATTTTAAAGTTGCTTATAGAACAGTTCCATGATACCCAATACAATTGGTAACAGTCCAATATGCGACCTACACAGATTTATAAATAAATGTAAAATACAAATAATTTGAACTAACCTTTTTTTTATTCCTCTTCTCAGTGTCATCAATAACTTCATTGTTTCAGTCCATATTGTTATGAAATGTCTTTTTCATATCGGTCAAAAAGTTATCAAAAACGGTTTTTGGATTTTGACACAATTGTCACTACTCTTCTTGGAGTTGTCTATCTAGTAAAGGAGACACCCTATTATTTTTAATATTATATTTGGATTTTATAATTTTCCATAAGTCTTCAATTTGTTGAGTGTGTGGTCCTGTTACTGGATCAATAAAAAATTCAAAATGGTTAACTATTTGATGAATATATCCATGATTACTTAATGTTAAGTACACTCTCCATTAGTCACTATAAATTGTCGTTCCAGTTTTTATTTCATTTTTAATAATTTGTAAAAAAGGTTCTTGGTCCCAAAATACATAAATAATATTCCCATAAATAGAATAAAATGCCAATAATGACAATAACCAAGATAATGAAACATTTAGATCAACACATTCTTATTGGTAGGTCGAGTAACATTTATAGGTTGCATATTGAACTGTTACTTTTTTAAGAAGAAAATTAATTTTTCATGTAAAGTGCTGTATATTTATAATAATTTTTTTTCATTATTCAAGAATCTAATGCTAACATTTTTTTTTTTCATTGTTCACAAGGAACAGTCATATTGCTGCCATTACTTAACTTACAAATCATAGGTTATATTCTTTTTTTTCATTCAAAAAAATACAATATACTATTATTTAATATTTATTAGATCAATTTTAAACTTTTAAAATAATGATATAAATATAATATATTCAGTTGTTCAGTAATACTGTAATTTATTAATAAACCATTATATGAACCTTTTAAATGTATTTACTGTATTCGTATAATATAATATAAGATAAATTTAATTTAATATTATTTATGTAGGATGATGCTGATTTAGCGACCAGAGCTATACCTGAATTGATTAAATTATTAAATGATGAAGATCAGGTTGTTGTATCACAAGCTGCTATGATGGTGCATCAATTATCCAAAAAAGAAGCATCAAGACATGCCATCATGAATAGTCCTCAGGTAAATATCTTATTTTATTTTAGTATAATTATTTTTATTAGTTGTATTTGAATGAATGATTTTACTTATAGATGGTTGCAGCTTTGGTAAAAGCATTAACTAATAGCAATGATTTAGAAATGACCAAAGGTGCTGTTGGTACCCTTCATAACTTATCACATCATCGCCAAGGACTTTTAGCTATATTTAAAAGTGGAGGGATACCAGCTCTTGTTAAATTACTAAGGTAATAAATAATCATTTTAATTAACTATTGTAATATTTTATTTAGTCAAATTATTAAATAATAAATTTTTTTCAACTAAATATAGTTCTCCTGTTGAGTCCATCTTGTATTATGCTATAACAACCTTACATAATTTGTTGCTTCATCAAGAGGGCTCAAAAATGGCAGTTCGTCTTGCTGGAGGTTTACAGAAAATGGTAGCACTTTTGCAACGTAATAACGTTAAATTTTTGACAATTATAACTGATTGCTTACAAATAATGGCGTATGGTAATCAAGAAAGTAAATTAATTATACTTGCTTCACAAGGGCCAATTGAACTTGTACGTATTATGCGCTCATATGACTATGAGAAGCTTTTATGGACAACATCCAGAGTTTTAAAAGGTTACTATAAAACTATAATAGTATAATATAATTTACTATAAATTACTATTAGGTAGTTTTTCTTTATTAAATTTTTTTTTTCTTTAGTTTTATCAGTATGTTCAAGTAATAAGCCAGCAATTGTTGAAGCTGGTGGCATGCAAGCTCTTGCAATGCATTTACAACATGGAAGTCAACGTTTAGTTCAAAATGCATTATGGACTTTACGTAATTTGTCAGATGCTGGAACTAAGGTACAATTGGCTGGGGTATAATTAAGGGATCATGGATGAATAGATCCCTCCTCCAGAAACTTATTTTACTAATTTTTTGCAATTATTTATATTTTATACTAGTATTTTAATTGCATACATCACTACCTATATGTACATGTATATAAATATGAATTGCTAGTCCATGATATTGGGATTATGTACAGTGTAATTTTGTGAAGCATTTTTCAAAATTCTTTAGTTTAAACAATACCTAGTACCATTACTTAATATAGTCGTGCATTTTTTTTTTTTTTTTTTATATATTATATAAAATGGAAATTAAAAATAAATACAAAAGTTTTGACAAAAGAATAAATCTAGCAATTAACATCATCTGAAAAATTCTAGAATGTACCATACAAGCATATATTAGATAAGCGCTGTATTTTCGTTATCTTAAATTATTTTAAATTACTAACTACATAAATTAGTTACTGCTAGAATTAATTAGAATTTTAGAATCATTAGAAAAAAAATGACAAAAAAAAAACTGTATGCTCCTAAACAAAATACTGTTCTTCTATCAGATATTGTAAATAGCACTATTTGTTTAATAGTAAAAACACTTAAATGACTATGTGCAACACAATGTTTTTAGAAGTGATAAAAAGTTAATAGATTTTTACTTAAAAATTTTAATCCCCTCAAGGCAAATTCCTATTTTATGTAAATATTGGGCATTAATATTTTTACTTTTATCAAGCTTAGTAAAAATTATATTAAACATTTATATATGTGTTTTATATATTATGCACATTTGTATTAGTCAATTTTATTTATATATTTTATATACTTTTAGGTTGATGGATTAGAACAGCTATTGCAATCATTAGTATTAGCACTAAGCCATTCAGATGTAAATGTAGTAACATGTGCTGCTGGAATTTTATCAAATTTGACTTGCAATAATCAACGTAATAAAGTTACTGTTGTTCAAGTAGGCGGTGTTGAAGCATTAGTACAGACAATAATGAATGCTGGAGATCGTGAAGAAATTACTGAACCTGCTGTGAGCTCAATCAATAAATTTCATTTTGTTCTTATTCAAAATAATTATTATTATATTTTAGGTCTGTGCTTTGAGGCATTTGACTTCTAGACATATTGAATCAGATAGTGCACAAAATGCTATAAGACACATTGGTGGTATTCAAGTTATAGTGAAATTATTACAACCTCCTTCTCGTTGGCCACTTGTTAAAGCTGCAATTGGACTAATTAGAAATGTAGCTCAGTGTCAAGGAAATCATATACCATTAAGAGAACATGGGGCCATACACCATTTAATACGATTATTAATGAGAGCATTTCAAGATATTCAAAGAGTATGATATTATTGAATGTTAATTATTATATTAACTATTTTAATTAATGATTAAGTCATTAATTTTAATTGTATTATGATATTATAGACATCTACTAACAGTAGTGTAGCAGGATCAGGTAGATCACAATCAGGTGGTGTATATGCAGATGGAGTACGTATGGAAGAAATTGTTGAAGGTACTACAGGTGCATTGCATATTCTGGCACGAGAATCACACAATCGAGTACTTATGCGTTCCCAACAAGGGTTGATTGCTGTATTAGTTCAGTTGTTATTTAATGATATTGAAAATGTTCAACGAGTGGCTGCTGGTGCTTTGTGCGAGTTAGCTATTGATAAAGATGGAGCAGATATGATTGAAGCAGAAGGTGCCACAGCACCTCTTACAGAACTGTTACATTCCCGTAATGAAGGAGTTGGTAATGAGAATATTTTTTTATTTAAGCAATGGTTTTTTAAAAAAAAAAATTAACGACAATTTTTTTTATTATTTTGTATAAAGCAACATATGCTGCAGCAGTGTTATTCAGAATGTCAGAAGATAAACCAAATGATTACAAAAAACGATTATCTGCAGAATTGAGTAATTCATTATGCCGAGAAGACCAAAATACATGGCCACCTAATGATCTTGGAATGGGACCTGATCTTCAGGTAATTAAAAGTTATAAGACTTATTGCTAAGTCTAATTTAATATAAAATGTTTGAATTAGCCAGAGGCATACATCGTTTGTTGAGGTATGTTTTGTAATCAAATTATTGTTATTGCTTTTTTCCGAATATTGCATAAATACACAATTTTCTAAGTTCATGCATGGTGTTTGGTACACCTAGACTAGGCATAAACAGTTTTATTTTATTTTTATAATTATAATTATTATTATTATTATTTTTTTTTGTATTATATTTTTTGTACAGTAGCTAGACTTTTTTTATTTTTGTAAACAGGACGCATACGATTTGTATGGTCATGGACTTGGTAGCGTGCACAATGGAATGGGCTCAATACGACATAGCAACTACCACCAACAATCAGGTATATATTGATGTATATATTATAGATATAGATGCTAAATTTACTTAACTGTTCTAATTTTGTTGTGCTTATTTTGCATGCAATTCTTCACTAACAGTAAGTATTAAGTAATTACATTTTTATTAAAAATTTATTTAAGTGTATACAATATTTGGTGGTTTGGTTATAATATGTATTACCTTATACATTTTAATTGACTTTTAATTAATGTGTTTTTTTATTTTGATTAAACAAGGACAATTAAATTTCTAGAGAATCTAAAATTGCTATAGTTGAAGACATTAAACTTAACCATTTTATTATTAATATGTAATAACTAGAGAATGCATTTTTATGTTCTTAAAATATTTAAATATTTAATTATTTCTTAAGCTAAAAAAATATGGGTTTTTATTTAAAATAATTTATAATTCTCTGAATGAACAAGTTACATTAAAAAATATGTATAGTCAATGTACATTCAATTTAAGGTACTTGTGTGTTAACGCGACTAACTTGATTTTGAACGCATTATTGTACCCAACATATTTTTAATACATTTATAATAATACAAAACTACCCAAAGCTAAAAGACAATGTAGTTGGTAAGTTCCACAGATCTATTGCCAAATAATCGTAACTGTATAACAAATTATTACTACTATAGTGTGGTTGTGACTACATGTCTACAAAAGTCCAAAAGTCCTAAAAGTTACCCAACCAGCAGTGGCGTAAACTGGGTGGTACAAATGTGGCACTTACAACACCAGATCTAAAATGTAGTAGTGCAATGATATGTTTTTACACCACCAAAAAATCATTGAAATTTGTATACCTATATTATTTTTAAGATTCAAGGAAATCAGCATACTACAAACAAAATTTGATTGTTTTTTTTTTTATTAATATTTTAATAATAAAGGTTTTAATGCTAAAATAATTCAAAATTTATTTTTTATTTAAAGAAATATTAGGAAGAATTTTTTTTTTTGAAATTGGAAAATTGGTGTGTTGGAAATTGTAAGTTGAGAATATGCCTCTGCCCCACCAGAAATTGGATCCAATTTACGCCACTGCCAGCCAGTCTATAAAAATTGTGATAAGTGCAATTGTAACGACATTGGAAAAAATTGAATTAGAAATAGAATCGCGTATAAAACGGCTTCGCTATAACCCATAATATGAGGTAGTCGCGATAATGAATATGTGTTACGCGGTAAGCGCGATAACACATAAGTACCCAATTTAATAATATTTATTTTTAATATACATTCATTGCATCTCATGTTAATGCTTAGTTTGAAAATAATCAGTTACCTTAAAAATATAGTAATGAAGTCAATTGTATAGTTGTAACTTCAAAGAAAAACAGTGACCACTCAGGGATGGGCAAACTACTCAAAAAAAAGGTCATTAATTACAAATTACAAAATTAAATTACTTGCAATTGCAAATTACAATTTAAAAAAAGTTGATAAACATGAAAAAAATTAACATAAAAAAGTAAATTAGAAGTTCTTGTATTATAATTAAAATTTTAAATAAATAAATAATAAATAAGTTGAATATAAAAAATAGAACAGTTGAAATATTTTTAGGCGCCATAATTATAACTTTCTTTTAAAAAAACAAACATTTAAAATTTCTTATCATATAGTCTTGAAAAGGTAGGTGCCTTTATTAACTAGCAAAAGAAGGATCAGAATTATATTAAATAAATATTTTTAAGCAACTGGTATTTTTATCATTATAAAATTGCAACAGTTGTAAATCAATATTGCTTTGAGTAGTATTTATAGAAGATTGGCTGAATTTTGGAGCATACTTACTAAAAAATTGTCATTGTCATCTAATGATATATTGAAACTCATTTTGTCACTATCAAGAATAACAATTAATTTTTATTCGTTAAATGTCCGATAATTTATGTTAATTTAACATACTTATTTATATGGAAGGTACAACTGTCAACTATATGTAATGAATAACTATATATTTTTTAATAATTTTTAGGGTATGACACGTTACCAATAGATTCTATGCAAGGCCTAGAAATATGTTCTCAACAAGAATCTAATTGTAGTCCATTGGACGTTGTGACAGCTAATGATATTGATTTTGGGCGTCTAGGAGATTTACCTTTACCTGAACCTCCTCAAGACAACAATCAAGTAGCTGCTTGGTATGATACTGACTTATAAAGTTTGTTAATATAATAAATTAACAAGTATTAAATATAAATAGATTACTTTTTTATTCTGTAAAATAAATTATAAAACATGGAAGTTTATTTAACTTGATAAGTATTCAAGCCTATGCTTGTTCAGTTAATACTATCTAGTTATTTGGTGAAAATGAGAACTAAGAGGTTATAAATAACAATAATGATATTAATATTTATATTGGTTGAGTTTGTAAAGAAGTTAAGAAAAACAATTACACCATGATACCTATTAACTAATAACATCATTATTATTAAATCTTACACTATTTTTGAATATTAATATCTATAATTTATTTTATGTATTGTAATTTTTAGTAATGTATAGTAGAGTGCATTAGTTTAAGTAGTTTAATATTTATAATGTTTTCAAACCCAAAGTTCATCAAACTCTTATTAATATTTATACTAATTAAAAGTTATTGATCTCTGTTATTTTTTGTTTTCTGTTAACAATTTCTTCAATGTTCTTGTATTGGCGATTTATATTAATGAGTGAATAATATAATTATATGAATTTGTAATTTAAATTAATTATAAATTTAATAGTTTATGCGTTTGCTGTCTTTAATTATTTAATATACAACGTTTAAATTGTAATATCCTAAACTATTTTGTGTTTAATAGTTCTAGATTTATCATTTAAATTATTTCATTTTATATTATATTTATATATATATACATATTATGTACCAACATTATGTATTTTAAGTTTTATTAAAAACATTATTTTATACACCTACTGTCATCAATTATATATTATTATAGATTATAGATAGCTCACTGTTATAGAAAATATGTTGCGCAGGAGTTGAGTCAATTGAATTGGCAGTCACCAACAGGTAGGGGCAATGCGACCTTTAATTCAACCTTTTTAACATTGCGGCACACTTCATCACCAACAAAATGTTCACGGCACACCAATACATATATTATGTGAACCATGTTAAATATATGACTATATGTGTGTATACTGTTTACAGTCTACTCTATTAGATGCAGTGCTCGAATTGGGAAAAATTAAGTAAATGTGCTCAGTCCAACAATTTGAAAACTGCGTTCCATGTGCGCAATTATTTAATTCAGTCCCGTAGGGGGTTTTGTCCCTGCTCTGACCCCCCTCCCCTCCGCCAACCTAACATATATTTTGAATGCCACTTTACAGCTAAATATTCAAATTCCAAATATAATATATTTTAATAGCAATACCAACATCCTACATGTTACAATAGAAAATAAAAATAAAATAATAATTAACATAATTGTAGGCGATCAGGCAGTCTCATAAATCGAATAATATAATCATATATTTGGTTTTTGTTTTTATTTATTTTTAATCTTTAGTGCGGGCCACGGCCTTAGAATATTAGTTGTGGTGCGGGCATTTATTTTTTCCCGAAATGACGATATTGTCGATCGCCAATATTACGAGTAACAAACCGTACAATGTATAAAGCAGTGGTTCTCGACCTGTGCACCTAGGGGCACCACCGAGCACTTCTTAAGGGCACCGTGGCCTACGGTTCATAACAAATAGTTTAAAATGTATAGAATATTTTTTCCTTATTCTCGTAAAAACGTTATAGAGAATAATGTAATATTTTCTATCGTATATTCGGACATTTTCATTTTAACCTTATAATATTTTTATGTGATAATTATGATCATAATAACAATAATTTTTATTTATTTATTTTTTAAGTTTAAAAAACCATTAATTTATAATTTAGTTAAATTTTAATAAAATTGGTTATCTGTGAGTATTTTTGTTTTGTTCTGTCTTTCATGTTATTCATAGCAGGGCACCGTGGCTAAATTGGTCCAAAAAAAGACACCGCGGAAAAAAAGTTTGGGAACCGCCAGTATAAAGTATAATACACCAAATTCACAGACATTGCTATTTATATTTCCTCAGAAATGATAACGTTCTCCCTTATCATAACCACCATATAATCTTTAATTATGAAAATAGTTTTAATATTATAAATCGTAAAATTCGTTTTCAAATTGACGTAAATTGAAATTTACATAAAAATTATTTTGGACATCAATTAGGATGAACGTGGCGTCCCCCCTTCCTATGAAAAAATATAGTTGGGGTACGGAAAAAAAAAAATAGTAGAGCTGCGCACCCCTCCCAATTCAAGCACTGATTAGAGGGTTATTTATTGTTAAATTTAAAAATACAATCGATCGACTAAGACGGCTGAAACGGCCATACTTACAATAAATAATATATGTATTCGCGATTAGTTCGATCAGTTTTCATCGAATATCGATAATAACCTGGTAATTACATCCTTATAAAACAATTTATAGATTTATCACAGCACACTTCAAGGACGTTCGCGTAACATCAGTTGGGAACCACGGGTTTATATATTGCAATTTATTCAAAACAACCTATAACACGCAATTTTATACTACATTACTATATATCAGGTGTAGGCGGCCGGCAAGCCATTTTTATTGAGCCAGTGTTATATTTTCAAGTTAAATCATACAATTTTAAAGTTTTCGTCTATAATCTTATCGATATAATAATTTTTATCTAGTATTAGACAGATCTAAATGTTGACCTTGTAGCATTTGCATATTTTTTTTTGCACCATCATAAAAATAGCATAGTACGAAACAAATACGTTTCACGTTTCCACAAAGCCAGTTTTGAAATTTTATTGTGCGAAATGCATATTTTGCGTATTTTTGGTTTTTAGTACATATTTTTTCCACTTTATACTTTTAAAAGCATATTTTAAATAACTTATCATTTTATCAATATTTTTTCGTGAACGTTTTGATTTATTTATTTATACGACTAAAATAACATTGAATTTAAAATTATTTTAAATTTTGATCATAATATTAATATGGTTTTTGACTTTTCTCAGACTCATCATAGTTTTTCTAACGCCTGTAGTCGATATCGGATATATTCATATTTCAGTAAACGCTGTTTCTCAACATTTGACGGTCGAATTCCAAAAGCGGGGCTTGCCACCCGCGCACAATGTATTAGCCAAAGGTCGCTGAAGATGTAGATCAACTGATTCGAGCCAAGATACCCAACCCAGACACCGAGAGAAAACTCTACATCATGGTGATCAACATGATGCACAGACCTTGCGGAGTTCAGAACCCAGCGTGCACCTGCATGGCAGACGGGAAATTTCAGAAAGATTTTCCCATAGCTTTCAACGACGAAATGCAATTTAAGAGAGCTGGAGGTTATCCTGCCTACAGACGTAGAGACAACGGCCGCGCAGCTTCAGTGAGAAATAGAGAGCTCTTAAAACAATTCCGTTGTGCCGTACAACCCTCGATTACAAAATCATTATTCAGATAAAAAAACTCATAAAATAAACCCAATTAATTAATTGTAAGTTTTAAGTTGTTAAATAAAGTATATTCATTATAATAAGTACCTACAGAAAAATTCTTATTTTTTATTAAAAAAAATTCATTTTAAAAGCATATTTTGTACATTTAAGTGCATATTTGATGAATATGTATGCCCAGGACACATTATTTACACGCCATGTCTTAACATGACGTTCGTGAAGTTGACCCCCCCCCACTTTGTCCTATTGACTTCAAACCTTTACCAATATTTTGGAACTAATTTGGAATCAATTTTTCATAATTTGGAACTTTACCCTTTTCTCGGAATAAAAGTTTTTCGGTTGGAGGGTCCAACTTCAATAAGCCCCCTCCTCCACTTTGTCCTATCGACTTTAAACCTTTACCAATATTTCGGAACTAATTTGGAACTATTTAGAACTAAGTTTTCAGAATTTGGAACTTCACCCTTTTCCCCGTATAAGAGTTTTTCGATCGGGGGAGTACAAATCCACGCAGCCCCTCCCACCACCCACTTTGTCCTATCGACTTCATTCATCAACATTTTGAATCTTATTTGAAATTAATTAGAATCTAGTTTTCTGAAACACCTATATTAAATATAGGTTACAGATTTAAAAACAAATAGTAATAATAAATTAAAATTGTGAGATTTAAAATTAGTTATTGCTTTAAAAAAGGAAAATTAGTTATCTTAAAGAAAACAAATCTAAAAATTGCAAAGTTGAAATTTCAAAATTATATTTCTTAGTACATACTTAAAATATTGTTTTTAGAAATCTGTTTCTCAATTTGATAAATTTGGTAATTAATTTGCATTACTAGTATCTATAATTGTTATATAATACCATAGAACATTTTAAAATATATCTTTATGATTAGCAGATAATTTTTTTTTACTATTAAAATATAATATTTAAACTCCGGACCATATGTGCCCTTAATATATTGCTATGCTCATAGGAGAGAGATTTCGGCGTATCTAAAATTGACATTTTGAAACTAGGAAGCATAATTTTTGTAGTTGTCAAAATTTTGCTATCTGTGTAAATATTTACAACACATAAACAATTATTGGCAACTTGAAAAAGTTATATCCTTCACCCAGGCATTATCAATTCAATGAGGACAATTTTTTTGTTCCTTGTAACTTTATATGGCATTAAACTTTAACATAACTATTTTAAACTGTCAATATTATTAGAAATTTTTGAAAACTGTATTAAAACCAACTAAATATCTATGAACGTATAAAATATAACAGTAAATATACTTCAATATTTTCGAACACAAACTACATTGTATAAGATAAAATTAATATAAATCATATTATTATTGATTTTCCTTATCTTGTCATATAATTTGATACTATTTTGAACACAATACATTCAGGCAATTATTATTGGACAAGTCCATAAAGTGTTATTTTTATGAATTTATATTTAAATGGTTCAGTATACATATAATTTTATACGTAAGATATATTTAGAATACTTCAAAAGTATTCCGAATACTTTTAACATACTTCTAGTTTTCATACTACAGTGAAACCTCGGTATCTCGAAGTCGTAAGGGACCAAAAAAAAAAAAATTCGACATATCGAAACTTCGAGTTAGAGAGGGAATTTAAAACATAAATAAAATTTGAAATAAAAATGTTAAATTATTGGGAAAAATGTGTATTTATAATATAGAATGTATTTATACATTGAATACATATTATGTATTAGTATTCGTCATTTGGATAAGTATACATTATTTTCTATGAAAGTAGAAAATCTGACATTTTTGTTTGTTTTTGTTTAGTATTAAAAGTATTTTCAATAAAACTACCTAAAATATTAAGTGCAGAAAAAATATTGTCAGAAACTCCTGACTGTTATTGAACGTATCTTTGAAGTTCATGTATATAGTTTTCAGCTTGGGCACCACGTATGAAAGATTTAACAACAGCAATTTCTTCCTCGTCGATTGCTTCATCGACAGAATCTATCTCTGGCTCACTGACTTATATAATGACTTAATGACTTCGACTTATAGAAATATTCGGCATATGGAAATTCGATATAAGGAAATAACTGAGTACGTAAGTCCAATACTGAATGATCGGGACTGAAAAAAAAATCGACCTACAGAAACTTCAAGATACCGGAGTTCGAGATACCGAGGTTTCACTGTATCAAAATAATAAATGTAAAGTTCCAAATTCTGAAAACTTGGTTCCAAGTAGTTCCAAATTAGTTCCAAAATATTGGTAAAGGTTTAAAGTCGATAGGACAAAATGGGGGGGGGGGGGGGGGGGGGGGTGCGTGAAGTTTTCTTCCCAACCGAAAAACTCTTATTCCGGGAAAAGGGTAAAATTCCAAATTATGAAAACTTGGTTTCAAATTAGTTCCGAAATATTGGTGAAGGTTTGAAGTCGATAGGACAAAGTGGGGGGGGCCAACTTTACGGACGTCTTAACATGACTTTATATCATGCCGGGGTAAGACGTGCGAGGCGGCGCTGTACACATTAATACAACGCGTATGGTAGCATAGTATGCTAAACATATTTAGGTTGCACACTTTGCACACTAATTTTTGTCAGTCAGCACCATTTAAAAAAAGAAAATAATAAAAAAAAACATTAAAAATTGTTCTTTATACTTCATATATAGGTACACTAAATAAAAACATTCCTAATAAACATTTATTTTTCGTATTATGTATAACTCCTTAAGAAGTATAGGTATGACACGAATAATATGTGAACTTGCAAGTTAGTATTCCTTATTATAAATTATTAAAAACTTAAATATCTTACCTGATATTTGTAAATTTGCACCAATCTCTTCCCATGCCTCTTCATGAATGTTATTATCTTTATAGTCGACAGAAAAAATGTCGTATAAAGATTTATGTTCCCGGATATTTTCAATTAATGACTCCTCCTCAAATGAAGACATTTTAAAAAGATAGGAAAACAAACAGCATCGGCTGATATCTGGAGTAAAATTATCGTATTTTAAATAATAGGTACGATATTATCACGTCACACGTTTTTCAAAATTATATGAAATGCGTGGCGTGGAATTGAGTGGGAATGCATTGCGTATTATAAATATGATCACAAAATCGAATAATATTTAAAAATAAACGCGTTAACACGCGATTTATAATTATCGGTGTGTTAACGCATGACGTGTGAATAGTGTATCCCTAGCATAAGAGCTGCAAGTCTTTAGCCTTAGTCATATGTATGTATACGTATAGCTTTCAACTAGTGATGGGAATAATCGAAAAAAAAAATAATCATATAATCGAAAACAAAATCAAATGATTCATGATTTAACTGCTTGTATAAATAATCAAATGATTATCTGTTACATAACCTGATGCATGAAAGTGAAATGCATTTTCAATCCAAATATTTATACGTATTAAACCAATTAATGTGACGATTACCGATACTGGGAATTATACCAATGATTAAAAATGAAATAAATAATAATACAACGGTGATGGACAGTCGATTAAAACATAATTTTTTCGAATAATTCAATTAATTTGGTTTTGATAAATAACATGTCAGGTAACATGGTTTAACATATATCTTAAACCATGGTCTGGTACCATTATTTGGATTATTTAAATCATTCGATTATTTTGATAATCGAATGATTCTATTATTTCAAATAATTGAATCATTTTATTATTCCCATTACTACTTTCAACCATAGCTGTTTATATCGAACTATTAACTATATCAGTTTCTTTGTATCATTCGTGTTGTCATGTGTTGAATTTATTATTTCCATGTATATAAATGTTATTTAAAATTAATATTTTGAATAATATTTTTGTTTTGTATTCTTTGGCCCTCTAGATTTTAATTTTCTAAAAATAGAAACTCTAGTAACTTTGAGTTGTCCGTCCCTGATAAATATAATAAAGTAATTTTCTTCGTCTTTTACCCAATTATTTGGGGTCTGCCACCCTTGTCTTAAACCTCCATTCGTCACAATTTTCTATTACCCATACGCACACACCAACGGCCCTCATATAATTTTCAACGATCTCTTTTCCCTTTAACGTTTATTATTATAACAATTAACTGCTTTTGTTTCCTCTTGCTCATTATATGCTCAAATTAACTCGGTCCATTTTCTCTCATCTTGTCCATTACCGATGTTACACCAACATAACTTCTCACATTTTTGTTTCTATATTCTATCTTCTTTTGACATTCCTTTCTTACATGTAAGCATTCTCATTCCCGCAACACTAATACTCTGTCCTATTCTCCTATTAACCTCCAAACACTGAACCATAGTTGGTCTCACTACACTCCCGTAAAATTTATCTTTTAGCAAAATTCGCCCGACGTTTCTTTTAATTTCATCCAACTTCACTTAATCCTGTTTTACATCGATGCCAAAACCCTCGTCCTATCTCTACTAACACCTTATTAAAAATATCTTTCAACTATCTGATGCTTACATCACTTAAAATTGTCCATTTCTCTAGTCACTCGGTCCTACCGGTTTTTTCTTTGTCGTCACCTTCACCGCAACTTTCTCGCTTTTTCCTCACTAACTAAATCAATTAATCATTCCATGAAATACTCTCTAAAGCTTATTTTGGATACTCCTAATTCAGTAATTTCTTAAAATATTTTTTTGATTTCTATTATTTGGTAACACCCTTTTATTCTCATTTTATATACACCAATTATTTTGAGTCTTTAGATCGTTTTTCTCAAACCTTAGCCTGTCAATACATTTATTTTTCTCCTTCCCGTGTTCCTAGTCTCTCATATAACTCATCATACCTATTAAGCATCGCCTTGCTTACTACACTCTTCACTATTTTACATTTTTATATTCTATCCTATATTCCATAATCCTGCTTCTTTATCATAACTTAAATTGTTTTTCTTACTTGTAATTACTCTCTGAATCTCCTCATTCCTCAATCACGTTTCTTTGTTTTCTGGCGTACTATTGACTCCATCCACAACTTCTTTTGCTATATTCTTAATACAAGTTGCCATTATTTTTCAAACTTCATTTATATTTCCCTCAAAAATTCCATACAGCTTTTACTTTGTTTCCTATTAATTTGCACCACCGAATTCTCAATTTCGTTTACTACTTATTATATTCACTTTTTTTCCATCACACCATACCTCAATTATCAACCCATGTTGTGTTATTAGACCCTCTCTGGGAATTACTATATAATATTTTACTCTTTTTATACTGTTTCTCCCTTCCACATAAAGTAAACAATCTACGATTTATTTCTTCCACTCCGTCCAGTTTATGTGTCTTATAATAATATTATAGTAGCCAACGAAAAATTAATTTACAATTTATTGGTGCCAATCAATGTAAATCCTCTATATTAAGTTTACAAAACAGTAATAATACTATAAAATTGAAAATTGTATCTCTAAATATATTTTCGATTGACATAACGTCAAAATATTTTCATACCTTTGAATCACCACCAAAAGCCTGATAAAACTAACAAAGTATTCTGAATTCAAGTCATATTTTTAAATTAATCCGTACAAGTCATTTGCAACACAATGCCCAATTTGTATGGATATAATGTAAAAAATATGACTTGAATTCCAAATAATTTGTTAGGTTTATCAGTATTTTGGTGGTGATTCAAAGGTATGAAAATACATTTAACTATTTTTTTACTTAACACGACCCAGGTATGTCGTTGTATGTACTTTATTCTTCTAACTGCGTGTCTTCTTTGTGTTATATGCATAACTTATGATTTTTAATCAAAATATTTAATTCTTTGTTATTTTTGACATATTTTTTACCACGGATATTATGTACTAAAAAAATTAAAAGCAGGATAATTGAACAAATTTTTGATGATAAAAAATTGATAATATAATCAAGTAAAGTTAGGTTAATTTGTAAATAAAATAAACAAACAATATTTACAAAGATATTTGTATATTTTTAAATGGTTATTCAAGATAAAAGAAAACATTATTAACTTTGCCTATTTCTGGGCTTAGCCTGAGTGCCTTCACGGAAACCATTTCTGAAAAATAAATAAAATAAAAATAAATTTGAATCGTTAAATATTAATTAAATTACTTTGTATCAAAATAGTGCTCAGAGAGGGCAAGTATTACCCATTTTAAATTCAGTCGTATTAGCGTATATTAATAAAATTTAACATCATTGCACAATTTATCAACCAAAATAACTTCATAATTTCAAATAAACAATTTAATTTTAATTAATTTTCATAAAATCTCTCTCAATCATATATTATCTTATGGGGATACCTATGCATATTTGCACTTGCAATAATTAAGTAAGCCGCATTAACACCGAGAAGTACATGGGAATCCGACAAGTGTTTTTGTTAACAACCTAGAAAACGACTGATTTGTGACGTCGCTAGTGAGATCAGAAAAAAGCATGCATTTATTGCATTAAGACAAGCATTAGATGAAAGTGAATTTAATGTTGAAACACAAGTTGAATTGAACTTTGAAGTAAAAAACCCATGAGTGTAAACATACTTATATATTACCTATCAAACTAAGTGACAAATGGAATTAATATGTGTTATTTAATTTTTTTTATTCATAAATACATTAAAATTAATAACGAATAATTTATTCAAGTTGTTTTTTTTTAAAAATTAAAAATCCTTTAAAATGCATGTATAAGTATATCACTACATTGATATATAATATAAATTTTTTTATATAATTTATACATTTTTGATACATACTTACAACAAACATTTATACATTATTTTTGGTTGAATCACATGACAGTCAAGCAAATTTTAATAAAGTTTACTGTATGACATTTTAATTGACCATGAAAGCTATTCAGAATAAGATTTTTCAGATAATGAAATAAATTTAAAAAACTAATTTGGGAGAAAGTAAATTCTACATCTACGAAGGTAAAATAACTATATGAAAACAGAAAGAGTATATAACTACAAAAATGTATTATAATAAATTATATATGTATTTTTGAATAAATAATTATTATAATTTAAATAAAAAAATCGATGTGAATGCACTGTTAATTTATTACTGTCAATATTATGACGGTAGTAAAATTTACAATGTACTTCCATTTTAGTTTTAGATAATGGTGTAACCGCTTAGAGGTTAATAGTAAAAACACGAGTTCAAATAAAACTCAGTATTTTGTATTTTGTTTTAGTAGTATTGTGGATACAATTAAGACATCTATAAAATTTTATTTTGTTCTAATTATGAGAAGCAAGAATTTTGATGGCCTTAATATAAATTATTAAATTTACTTGACCAAACAATGTTCAAAAATAATTGTATAAAAAATAAATAAAACTAGAAATAATAGAAATATTATTAATATGTCAAACTTTAAATTAGTTGAATTGAAACATTACTACTAAAGCACAGATTTGTATGAATTTTTTTATTTACTCTGGTTGATATATGCTAAGTGAGCACAACATTTGTTTCATAACATAACAATTTAAAAAATGAAACTCTTTTAGCGTATATTTTTGCATATTTTGACATTTTTCTATTTCAAGGGCTTATTTTACAATATTAATAGCGTATTCCATATTTCAAGTTTTTTTTTTTTTTAGACATTTTCGAAATATAAGAAAAAAAATACTATAATTTTACAGTTTCCATTTATATTAAAATAAATAAATAGGTATACTTGTAGGTATAAACGATTTTCCTAAATATAACCTTTGATCAATAATCAGGGAAATAAAATACATAGGTACACTAAGATAAGATTTAAATAGGGAACAGATTTATATTTAAATACATATTTTTATTAAAACGAGATATTTATGATTTGATAAGAAATATTCACAATTTAAATCATTCCTATTAATATGATGCTACTTTTATTTTACATATTTTTGTATAATTACATATTTATACATATTTCACTAATTAATAAATATTTTTAAATATATTTTATCATTTCATCATTCATACGTCTTCTCTATAAAAAAGTACAAAAAATTATTTCAAATTTAGATCTAGTAACTTCTGTCGCTATTAGAAAAGCTCAAAATATTATGCAAAATAAAACATTTAAGACAAATTTAATTATCATCCCAGTGAATTTTAGTTTTATTGCACATACATTTACAAAATTAGAAACAAAAATATGTCCTTAAATGAAAGTATGCAAATTGTTTAATCAATGATTGCAAAATGAAAACTCATAAGGAGACCAATAGAAGATGTAAGAAAAAAAATTCATACTGTTACAGAAAAAAATTCTAGGCTATATTGATTTTAAATTAATCAATGACATAATGAGTGGCAGACACCCTTCTAAAAATTTGAAATTATCGCCTTCTGATATTATGCTTAGCCGTTTTAAAATTATTTTCAGATCTAATAGGCAACATAACATATTTGATAATTTAATACCTAATTATATATATATATATTTTATTTAATTTAATTTTTTTCCTACATATTTGGATGTTTTTAGCACATATTTTATAAATTAAACTTACATATATATATATATATACATATATCTGTATTTTTATTACATATAAATCCGTTCCCTAGATATAAGATTTTCTTAGCTTATATTTTTATTTTTCGTGTATAATTTAACATTTTAGTACATACATTTATGAATATTTAAGGTTTTTTTTTAAAACATATTTGATTGGTTTTTAATGCATATAAATCCATGCTTTAAACATTACAAATGCTTCTGTTAATGGGTTCAACAATTTTGTATTTATTTTATAAATCAATATTCCCCTTGCTTAATAACATAAATTAAAGAATTTCTAAGGAAAAATTTAGATAATCCAAAACTAGATGGACAATCATTTGAATAAAGATAAAGAACACATGAAGCCAAAGAAATAATATTTCTTAAGTGATCAATTACCTATAAGGTTATTTTTTGATAAAAAAAAACCATAATTTAATAAATTTTTTAACAGATGCAAATAAAAAGTAACATTCAGAAAGTGCAAATATTTTTAATTCGGTTATACTAGAATATAATTATTAAGACCAATGTAATTTCATAACTAGTAATTGTCAATATCAGATATTACCTATGTAAACCAAACAATGCTCAGAGAGGGCAAGAAATACCCATTTTAAAAACAGTCGTATTAGCGTATATTAATGATTTGTCTACATCACCGCATGTTTCTTTAACTAAGTTTAACACAACAACTTAATGATGACAATTGACAAACATACCTGAATTTCCTACGAACAATCTTCAGATGTCTGAGACGGCCAGTTCCAGTAGTCTTTCTGCGTTGAGCTTTCACACTCCAATTGTCTATAAATGAAAATAAAACGATTTAAAACACCATCTAACAACGAAGAAAAGTGATGGGAATGAAATCCGGATTTGAAATTCAGATTACGGATTTCGAATTTCATGAATTCGGATTTTCGAACTTCGGTAAATCCAGATTTTTCCCAACACTTATACTTACAATGACGCAGTTTCTTGCATGGGTAACCGCACTGGGCGCACTTGGACTTTTGAATGTGATACGAAGACCGTCCACAACGACGACACAATGTGTGCGTCTTATTGTGACGTTTACCAAAACTCGAAGTACCTTTCGTCTGAAAAACGCACAGAATTTATAAACAAATGGTCGGATGGCCTGGAGAAAGGCTATCGGTGGCTCGTCAACCGAACAATTGACAGTCAAGCAACGGGCGAAACCGAAGGATCATCTGAATAAAGTTAGATAAAAAATTAAAAATGAACAAAATTGTACATACCATTTTCCCGAGGACGAAATCCCAAAATGAAAACAACCAACCACTGAAGTGGTCATACAAATTATAGAGTTAACCTAACAATCTATGATGAGATGTGTAGGGAAGTACGAGTACAGTGCAGTCATGGTAACGTAAAAATTATCCATGTCAGAAAATACTCACGAGCTCCATGGAATTAACGGCGATGGTGGCGGTACTGATTACATGTTTTTGGTGATGGTGTTGGTTCGTTGACCATTTACTAGAGTCGTTGCCTTCTTGAACAACCGTTAAAAATTTAAACACTTTAAATATAATAAGACGTTTAAAAAAATGTTCGATCTCAATATTATCCTAAATTATCGACTGTTACATTGTTGTTGTACTAGTTTTGTTATAAATTTCTCTCTAGTTTCAACGATCCCATTAAGTTATGTTTAATTGTTTTTATTTTATCGAAAAAATAAAATATATAATCATTCGGTTTTCGTCTATATAGTACACTTGATGTATTTTGTTTTCATTAATTTTAACTAGTGTTAAAAGTGTTCCTACTTGTTAGATATAACATAAATTTTTTTTTTTATCCTCGTTTTGAAATTAGTGCGATTATGGCGATCAGAGGAGAAGTAGAGTATATGGATATTTCGTTAAATTCAGAGACCAATGATACAACATCATATAGGAAAATATTTCACATAAACCGATCTCCAACTCCCGTTAAACCACCTCGTCACTGGTGCATGTCCACTGAACTTTTGCGCTCTCAGTACAAGACCCATAATGGACAAAAACCAAAAGTATATAATCCTTTTAACGATAATTTAATGCAACGGCTTGGTGAGACAACAATTAGCCCTACAGTGTTTGCAAATGCTATTAGTCCTGGCCAAGAAAACCATTTTGGTTGGAATATAGATGATCTTTCCAAAATAAATCCAGCACATATAGAAGATGAATGTATGGTTGATGAGGACCATCTTGATGATGAAACAGAATCCAAGTTACAAGAAACCATTGACAAGTATAGATTATTCTATTGTACTAAAATATTAAGTATTTTAATATTAATATTTTTATTGCTTTTGATTTTTTTCACTTTTATATAGATATTTTTGTTCTACACATAAAGTTCCTAGCCCATGGAATAATCAAATTGTTGATTGGGAATCTCATACTAATTCTTCATCTACTCCTGCATCAATAAAAAAAAAACCAAAATCTATTATCAATTGTCGTGAAGGTGAAATCATTTATATTTACTAAACTTTAAAATGTTTAATTTTTCAAAATTTTCAGTTTCAACACAAACAAACTTAAGTTTTCCTTACAAGTTACCTGATCATATTGAAGAAATACTGAAACCATATTTCTTGAACTCGGTAAAATATTTTTGTGCATACAATTTTATAAAAAAAATTAATAAGTAAAAATATTTTGGATTATGTAGACTGAAACAAATGTCAGTGAAATAAGTCCTACCAAAGATAATTCAACTTTACGACGAAAATTATTTTTTATGAATGACAAAGATGACCCAATTTCTCCAGTAGAAATGTAAGTGAAAATACTTTAAAAGTAAATCAATTACTTTATAATATAATTATGTTATATTGTAGGCATAAAAATCAATGTATTAGTCCAATTAAGAGTCGTTTTATCAATTCCACCAATGCTAAAGGTCCTGTATTTGGAAATCACTTAGGCATACAAGAATTACCAAAAGACTGCCATATCCCTGTTGATATATCCCCAATAATTAATAATTGTAATATGAACAATACTCCGCCAAAGACTAAAAGTAAGTAATTAAAAATTATAATTTTCTTATATTTTAAATAATATTCATAATTTTTTGGTGTTTATTAATTTTTTTTTTAACATTCATGAAATAAATACACGATCTAAAATTACTTTAGATTTATAATAGGTGATGTTAATGGTGGTATAACATAGCTTGAGTGACTTGGGTTAGGAAATTACCCATTGGAGGCATTACAGGGCAGGATTTTTTTTTTTGGATATTAATTTTGAATAAGTTAACCTTCCGGTGGGCGCGCTATTATTCGAAACCAGAATGATTGCACATTGTAAATTTTACAACAGTCGTAATATGTTATGATAATAGTACATATTATATCTAATAATAAAATAAGCAATAGATACATTCACCAATTTGTTTTTATTTAAATATTTTTATATTTATTAAAAATTCAATATATTTTATTACATAAAAATTTTAAACTGTAAATATATCTTATAATAAAATAAATAATAGAAAAATTCAGAAAGTTGTTTTTATTTAAATATTATTAATACATAAAAAATTAAAATTATTTTTACTATTTGTTTTCAGTAAGAAAGCAATAAATTATTCATAAATTAATAGGTACACGGAATGGTGTGTGTTGTATTTTGCGACAATACTATAAGTACTTGGTTGATTGTCAGCAATTAAGTTAACTGAAAAACTTCAAAAATTATTTAAAACATAGATCATAACATTTTAGAGGAATACCTTTGATCGCCGATAAGATAAAAATAGAATATAATTTGAATAAACAAATAAATATGAAACAGTTGTATTATTTATAATAGTGCGCCCATTGAAATGTTAAGAGATGAGAAAAAGGTTTCGATAATGAGGGGAAAATATAAGAATTTAGGATAATAAATTATGACATCAAGTTTGTTTTAGACTTCTGGGGTCACCTGAAATAGTATAAATAGATAGTTAAAAAATCAGGGAGTTTCGATGATTGTGGAAATTAGAGTGTTGATGTTTAAAACTTTTTTAATACTTGGGATAGAAAGATCTCTATGAAGTGTCATTAAATAGGTAATATGGAGCTTTGGATACTTGGTGAAGACGAGATATGCATGGACCAGCTTGGACTGGGCCGTGGCATAATAAAAATATTGCAAGTTGGTTGTGGGTGGCTGGAATTATAGTATTTTTCTTTGGACCATCAAAATAAAAACTACTTTATATAATATAAGAGTATAATAGTAATACCAAGTATTTGTGTTAGATAAGGATATGTTCTATAAAAGCAAATAGGGTAGGGCTTGGAGGTGTTAAGCCTCCAGTTTTATTATCATTTTAGATCATATAAATTTATTATTTATATGATTGTGTTTCTTTATTTTTTTATTTCATTAAGATTTTATCTTACAACATACAGCTCTTATTTTTTATAACTAATAATAATAATTTAATGATTATTTTTGATCAAGTATGGGGATAAAACCCCAATTTATAATCAGTTAAAATTGATAGGGCTGAAGACCCTCCCTCTATTGAAATTCCCTATTTGCGCCTATGAAATGTTCTCAAACTGATGGAATAGGTTTATCGCAAATCATAATAAAAAATGTATATATTATTTGTCTATATGATATTTATAAATAGATCACTGATAAAAACAAATAATACATTTTACGAATGAGCCTGGGCAGATTGGGACTAAAAAAAAAATAAGGACTTGGCTTGAGCGAGGGCATATTGTAAGTTTAAATTTCGGGCCTGATCGGGTCGGAAAAAACTGCCCATGTAAATCTCTAGTGGAGACATTTAGATTGGAATGTTTGAATTTTTGTTTAAGTTAAAGGGATTAGCTGCTCCCCATAGTTGAATAACTTTAGCCTAGATCGGTTTATATAAAGAACTTTGTTTTTAAATTTATATGTTGTGATGTGGTTATGGGTTGCTCAAGTTAGTCGGTGATCTAAGTGTAGATGTAGATTAGGAAGGTGTTATTTATGAAATTATATTTTATAATATATAATTTTATAATATCTTTATAATAAAAAAGTAATTTATTAAAATACACTTTAAGGTAATAAAAACTGAACTTGTAAGAATCATATTACTTCTCAGACTTAAAATATGTTATTTTAAATTTATAAATTAAGTATAATATAAGACTTTATCAAAAAAATTGAAATAATAATTTCTTTATTTCTTAAAAGTTTAAAATAATTAATCTTCTGTTATTATGAATTACCTAATACTATTTATTTATTTGAGGGCAAAGAAGGTTTTATTAAGTTTTTTTTAGAAATATTTAATATTAAATGTATCCTGCTCTAAATTTTTGTTTTAATGATGCATGTATGTTTATTTTTATTTATAGGTGGAGATTTTATTTTCACTACCCCTGTGTCAACTTTGTCAATGCCCAAACGACGTCGTATTAATAAAACCAGCTTAATGATGGAAAGTAGCTCAGATACTGGATATCAAACTATGACTATGAGCATTAAGGACACGTCCAGTATGACATCGTTTGGACAAAATTCCAAAAATGTTATGTTTATTGCATCTACACCCACTGAACGATGACATTCAAATAATGGTATCAATTTTTTTTTTTTAAATCGTTCATTTGCAATACTTAATATTAGGTACAAATATTTTAATTTATAATTTTTAATTCAGTGGACAATTTTCAAGTCAACTGTTAATATGGCTATATTTCTATCCCTAATAAAATATTATTGTAATTATTTTACTTTTATATAAGGGGATCAAAATTATAATCCTATTTATTTTGTTTTTTAAGCATTTAAATAAGAATTTAAAAAACCTTCACGCTATTATAACAAACTGAGTTAATTTTTTTCATAGAAGACAATCAATAATTGTTATATATTAGATTTTACTATGTGTTATTTAGCTAATTTTTTTTTTTTTTATAATTTTTGTAATGTGATAACTAGAAATGAAATTATCATTTGTTAAAAATGCACATATAATACACTAGTTATTTATTATGCAAATACGAGTTTTTTAATGAAACAAATGCTTTTTTTATTTCATGAAAACATTTTTTAATAAATAAATGCTATATGATTTATATTAAACAATAAAACAAAAAAAAAAACAAATATATATATATATAGTTTGGTAAAGTGAATAGCTTAAAAAACATGGAATGATGTCAACAAAGTACAATGAATGATATATAACAAAAAATATATATATATATATTATTTAATGTTAATATAAATCCCTAACTCCAATGGTATATCTTATTTACATTGGATCATTAATGAATTTCTGTCTGGAGATAAATCTGATCAATATTATCACAATAATAGAAAATATACCTTGTCTAAATTTGCTTTTTGTTGTTTACTAAAAAATTAAGCTCGGTATTTTATTCAGATGCCATTCGTTTGAATACCAAATCCCATGATGTAACACACTGTAACAACATTTTATATTAACAGTATGGTAAAAATGGGTCTATGAAACATACTCACATTTTGGTAATACTGAATATGGCTTTCTGCCAAGGCAGTTAACATATTTTTTAAATCTGATTTTTTTTGGTATTTCCACAACCCAAACTCTTGTCTGAAAACATTGCTACAAACATCCAACCGTTCTTGATTAGCTTCAACTACTGACACTAATTTAGGGATAACTTGGCTCATTCTTTCAATTTTTTCCTCTTTGTCCGTTTCTGTTTTTGACCAGAATGACATTATTGGCTTATCATTGTTAGCAACCTAATAATTATTCTAAAGATATAAAACTATTTTTACAACAAGGTAAAAGGGTAACTTTCACCTTATCTTTATCAGCCTTTTTTTTCTCCAAATCAATCAGAGACTGTTCGTATTGTATTTGCAATGCATCTCTTTTACCAAGTGTTTCACGGACACATTCTATATAGCTAACATAATCCTTGAGTGGCTATCAAAAAACATATTGATTTATATCTGTAAAAATTATTATTTTAATTTTAATTACTTGGGCCCAGTCACTAATAAAATTAGATATTAAATTATGACGTAAAGCAGAACTATTGGCAGTGATTGTATGGCCAATACGAGACAGTGCAGCAGAGACAGATTGTTCATTAGAAGACCACTCAATAAATGCTGCTCCAAGTTGATGAGATTCCACACACAGTTCTAAATACACACAAGAATGTATACAAAATATTTTTAATTCAAAAAGCTATTATATAACTTACCTTTTCTTTCTTTATGGATTCTCTGAGCTACTTTTTCTAACATGGCCAACTTTTCAGATAATCCTTGGAGATGATTCCTAATGGGATCAAACTCAAAATCTATCTGTCTTGAGTTATATGATACAGAAATAGTATTCAGACTGTTTGACATGCGTCTTAATAAGCCTGTACCACGTTTTTTATAAGAAGCGAACTCCTAAATTAAAATTATAAAATAAACACACAATTTATTATTAAAAATATTTTCTAAATTTTGTACTAAATATACAATATAATCTAATTAAACCACATCTTTTTATTTTTGTCTCCAACTATAAATGCATACCGTAGCATTTGCAGTTAAAAAAACACGAAGGTGTTTATCTTCTGTCAGAATGGGATGAGCAACCAAACGTGACAAAAATCTTTCCAATAACAACATTCGACATGTTACAAACTCTTTTGAATATCTATCTAATTGGCCAAGAATTGTATGTTTTGCTGGTAAAGGCTGTAAATAATAATGTTAATACAAATAGTGCAATACTTTCAAATAAACTACTCACAGGTACAATGCGATCAGGATATTCTGCAGCAATGTTTTGTCTTAGCCATATGAAATCATTGTAACGTCGGCGAATCACATATTCTTTATGAGGATAATCTATTCTATCCGCCTAAAAAAAAAAAACTAGTCCAAATACATTGTCCAATTCATGAATGATTAACATTACCTTTGTAGACACTCTGTATGTAATGTATGTTTCAAGTGGTTCGACTATCTTTTGTGGATTTTCTACACGTACTTGAATGTCATGTCTAAAATTTAATTTGAGATGAAAGTCGTTGGTGTTCATGGGGAAGGATACTAACTGAAAACATTAGAATATTTGGAATAACATTAATATCAATAACACTATTGTGCAATGAAATTCAATGAATTACATTTACCGTGGGCGTATCATTCAGAAGAATCTGCGGCATAGGAGTGATACCTTTTTCTTCGACTGACACTTCAAGTACTGCCGAACTCTGATCTGTCATCATTCCATTAAGTTCACGACTTTTAGATAACTGAAATTCATAATCGTATTAATTTTTTTTTCACCATCACACGAACCAGCCGAAAAGAAAACGTCCAACATTCCCGGGAGTAACTACTATCGTCGTTACCGAAAACGTATTTTGAAAAACCCGTCGGACCTTAACAACTCCGCGACTTGACATCATTTTTCCAAACGAAGTTATTTACATACAATTTAAACATAACCTTGAAAGCGTTATTAACTAGACTTGCATTATCAATCGTAAATCCACTTAATCACCGTCGGCTACGATGATAACCCTCTTCCCAAAAGCCACTCACTACATGTGAACGCCGGGGGGGAGGGGATTGTAGTTCGTAGAGATTTTGTCATGTATCGCGTATATTTTTCAAAATCGTTGAATTATGTTATTGGGAAGTGAAAAAATATTAAAAAATCGTAGTCGACAAGCACATGGGCGTTGTTCTAGGTGTGTATAAAATGATATACAGAGTGATCCTTGTAATGGAAATCGTTAGGATAAGTTAAGTAGTATTGTTTGTTTGGAATTAAGACATTTTTCATATGCTACTATTATTCCACTATTAATATATTAATTTAATATTAAATATAAATATTAATATATAAATTTAATATACTTTTAATATATACTTTATGGTTCTAAATTAAAATGTAATGTATCTTTTGATTTTCAAATAGCAACTAATATACATTTTTAGTACAAAAATTGTTTTAAACATATATTTGAGGACAGATTAGATTGTTTTTCTGATTTTTTTAACAACTTACTTCTCGGATAAAAATTATATTATTTTATTCCGTGATTGATTTGCGTTGCGTTATATTATAATATAGGTACTACGTATAGGCCTATTGTCTGTTAATAGGGTTCGATAGTTCTTATTGTTCAAAATTCAGACTTGGGCTGCAAGTAAAAAGTTAAAAAAAAAAAAACTAAAATTTTTAAATATTTTCTGCATTTACCCTTTAAACTCGCATTGAAGTAATCACTCTGTAGGCACACACGTAACTGTGACCACTTAAACACGTCGTCATTACAGCTGCTGTAACAGCTAACAACATTACCATTGGTATAACGACTATTTGTTAATTATTATTATTATAATCGCGCATACTAGATAATATTTTATATATGGTCGTTAAATGACGATTAGGTGACGACATTTGACGACGGATGGAATTGTTTACCGTTGTGAGGAGGATGTAGGTAGGCATGGGATCAACATCTTTTTAGACTTGTACAAAACCGTGAGGCAGAAATAAATTTGTAAAACAATTATATTTCGTTAACGTGCTTAATATAAAGTATTATATTTTATATCTATTGCGAAGCTATAAGCCTACTCGATATGATTGTATATTCACTTTAATCATTAATAATGATTATTTTTCTAAAATATTGATTGTTGCTAAAATAGTTATTGTTTGACAAAAATTCATGAATATAAAGTTCCTTATATATAAATATAACTAATAATTATAGCCCATATTTATATGCATTTGCATGTTTGTACTAAGTGTATGCACGTCTATGGAGGTTTAAAATGTCCACGATTCATATCACACCGAATTTAAATACAAAATTTTATATTGCATATTTTGCACATTTCAAGGATTATTGCAAATATTTTCATAAATGCATGTTTAATGGGTTTTTAATAAATTAAAAATGTTTGTATTTTTTTTAAGTTTTCTATTCGTCTTTTGAGAGTAGGTAACTTTAAATGATCTAAAATATTCATAAAACCTAAAAAAAAATTATAAAGTTTCTTAAAAGTTTTATATTGATTTAAATGATTTGAAATATAAAGTGGATATTATCATTTTTTTGTTTTTGATAAAATATTTAGAATTTTATTTGGTATAAAAGTGTGGTTTTTTTAAAAAAAAAACACATTTTATAAAGTGCAACATAATGCATATAATTGCATATTTAGCCACTTTTTCTTTACATATTTGCATCATATTTGACACTTTTTAAATGCATATAAATCCGGGCTCTAGTTATTATTATTGATATAATGATTCATTATATTATTACTAAAAACGCATATACATTATAATGTAGATATGTAGACGACAACAAAAGATCCTATCAAGTGTAGGTACTATACAAGATGTATATTTATGTAAAATCAGTGGTTACACGACGATACATATATTTCGCATAAATTCAATACTAACCGCGTATCTATATAATAGACACAGCCTGTAAAATAACGATGCACGTAGGAATGTGAAAAACTTAGTGTGACACAAGCACGTATGTGATGTATATATTATTATCATTGTGTAACTTTAGTATAAGGTAATTTAAGTGTTTTACTAGTGCATTTGACGTCAGTTTTTTTTTTACTTCATCAATAATTAATACGTGGACTATGCTATGTTGTATGTAGAACCGGATTAAAAGAGTGACAGGAGGAGCATCTACCCCTGGGTACAAGATTTTAAAGGAGCACATTTTTTAAAGAATATTTTATTAAAGGTCAAAAACTATTTTCGATTTACTCTTTCAAAATAAAAATAAAATCAATTTGCTGTTTTTATATTGAAAATATCTTACTTAAATCTATTTCATAGGATGAATGTATTGACCAATTTTGAATATTAGAGAGCTTTAAACATACTTATGCCCCGGGACACAAAATATCTTAATCCGGCCCTGATTGTATATTATAATAGTATACAAATAACGTTTTCCATTTTGCGCGTTGTTTTGTAGCGCAATTAATTCGTTTTATTGAAAAGACGCGATGTAATATGTGTGTGAGTGTACTTAAACTATAAATAAATGTTTTACCTGCGTGTCGCGAGATTTACAACGGAAGTGCGTGTGTATATTGTATCTCCCACACATTTATTCTTTAAGCATAACCTCCCGGAGATACAGTGCAAGTCGCGGTAATACTATTACATTTAATGTCGTTCCACTATGTACGTAAGTTCCATCGGGTGATTCGAGTTTTTAGTCTATATTCAATCGATACTGCGGTAAATATTACTAAACGTATACATACGCTCTAGCGTCCTATTTCGTGAACGACTTCCGGAAGGAGCGAAAATTCATATTTTTCACTGTTTTCCTACGCATAAGCGTGTACGGAAATCGTTCGTACAAAAAAAAAAAAAAACCTCGAGGATGCCTGGTGAAACTATAACTACAACTGTGTTATCCGAAGGTATAGTGCTGCAGTGTACCATCTCTGAAAACAACAATAAATAATTATTTATTTCCGTTTTTCGTTTTCCTTCGATCGATATTGATTTTCCTATTTTCTAGTCGTTAAGATGCGTTGTGCGTGCATGAAGTCAAACTTTTGTAACATTCCGGTGAAAGTAAAAATATAGATGCTATGAAGGTAGTGCAAAACGTCATTGTGTATAAAATCAAAAAAACATACTTTTGCACGGACGGCGAGGTCTTAAAACGACCACTTTCGCAATGTGTTGATAAACGTATTTGATTTGCATTACTAATTTCAATTTATCCTGTTGTATGTTCAACGCAATGTGTTAAACACGTGTACAACAGTTGACGTTTATAGGTTTACGTGAATTGTACCTGTTATGTGTAAATGCATGTGAGCTCATTAAATTAATGAATTACGACTGCAGTGGGCAATGTCCTTTTCCACCAAATGAGATATTGACTACGTTTTTATCAAAAAAATTGTATACTACGCTTAAATTAAAAGTTATAGCACAGAAATAATTTTGTTTAACATATACTATTAATTCAATAAATGTAAAGTCATTGTATAATATATACAATATATGTTGGAAAATGTTAAATTTTATTTATAAAAATGGTCAGATATAAAAAGGTGAGAAAAATTATATATTATGGTATACGATACCTTAGTTACCTATGTAAATTATAACTATATATATATATGTATAATTAGTTGATATTTGTTAACTGATCCAATAACAAATTTAAAGTTGTTTAGTTTTAGTGTTTTATTTCCACGTTTACTTTCAATTAACTTTAGCCATCATAGAATTATACATTTTAAAATGTACGTTTTATTTTAACACACTCACAGTTGTAATGCACTATTTGAACTGTGCCATCTTTTCACTTGTTCATAAAGTATTTGATTATTTAGATATTATCATGGTTAATGTTATGAGTACCTACATGCATAAGTACGATAACGGTTTAACATACAATTAAAGACAATAAATGTACAATATAAATTGATTATATTGTGTGTATATTTATATATATTTTACATCAATCCGAAAAACTCATGAAAAGTACAGGTATTCTATCTCATTTGGTGGAAAAGGGAAAGATACACTTTTGGTGGAAACGTGTTACGCCCATTGCAGTATAAATAATGCGAATTAAGGTATATTATACATACAGATGAATTTAATTCACTTACATAATTACGGCAAATCACGTAAGCGCGAAAAAAAATCGAAATCATAGTATTATAATGTATTTTGTGAAAATTCGATGATATTTTTAACCACGATGTTACGATTAACGCTCTACACAAGAGAAAGGTGAAAATAATTTAAACTGTTGGACATCTTCCAATAAAAAATATAAAAATAATTAAAATTCCGACAACAGTAAAACGATTACAGTAATAAATAGATACCCGACAAGTACATTAAACGTACTACATTATTACTAAGTAGAAGATATTATGTTTAAATCGAAGCGAACACTAAAATACATACATATTATACCGACTTTCCACCCACGTACATACAGATTAGAATACATATAAAAACGTGAGTCTAATTAAAACTAATAATTAATACTCCAAATATAAAATCGATACGTCCTAAAAATATTGATTTTGTTGTTAAGTGTATGTGTACTGTACTCGAGCAAATTACGAAATATATAACGCTATGATTAGACATTGATGAAGTATTATGATAAACATTTTCCGTTAAATCTGATATTTTGGTCAATTTACAATGAAGATTTCATGTTGTACAACTCTATTAGATACACTACTATGATTACCTCTCTCAAACGAG